TGTGTAAATCTGACATTATATGATTTCTTCATCTAATATATACATACATAAATATATTATACAATGGCAAATTCCCCTCCCTATATATACATGTATATTTCAATAATGAAAAATCATATATATCTATATATGGCAAATTTTAATTACCTTTTTTATATTGAGAACACTTATTAATTAAAAAATAATAATAATTTAAATTTTTAATTTTTATATTATGATATGTTTTTTTTTTTTTTTTCTTTTTATCTATTATATAATGTTTTTTTTTTTTTTGAAGGAATGTTTGGCATTAATGATATAAAACATGTGTAAGCCATAGAAATAATATTTAATGGCGCGCCCATTAAAAATTTAAATCTCATTCACTGCCAACCAAAGGGATAAAATAGTAAAAGAAAAGGAACTATTTTGAATGGGTTTCGTTTGTCGGCTTTATTGATGTACAGCAACTAAAACAGAAAAGATCGAGGAAGAAATCAAAAATGAGGCAACAAACAAAACAGAAAAAGAGGAGGTAAAAAAAAAAAAAGCTGTAAGTGGGCTAATTGAACTTTGACATTTGTCTCATGTTATATAGAAACAGAGACCGCAGAAGAGGAAAAAAAAAAATTGGAAAAAAAAGGGGGAAAAAAGGAAAAAAAAAATAAAATGGAAAACCGGGGGGTAGCCAGGCATGCCCAGTTGCCCACCACGCGCAAATTAAGCAGCAGACAATGGCATGATAAAAAACGCAACACACAGAGGCAGCAGACTCTCTCTTCTGACCGAATATGAAAAAATAAAAAGAAAACGTAAAGTACAAATGTTAGGGTTTGTGGCGAAGGGGTAGAGAATGATATGTTTTTTTTTTTTTTTTGAAAGGAATGTTTGGCATTATGATATAAACATGTGTAAGCATAGAATTAATATTTTAATGGCGCGCATTAAAAATTTAAATCTCATTCACTTGCCCAACCAAGGATAAAATAGTAAAAGAAAAGGAACTCATTTGAATGGTTTCGTTGTCGGCTTTATTGATGTACAGCAACTAACAGAAAAGATCGAGGAAGATCAAAATGAGCAAACAAACAAAACAGAAAAAGAGGAGGTAAAAAAAAAAAAAAGCTGTAGTGGGCTAATGAACTTTGAACATTTGGTCTCATGTATATAGAAACAGAGACGCAGAAGAGGAAGAAAATGGAGGGAGATAATGACGTAGCCAGGCATGCCAGTTGCCACCACGCGCAAATTAGCAGCAGACAATGGCATGATAAAAACGCACACACAGAGGCACAGACTCTCTCTTCTGACCGAATATGAAAAAATAAAAGAAAACGTACGTACAAATGTTAGGGTTTGTGGGGCGAAGGGGTAGAGAATCACTGCTAATAAAATTATAAGAATAGTCAGGAGTTACCTCTTTAACTCTGTTGGTTTGTCTGGGTCAGAAAAAGCCAAAGCCTGAGGCTTTCGCAGTTTGCTTCAACTAGGAACACAATCACACTTGCTTCACCTGCATTTGCTCCTCCATTATTATTATACTATCTCATCCTACGTGGCCATGGGCCCTAATTTCTCAAATTTTACAAATTCTGTACGTTAGCTAGGTTCTCACTTGTTTATACATATCCAGAGCATTCAGGTAAAACTTTGATTTTCGTTTCAAAATTTTCATTTTGCAAGTAAAATTCACTCGTCTAAGTGCTTACCAATAATGGTATTTAGTGATAAATGATAATTTTTTTTTTCTAAATTTATGGGAAAATAAATATTATTTCATAAAAATTATATTTTTTGTTTTATTTGTAAATGTTTGTAGAATTTACGTGTAAAATATATTATCATTTGGCAATCTATATAAGACCTTTATATACGTGAGTGGGATCCCACCTGAGGTGGATAGAGTGTGTTTCTATTGGGATTGGAGTCGTGAAAAATTTTGAAGGAATGAGAGGTCGAAGATTCTTTGCTAGTATATATGGGTCCCTCCCCTTTGTGCTTTGTTGCTGGATATGGGTATATTTTTTATATTATTGAAAATTATTAATTATAATGTTTGATAATTTCATTATTATTTATTTTCAAAAAATATTAAATTTATATTTTAATATTAATTTAGTTTAGTAATAATTAATAATATACATTACGTATACATAATATTTTGAAAAAAAATAAATATATATGTGTCCTATTGTATGAATCCTCATATGAGATGAAGAAAAAGGAAAGAATATATCACTCGTATGCAATGGCAAAAAATAAAAAATAAAAAGCAAGTCCCCATAAATTAAGACTTCTGTTTTTATGTTGTGTAACAGGTAAATAATTGTGTTGGTTGAACATATTACATATACAAAAGAGGGTAGAAAAATTAATTTGGTGGTCACCCTTCAGCAGGTAATTTTCAATTTTATTTTCGAAATATATACAGTAGATGGCATGCATAAGCATTTAAGAAATGAATTGCAGGGCCTGTGTGGTTGCCATCGTCCATTTGGATGCAACTATAGCATAAGAGGTGAATTGAAGGATTTTATTATAATTTTAGAAGATTGGACCACTATATCAATTTATTATATGCTCCTACTTTGGTATCTTGTTGGCCTGTCACAGTGGTAACAAGCAGAGACACAGTATTACTTTTGAAGAAGCATCAGTACAAAACAATATTTCTAAAATTCTCAATCCACCGATGCGTTTGGAACTCAGCAGTTTTCAAATTCGAATTATTTTGCTTTCACTGTGACAGGAGACATTATCAAAATTGGATATTATTTTATTAGACCTCAAAAAACAAAGTTGTTTTAAATAAATTTTTATATTTAATTTCCCAACTATATAGCAAATTTAAGCATTACGTCTAAATCTTAGGTCCGTCGAGATTATAGCATTCGCATTAATTAGAGGGGATAAAGATTAGAATTTTGGACGTGTGTGATATAATTTACAGACTGCATTATTGAAAATTGCCAAATGATGCAATGACTTATAGTTGGGTTCGTTGACATATCACGTGGTTGACCCATCTCATTTATCTCCTTGTTAATTTCAAATAAATTTCCAGATTCGGCTTGAAAATATATATAAAATGCAACTTATAAACAAGCATGGGAAATGGGATTTGATTCACTGCAGCACTTAGCAACCAATATCATGTGGAAGTTATGTGCTTGCCAATGATTGATGGTCACTGTTCAATAGGGCTTTACCCCCTATTCGCAGGTTCCTTGCGACCTTATATTTCATGAAATTGGTCCACTTTCATTAAATAATCAATTATGGGTACAGTGCACTGCTTTGTTTAGGTCCCTACAACTTCCATTTTCCTAGTTTCAGAGATCAGCATACATGTTTTTTTTTCCCATATTGCTTTTATAGCTCATAAGACCAAATAAAAATGTTGGATGGATTGTTGATTTGTACTAATAAATTTGTTTTTATTTATAGTAATTGATATAATAAATTCTGTTAACACGGCAATTTCCAGTTTCGAACTATTTACATTACAAGTAAAATTCACTCTGAAATACAATTTATTTTCGCTTATCTAACCGTTTGTGTATTCCTTCAAAACTTTGTAGTTTGCATTATAGCATGTGTCATTAATTTTCTGATAAAGGGGTAATTGATACTCATAAATATAGTTTTGATTGGTTCGACAACAGACTTAACTTTTTAAAAGGAATTAATTACATAACAGGCATGCATACCACATATGGTTCTTGTTTATTTTGTCCCTGCCTAATATTAAATGCTTACCAGTCATCACCTTCACTCCAATGCCAAAAAAAGAAAATAATAATCAAATAAATAAAGAAGACCATTAAAAGAAAATGCAAAGAATAAAATATTATTATTAAATTGAGTTAGTAGCAGATCAAGTTGCCTACTAAACATGAAAATTAAAGTGAAGAAACCACAAGTTAAATGATCGAATTGTCTCCGCCGTCTCTTCTAAGGCAGGAATGGAAGGTCAAAGCGGAGAGACAGAGACACAAGTCAAAGTGTCAAACCGCTTTTATCAGATGAGAAACCAACTACCAATCGCAGTTTGAAACGTGGCAGCAGGCAGGCAACAACAAAATTTTCTTACGAAAATCCCAACCAATCACAACCCGAAAAGTGGGAGAGTTACGAGAGTAGAGAGCAAATCCGTCCGTATGATTCAAATACCAGAATGAACAGTACACGCTGATCGCCTGATCCGCAGAGCCGGTTTCGCATTTCCCCACCCCTCGCGGGCTCATCATCTTCGTAGCCCGCACCACCCCAGTCCAGAGTCAAGACACAGAGTTAAAACTCATAGTAGCCAGCCACAGCCTTACAATTGTAATACGATTTTTCTTTTTTTACTCTCACTTCATTTAACCTTTTGCCTTTCCCTTTTTATCTGCTAACGTGGGTGACAAAGCCATCGAATTTTCAGTCGGAAAAGAGACTCAAATTTAGATAAGTTTTGTAAATATTTGTTTTGCATATTACACCGTAGGTATTGATATTCCATTGAATATAGGAAGAAGATGAATGGATTAAAGTAGCATTTGATATGCTGAAAAAGATAGATCCAATCCATAGCTTATATGGTCATAACGCGTAGGTTTCAGTTTCAGAATGGATTATGCGCTCCAAATATAGACAACCTTCACGTGATCAATGTTACAATTAAAAATATTTTTAATATAAATATTTTATTAAAAATAACACTAAGTATATTATATTTCATTATCGCCAAATTTAATATTTACAATTATAAATATTTTTCGAGCATGAATATTAATTTGGTACTTTAAAATATTATTATTGTTATAATGTTAGAGAAATAATTATCGAATTATAACTAAAATTTCATTTAAAAAAACTACTACAAATATATGAAATTTCAATTCGTAATTTTTTTCGTAAAATTATTTTTTTTATGACGTCATTTACATTCTTTTGATGATATATAGGATCTTTATTTTCTTCTTTTTATCATTATCTCAGTTCCCATCCCTGAATAAAAGTTGTTTTTAGTATTAAGTTTTTTTAACTGATAAATAAAAGAAAAGTCCTTAACAGCTGACATATCTCAGTCACTTTGTCTCATACTACCCTCCTCTATAAAACAGCCACCCAACCGTCTCTTCCAATTAAACGCTACTTAACGAAACACACACTGTCCTTCTGCTTCTCCCTCTATCTGCGCTTCTCTCTGAAATGGATAAACCTATAACAGACCCGTGGCGACCGGACCTGGCTCTTTTCCGGCCACCGGAAACTCCGCGAGAGCCCATGGAATTCCTGTCGCGTTCATGGAGTATCTCAGCCATAGAGGTCTCTAAAGCTCTGGCTCCGCCGCAAATGGTTCTTTCTAAAACCATGAGCGGCAGTGCTGGTGGTATTATACAGGAAGACATTGCTGGAGAGATAGAAGAGAGTGCTACGGTTTCCGGAAACCCATTTTCTTTTGCTTCCTCTGAAACTTCTCAGATGGTCATGGAAAGAATCATGTCACAGTCGGTGAGTTATTGTAAAAGCAGACCATAAAGACAAGTTTTGGGATTCATATTGTTTTGCTATTGGTCTTAAAAGTTAAAGGTTCCAGCTTTGTTTTGTTCTCTTACTCTGTTTTTGCTGCATAATTGACGGGTTTTGTCCTTTTTTAATTTGGTTGTTTGATGTTACAGTGTTTTGGCTCTTTTTGGGTGTTTGGTTTTGGTTTTTTTCTACAAATTTTGCTTTCATTTGGTGTTTATGTGTTCTAAACAAAGATAATGGAATTTTTCGGAGAAATCAAAATGGTTTTTGAAACTTGAAGTGAGATTTTAGATATTCACTAAAACTTTCGGCCTATTTTCTCTTTTCGAAGAAATCAAATTAGTGTTATTAAATTAGTGTTTAGTACCTAAATTTGGTTTTTATGTTTCTTTCTTCTATTTCACTTTTCTCTTTCATCAATTCACACTTCCACTAACAAGCCACACTCATTTCTCTGCCTTTCTCTCTCGCGCTCAAGCTCTCTTTAAGCATGAACAACAATCCCTTTCATCGCTATCATTACCATTGATTCCTACAAAAATCATAACTCTTCTTTTTGTTTTTTGTCTCTCTTAATGCAGCAGGAGGTATCCCCACGTACTTCCGGTAGGCTCTCACACAGCAGTGGCCCTCTCAATGGTTCTTTAACGGATAGCCCTCCTGTTTCCCCTTCCGAGATCGACGATGCCAAGGTAACTAGAAGTTTTGAAACAAAATTAGATAAGATGTAATTGTCTTTCAATAAGATTCTATATTATGTTTAAATACATTTGTTTCTATCTCCTCTGTTTTTTGGCTACAAGAAAACATCTCACAGGCTTTCTCTATAACCAATGCCTCCTTTAATTACCCACCAAAGATAATAATTTCATATTTCGTTTCGTGTAGCTTTCGCAGTTTTTTCTTTTTTCTTTTTTTTTTTTTTGAAAAAAAATAAAGAAATCAAGATATATACTTTGGCAGAAAGAAAATCCAGTTCTGTTTTTGTTCTCTTTGTAGCGAAAATTCAAAGGATGATAATCTTTTTGTTGGTTTCATGCGAATTTGAGAATTACCAATTTGACCTTTTATTTTGACACCTGACCTTTTTTTAGTCCAAGGAGAGAGGGGGGAAAAAAAAACAGAAACTATTGTACAAATTCGTATCTGGGGTATCCGGTCTGGTCCTCTGTTCCTGTCAAAGCGCGGGTATGCGTTGCATCTCTGGCGAATTGGTTAAAACACAGAGTCGGTGCATTTATAGCTCTAGGACCCCCTAACAAAACTTAAATAGTTTCACCATTCAATTCAGTATATTCGCATGTTAATTAATTAGTAGTTAGTTGGTTCTTGTTGATTCCCATAAGTTTTGTTTTTGCATTCTTGGTCGGGTGAATGAATATTTATCAAGAAAGCAAATCTGAAACCCAATTACATTGTCTTTCCGGTATGCAGTATTGCCGTCCAAATAACAACGTTAATACCCAATTCCGTACTCCATCCGCCACGCCTGGTGCCCCTATTTCTGCTGCTGGAGGCGGTGGTGGTAAAACTGTTGGTAGGTGGTTGAAGGATAGGAGGGAGAAGAAAAAGGAGGAAACCAGAGCACACAATGCCCAGCTTCACGCTGCCATTTCTGTTGCTGGCGTAGCTGCAGCAGTTGCTGCCATAGCTGCTGCCACTGCCGCTTCCTCTGGGAATGGGAAAGATGAGCAAATGGCAAAAACAGACATGGCTGTGGCGTCTGCTGCAACACTGGTCGCAGCTCAATGTGTGGAGGCTGCAGAAGCCATGGGAGCTGAACGGGAGCATCTGGCTTCTGTTGTTAGCTCTGCTGTAAATGTGCGCTCTCCCGGGGATATCATGACATTAACAGCCGCTGCAGCAACTGGTACTTTTATTTATTTATTTATTGTTTGCTAATCTTACAATGAGGAAATTATAGTTGTTTATTGCTGGTACGGAAATTGGTTTTTGTATAATGACTGATTTTTTTTTTCTTTTATGTGAAATGGGTAATGCAGCCTTACGTGGGGCAGCAACCTTGAAGGCAAGGGCATTGAAGGAGGTGTGGAACATAGCAGCAGTTATTCCTGTGGACAAAGGATTAGGTGCAGGTGGTGGAAATGGTAGCAATGGTAGTTCTAATGGTAGTTATAGTGGCGAGCTTCTGCCTGAAGAGAATTTCCTAGGCATCTGCAGTAGGGAATTGCTAGCTAGAGGTTGTGAGCTCCTCAAGCGCACACGCAAAGGTGATCACTTGTGTTTATGATTATACAATTGATAAGCACTTCACATATGTGTTTTTTTATCCTGTCATAAATATTCCATTGGGAGTAATAGCTTATTTCATTAATTTAATTTGAGAATAAGGTTTAAAATCTGTTTGTCATTTCCAAAGGACATTTATGAGCCTGATTAGAAGAATAGTGATGTTCACTAATTTCTTGTTGTAATTTGTTATATGATTGTCAGTTAGCTTGCTTAGGATCTTGTCTGGATTTCAAGTTTTAAACTTCCTGCATTAGTATTTCTATTTCTAGATTTTTTGTTTGGTGAATTATGTGTCATTTACCGAAGTTGGAATTTTCTTTGATAGTGATATTGGCTTGTTAGCCTTTGTATGCAGGAGAGGTATTGTTATGTGAATTATGATGTTTATGAATTAATTGATTAGATATGTGCAACAAGTTTATGAGCTGTCTTGCTAAATTTTGAATTGGAAGGATGTTTGTGAGAATTTCAGAACAAGGTTTACTAATTGTTCCAGAAGAAGAGAATATTTAATTATTTTCTTGTGATTAATGCAGGTGATCTTCACTGGAAAATAGTGTCTGTTTATGTCAACAGAATGAATCAGGTATGAGTCAATCTGATCCAAAATAACAGTTTTTAGTGTTGTTTAGAAGTATCAAATCATGGTAATTATTTGGGTATGATGGCCTGTTATGAATGTGAATCTAATGAGGAAAAAGTGATCAGGACAAAAGTTAAAGCTCTGATAATTATGATGAAATAAATGGATCTACTTTTCTTTCAATCTATATGTTCTTCCTTGGCCACCTTTAACTTTTGAAACTTCTTTTTGTGCAGGTTATGTTGAAGATGAAGAGTAGGCATGTTGCTGGGACCATAACAAAAAAGAAAAAGAGTAAGTATCATTGCTGTTGTCTTTCTTTCTTTATTAATGTGTGAAAACAGAATTGGAGGGTGGGTCTTCTTCCATTTGGGGATTTGAGAAAGTTCAAATGGCACTAAAGTCTAAAAGATCAAAAGGGATAATCTTTAAATTCCATCTCTTTTTGAATTTACAGATGTGGTGTTGGAGGTGATTAAAGATATTCCTGCCTGGCCAGGCCGCCACTTGCTCCAGGGGGGTGAAAATCGGCGATATTTCGGATTGAAGACTGTATTGAGAGGTGTTGTTGAGTTCGAGTGCTTGAACCAGAGAGAATATGATATGTGGACTCAGGGTGTCTCTAGGCTTCTTGCTATAGCAGAAGAGAAGAGCAATAGGCATAGATATTAACAGTATTGATACAAAAGAGCAAAGCTTTGACCAATGGAAATGGGAAACTGGGGATCAAATAGAATATATGGCCCTATTGAACATTATAAATGGTTTCAAAATTGAGGTGGGCTATATATCTATATATATTTTTTTTTTGGTTTTCCTATATTTTGTAAAGTTGGAAGAAAATCAAAGATTTCAGTTATGCATATGGGGGAAGTGTTTCTTTATGTTGGGAGTGGGAATATATTTTTAGGGACTTTTGTTTTTGTTTTTGTTTTTGAACTGGAAAAGTAAAAGTGTTTTGAATCAAAAACAAGCAAAGCAGTAAGCATGTGAACAAAGTATTTGTTTTCTTTCACTGAACAGGAAATGAAAGGAGTATCTTGGACTGAGATGGTCAAAAAGGGTTCAAAAGAGCCCATTTTGATGACGTGAGATTAAATTTTAGATGGTAAAGCCATTCTCTGATCCTCTCTATGCTTTGTTTATTATATTTTTGTGTTTTGTTATAGGGCCTTGCTTTAAGGTTGATTTGGTTTTGTGGTGCCATGATTGTCTAGATTTGTTATCTTCCACTTTATCCAATAATTTTGTTTGGATTTAGGGTTTTTGCAAATATTTTAATTAATAAGAATGTAGGGTTCTTTTTTTAATTATTAAATGTCAGGGAATGTAACGTATTAAAATGATCATAGGGAATATATATGGGTCCATAGGACAAACTCTCACTTTATCTCTCTTTTTTTTTTTTTTTTTTTTTTTTTTTTTTTGGATTTAGGGTTTTTGCAAATATTTTAATTAATAAGAATGTAGGTTAACTTTTTTAATTATTAATGTCAGGGAATGTAACGTATTAAAATGATCATAGGGAAATATATATGGTCCATAGGGGTGGGGGAAAAAAGGAGAGACAAACCTACTTTTATCTCTCTTTTTTTTTTTTTTTTTTTTTTTTTTTTTTTAATGAAACATATCCATACATTCTTAAATAAATTTAATGCCTGTGACAACTACAACGAAAATTGGTTTTGGGTTCTCTGCCTCTATTTTTTTTTTTTTTTTTTTTTTTTTTTTATGAAACATATCCATACATTCTTAATAAAATTTAATGCCTGTGACAAACTACACGAAAATTGTTTTGTCTCTGCCTCTATCGAACAGAGCTAGAAAATGTTATCAGGAAATTCAAAACGACAAACACTTAAATGTCGTTGAACTTCAGGCTTTCCATTATTCCGAAACTTTATGGCTTTCGTTCAAATAACAAGACAGAAAAGCCCACAAAGCTCCCAGCAGGCCAGCACAACCAAAGCCTTTTAAATCTAATCCACAATAAACAGCGGCCGGTTTAAAACTGAAATTACCATTAAACCCTTCTTTTCGTTTGAAAATCCTCCATGTGTAAAATAAGGCTATAAGAAGGCCACATGATTAAACAACTTATCCTCTCACTATTACAAAGAAAGAAAGAAAGAAAGAAAGAAAGAAACTATTTATGCAGATATTTAGAAAAGAAGAAACAGAAACACAGCAGAGATCGTAGTGCCATTACGTACCATGTCGTCTTCTTCTTCTTCTTCTTCTTCTTCTTCTGCTACTGCAACTGCCACAAAAGTATTTGAAATTGGAAAATACACAACAGTGCTTCAAAAAGTGGAATCAGGAACATGTATCTCAAAGTCTTCTGTTGCTGTTCCACCACCAAAGCCACTCTTGATTGCCATGCCAAGTGAAGCAGGACAATTCCCGGTCATAATATTCCTCCATGGTTATCTTCTTTATAACTCTTTCTACTCTCAGCTCATCCAACATGTTTCTTCTCATGGCTTCATTGCAATTGCTCCTCAGGTATCTAATTCCTTTCCCTTCATTCCCTTCTTTTTAAATTGTATTTTAGGCCATAATTAATAACATTTTAAAGCAGATTTAATTAGCCTCTAAATTAAAGACAATACACACACATGAAATAACAAATAAGAACATGGTAAATTAGGCTTGTTCATATTAATAGATTATCCAAATCGCAATTACTTAATATGTTTAATTTTCAGTTTAAACTTTGATTACGTCTTTTTTAAATAATCCATTTTATATTAGTTGATTGCAATATTAATTTTTTAAAAAATTTATATAAAATATTTTAAAAAACTTATTACAAATAAAAAAATAAAAATTATACAAAATAATATATTGTGATTATTGCTATTAAATATTTTTTATTCAATATAAATTGCTCAAGTTTTCTAGATATCAGAAATCTGAAAGAATATTTTTCAAAGGAAATATTTCCAAAAACAAATAGAACTTGGCATTATCCTGTAGTCATCATTACTTTGCAAAAAGACGGCATTGGAATATGGCAAACCAATTAATTAACTTCGAGTATAAAAAAAGAAAAGCTTGGTGGAAAAGACTCTAATTTTCATTTTCTTTGGAGAAAAATGGTAGAATGTACAAGAAGTTAGCATTATGAAGTGGCCTCCTGATGTGATAGCTAAATAATAGTGATTGATGAGCGAAAAGAGCAGGATATTTTCTCATACTTCAACTTTCTGACTCTTGTTTACAAAGCCCATAGGCCTCAGGCACCAAGGCCCATCCCCATCGTTCTCACACGACATAAGTCTCTGTTGGGCCCAGCTTTTAAAATGTTCACATTTAAATTTCATACTCAATACCCAAAAAAAAAAAAAAAAGATAAAAAATTTTGGCAATTTTGACAGTTGTACACGGTGGCCGGAGCAGATTCAAGTGATGAGATAAAAGCTGCAGCTGCTGTAACAAATTGGTTATCCAAAGGGCTGCAAGAAGTGCTACCACCCCATGTCCAACCAAAATTAAGCAAGTTATGCATCGCAGGCCATAGTAGAGGAGGCAAGGCTGCTTTTGCTCTTGCTCTTCGAAAAACAGCAACGACGCTCAAATTTTCAGCAATAATTGGTGTAGACCCAGTTGATGGAATGGACAAAGGGAAACAAACACCTCCACCAGTACTGACTTATGTCCCTCATTCCTTTGATTTGGATATGGCAGCAATGGTTATTGGTTCTGGCTTAGGTGAACTCAAAAGAAACCCTATGTTCCCTCCTTGTGCACCAAAGGGTGTTAATCACGAGGATTTTTACAAGGAATGTGAAAAACCAGCTTGTTATTTTGTTGTGAAGGATTATGGTCATCTTGATATGTTAGATGATGATACTAAGGGGATTAGGGGCAAGTCTACTTATTGTTTGTGTGTGAATGGCAAGTCTAGAGAACCTATGAGAAGGTTTATTGGAGGTGTTATTGTTGCATTCCTTAGAGCTTACTTGGAAGACGACGGCAGTGATTTAATGGCTATTGGAAATGGGCAGACGGGTCCGGTGGAGCTTCAGAGATCTGAGTTCTATGTCTGAATTTTATAATCTGAAGCTATGATGTTTCAATTAGACAGCGAAATCAATCAATATATACTATGTAATCCTCTGTGGAAATAAAGCTATCCATTTAAAATTTAGCAATTGAAAATAAATATTCTCCTTTCAGCCATTTAATTAACAATTATTCGTTCTATCTATTGTCAATTTAACCTTCACTCCAATTTAATATCAGAAACATGTTACAGGAACACAGAGAAGTTCAAGACAAATTCCACGCCAACTTAACCAAACCCAACATAGTAAATCTACCAATCCACAGCTTCGCATTAGACTTTCAGGAAAAGACAAAAGTATAATTCAATATATATAGCTTCTTTTTTCAGAAAAAGTGCTGGCCTTTGAAACTTTATAAAGTACATCTTATTACAATAGTTGGTAATACACTTGGCAAGTAATTTTGAACCTTAATGAGCTTCAAGTGCTATTCCAACCTTCTCATTCAAAATCTTGACATACTCCTTCCTAGCAGGATGATCTTCCTGTGGCCGGTTATATGCTGTCCAGACTGGCTCCCCCACGAACAATCTCATCAACTGCAAAATTTTACCCAGATTAATAATTTTGTTCAATTGATAGTAACAGTTAGTTGGTTAATCAATTTCATTGCGCTGTATACCTTAACATAGTCACCGGTATCCAGAGTGAAACGATGGTAGATTCCTGCTGGAAGAATAATAAGATCACCTGCTTTGATCCAGATTCGGATCCAACGATCATCATTGTCTCGAACATCAAAATATCCACTTCCTTTTAAGCAGTAACGTATCTCCTCATCAGCATGTAAGTGCTCTGTATAGAAATTCTTGAGTTTCTCCTCATAGTTAGCAACTTTCTCTGGGCATAAATCTAGCAAATCCTGCAATGTTTATTCATATTTATATGCCAGCATTTTTCTTAACAAAGATTGTGATAGAGAAACAAATGTATATTCTTCGCTAAAATTTATGGGTCTACATAGATTGATAAATCAGAATCAAGAAAATCGTGTAGAATAATTTTGAAAATTGTGATTCTCATTATGCAACTTAAGTTTAATTTGATTTGCTAATCTAATGTAATTGTGAGCATAAGATCAAGAAAAATAATCAAACAGATAGTATCCAGTCATGAAATGAACTAAAATACCATGTAATTGTAACCCCTGGCTTCCCTGATATTCTTCAATTCTTGATCGTTCTCGTAGTCGTCTGGGTTCAAGTGCCAATACAGAACTCCCAATTCTGCACATAATTATTCCTCGCTTTTGTTACTAACGTAATTCTCATAAACATAAAATGGGATATGAAAACCAGAGAAAGAGAATAGACCAGCCAAGTGATCCAATGAAACGAACTCTTTTGGGTTGCGGTGGTGAGGAAGCCTTTGATCTTCGCTGCTTTCGTCCATGAACCATGCCTGCAACAAAAATTCACTCCAATTAACATTCGATTGGACAAGTAATTTATTGATTAATCTAGTGAAAAAGAGTTTACCTCGATAGCCATGGATGAGAATGAACTAGCACTGTTTCGTGCTCTCCTCAAGACACAAGACTGACGGAGCCGTTTATATTCATACTGGTTCTTGATATGTCTCCGCTACTTACATTCACCAGCCACGTGTAGATATCGTTTTCCTCTTGTTATTTGTGGTGCAAGTGTTTGTGCCCAACATAATATCGCCTTTGGCATTTTCCGGTCATTGATTTTCACGGAGAGATTCTTCAGCGAATTACAAATCTGCTTAAAGGAAAAATAAAAACGATTCCAACTGTAGATTTTAAAGCGTAAACGACGATTTGTTTAAGGAAAAATAATTACTTTTCAATAATCTAAAAAACAATTCCATATCATTGAAAAGTAATGATAAGAAACAATTTCTATTCAAGTAAAAAGAAAAAAGTGACCGTCCGATATAAAAAGTTTCCTTCGGCTTCAAAAAGTTTCATTTTTGTAGTTTTCTTACTTTGTCCACTGGCATTGGGCTTTGTTATCAGTATGGTTTCAATACAAATCCAAAAATAAGGCAACTGGACAGGTGGTCTATGATTACTGGATAGGCCAGAGCTCAAGTCATCCAATTGGAAGGGCCGGAAAGCCCAGACTCATGGCGTCCAACTTACTAGTTGCCACCTGAATTAGCAAACGACAAATTAAAATCAGAAATATATGCGCATCAGTTTGGACTTGCCGAGTAATACTAAGAATTAGCCAGAGAAGGACAACTAAATACAACTAGAACAATTAGCTACAAGAACATGAAATGGTAAGAGTGCATTCAAATTTACATCATTTGAAGACTAGAAAGCATAACTGCACATGACTACATATCTCAACCAAGGTGATATTACAAACCAGAGACAAGGAATTCCTCAGGACCACGATTCTAGTACAAAATTGATCAGCTGAGAGTGAAATCCCTTGCCAACAGGTACTTCTCTCGTAGGGATCTTTTAGAAATAGGTAGGGTCCTAGATAAGAAAAAATAAATAAAAAAGCCTTCAGTATCACCGAATAGCAGTGCAGAGATCTGCGAATAGCAGTGCAAAGTTGTTAGGTTGGTTTCTTCTTCCAACAATGGTGATTGTCTGTAGGGTGCATTTTAAATACAGCATGTCAATGGTCTTGGAAATCTGCAAACAACCAATTATATCACCAAATATATGTCATCTGCATCACAAATTATAACTACCCATTTTCAAATGGTTAACAACGTCATGCTCAGCTCACAAAATTCAATAACATATTCAAATGGGTATTGGAAAGGGTGATCTTCAAGTGGCATAAACCTAGACTGAAAATTGCCTGTGTTGGTCTCCATGAATATATATATATCTTAATTTCCATTCTTTAGAATTATACGAAAAAAAAAAAAAGAAAGGAGACACACTTAATGGCTCATATCAAATGTTAGATATCAATAGTTTAATGCACATTTCAAGGTATAAAAAATGCAATGGAAAGAATTCTATGTTCCCACCTTCATTAAGATCAACAGAAAAACTGGCAATCTTTGGTTGATCATCAGCTGAGCCACACAAGGTGTGTGGGAATCCAGGCTGGGGTGGAGAGCTTGTGCTGCTCCTGGTCGATTGTCCATTTGAGGTATGTGTCCTCACATGATGGTTCAAATATGCCTCCAAGTTAGAAGTACTTCCTATATTTTTCTTGGCCTTAAATCTTCCCCTAATGGTAATAATAGTAAAAATAAGGAGAAACAGTGGTGTCAAATTAATAGCTTGCAATAACTATAATATGTTAGAACAGTTAATTTACGTCATCCAATGGACACCATTAGTTGGTGAAAGTACCTATCTTTTTTCTTCTCGAGATATCTCTGTAATGATACTTTACGGTTTGCTTGACCCTCTACATCTTAAAAAGGGAAAACAGTATCAATAGGATGGGCAAACTGACAATTTTCACGCAGTATTTCACTAAAGTAAATATCATTCTCAGAGTGCTGCAAAGTCAGAGCAAACACATACTTAATGAACTAACAGTAAAAGGAGTCTCTTATTCAAACATAGAGCAGTAGAAGTGGCTGTGGCATGGCAGTAAGAGTGGCAGGAAGAGAAAAAAATGTGATTTTGAAAGCGAGAAACAGGATATAGAAGTGGCGCTGACAGAAATAGTAATAATCCCACTAGTGCTTGCAAAGATAGTTGTGGTTGCAGCTAATACTGTTGGTGTTAGCCTGTTAGGTGCTGATAGAAATAGAGCTAATTCCAGCGCATGCGAGATGATAGTAAATTAAGCTTTAGGACAAAGGGTTAATGATTGCACCTACCACTTCCATGCAAGAAAAGATGTTGATACTGACAGAGCCCAACACATATGCACATGCACTGTTGGTGGGGGCAATGACATGTGATTCATTGGCAATGATAGAAGTGCAGTGCCTAAAAAAAATTATTCTTCAGAGCAAAGAATAATAAGTCTCCACAAAAATTATCCTTCAGTGCCTTTTTAATTTATCTTTCCCTTCCTCCTCTCAATCTCTTATACCAGTTCTATAGAAGTTAGAAAAAACACTATTGAAATTCCTTGATATCAATGATTGGTTCAATCAGCTCGCCAACCTAAAAAAAAAAAAAAAAAACTATGAAATTCCTTTGATATCAATGATTGGTCAATCAGCTCGCACCTAAAAAAAAAAAAAAGCATCGTGTGGTTCCAGCATACATCAGATCAAAAAAAAAAAAAAAAAAAGCATCGTGTGGTTTCAGCATACATCAGGATCTATTACCTAAATACAGTACAGACACAGGCTTAGAGATTAAGCCCATACGGTCCTGACTTAGCTAGTCCAATATGCAAGTTTCAGACTGAAACCCCTCCAATTGATAACTTTAATAAATGCATAGATCATTTTGACGATCTTGATGCATCATATTTCTTGGCATATGGCACACAAAGTATATTACTGAAATGTATATTCCTAGCTACCCATTTTGACAAAAGCACACAATTTCGAATTTCACATCAAAGGAACCGTGAACTTATTCAAACTTGGAAAATCTACAATATAACAAGCTAGAGGTCTTACCAGGATCATAAGTTGCGTTTGCTTTCTCCCTATACTGCTGAGCATATTCTGTCATCTTATCTGTAAAGCCAATTCAAAATCATTTAGATCAATCAGTACATTAAAAGGCCACTTATTTTGAGCCTATGTTCTTATAAGCTATATCCATGCTAGATACCACACATAAACTCATTTCTTGTGACCATTTAGCATGCATGGATTTCATGATCAAAGAGCATTAGGTTCTAGTTCAGGGTTTTCAAGATAAGTTCTAGTAAAGATATCTAAAATATTCAGAAAATTTAGATAGTTGCTTTCATTGTTTTTATCAACAATATCACTAAAGTTATAGTTTCTTTTTCTAGTGTTAAGGAGATAAGCAGCTATAGTTTTCTATTTTGTTGAATACATCTCTAACTCTAGCAGTATCCATGTAGTTCAAGTGATCTCAGCGCCAAAACTATATGGTACAAAATGCAGCTTGTAGATACTTCCATGCTAAAATCCTACCTGTTTGTGTGGTTTGACAAATTGCTGTATTAGGAGGAACAAATCCATGTTTGTCAGTTTGGGCATGAAAATGACATGGATATGAAAATGCTGGTCTACAAATTGTATCATCTGGAGGCGACTGGAACGGACTTGCCGCAAGATGCATGATTGCCTGGGCCTGCAAATCCATAGTTTGGACGCATTGGAAGGCCAACATGCAATCAGAGTTATCTCCAGGTATCCATGCAAAGGGGAAGCTTCATTACCTTATCAGGTGGGACTCCATCATACACATTCACCTTTCCACAATAGAAAATAGTCATTTGCCCAAGCAATCCATCTTTTGCACCAGGACTTCTGTAGCCACAATTTCAAATACTCAAGTCAAAAGAAATGAGCAAGAGATAAGTACAACCAACAACCATAACATGGATCACATAACACATAGTTTATTTGTAAGTACGAGACATGTTAACGCTTTAATTAGCATTTCATGTCTCATGAAAATGATAAAATCGAACAAGAAGAGAAATTACACATGTAAAAAGGACTGAAAATATAATCAGAAACAAAATATAGCATGCTTGAACAGACAATTGTTCCAGGACAAAAGGAAAATAGGAGTTCCTCACGCTATTGATCAGTCTCTCCAAACACTCAGCTTCTTCCTTCTCTTTGTTCCCAAATGTGACATGACACCCTGCCCTTTTATTCAGAATAAATCAAGAAAACTTAAGGGTTCTAATCATTTGAGCCTTATGCCCCAAATGAAAGGCTTTAAGGCAAAAATTCAAACAATAAAATTATAGCATCACCGAAAATTTATGTCCATGGAAAGCCCCACTTCTCAAGCAGATAATAATAGAATTTAAACAAGGAGAGTGCAACACAATTGAAAAAAATGCCAGATTTACTTATCCCTAAATTTAGAGGAGAGTCCTATTACAACTTGGCCCCATCAATCATCATAGTCATTAGCACTAAAACCCTTGTTTTATAAAACTACCCACAAAAATGTCAGCTGATAAAGCTTTTAGTAACATCAGCAAAGCAAAATCATCCATCACAAGTCAAATCTAACCCATAATTTAGATTCCTATTCAGAAAGCATGTATTTACAGCTAAGTAAAGTATTAAATTCAGCAAGTTCCATCTATATAAATTCCTGAAAAAATCAGTTATTTGCTGCTATGCATTAATTAACAAATCAGGTCAAAAAAAATTACTAAAAAGAATAGTCAAATTCAAAAGCACAGATTAACCTGGGAGCAATAGCTTTATTATCTGCCTCTTCCGGTTGACAATCCACCGGTCCCAGAGGAGTGGATTTTGGAGAATCATTTTGCCGGCACGGAGCGGTTTCATCTGCCGATACCGAAACTGTATTGTTGTTTGTATCACTCGGTTCCTTAACTGAATCAGCCGAATTTGAAGTCGCCTACAAATATATAATATATCCAAATTAATTAAACATTCAATGAAAGCACTACTTCCAGTTCACAGGTGGTAAAATTAATTGAAACTCACTGGTGGTTTGGAAACTAAGATTTTCCGTAAAGCACCGGCGCCGGAATCTTCATTAGTTTCGAGGAGAGCTTTGAGTGAGATTACTTGTTGGATCGCCTGCGATTTATTCCACGAAGGTCTGCGCATTCCTGTACGGACATTCTCACAAAAACCAGAGGAAAGATGGAAGACACGTGTCAGCTGCCTCTTAATTTTCAGACACCGGAATATGGCGAAACGCAAGGACAAATATGGAAAGAAAATTGAGGGGAAAAAAGATTTAAATTAAAAAAAATGGAAAAGGAAAAAAAAAACAAATAGAAATGAAAGACCTTTTTCTTTGAGGTATTTGCGGCAATCTTCGCGGGTGAGCTGAGAAATGTCTTCTTCGGTCAGCTGAGTGAGGGGTTTGTCGAGTATCGACCGGAATGGCGTCACGCCGGCATCCATGCCGTAAGTTTCTGTCGAGATTCTGACCGGAGATTCACTGGAGGAGTAGGGAGGGGCAGTGGTCGTAATTTGGTGCAGTGGTGGAGGGTGTGAGTGTTGGGGAAGAGGGGTTGAAAAGTGGGGAAGCGAGTGAGAGAGTGGGCAACGCCTATCCCGATGCGTTCGCTTTTTTTTTATTAAAAACCTTTATTTTCCTTTTTTTTTTAATAAGATTTGGCAAATAGGGGAGCTTTTTGGAGATGGGAATGCACCCTAGGCTGCCACGTAGATGACAGTCGAAGCTAATTGCGGATTAATAGTTGTTTTTACACTATCGCAATGGACTTGTTAAAAGATCCAAATTGCATTTTCGCCGCTAAAAACCTGACGCTGTTGTAAAAATATCTGGCATTTGTATGACTATGCTAAGCTATTTTCTTTTCTTTTTTTTTTTTGAAAGAAAACATATGATATAATTGAGAGCATAGTATGGGCATTTGAAATAGATAACATATTTATTTGAAAATAAGTAGTTTTATTTAGCTTGCTTCAAATTTATAATATTATTATTCCAAATATTTTTGAAATTTAATAGATGATAAATCAGTATAAATTTTATTTTTTGTGAATTTAATTCAATAATTTTGAGTATTGTCGTAAATAGAATTGTTAAATTCTACAGACAAAAGAAGATTTGGATCAATGTCATATAACCATAAGTTATTGTAATAATGATTCTAATAGCATACCAACATTAAGAATAAAAAAATAAATAATAATTTCACAACTATATTTAATTAGCTAGTAATTATTATTGCTGTTGTTTTTGATAATAAAAGGTTTCTGATTTGAATCTCTAAGATATAAATATTCTGGAAAATATTTTTGTAGAAAAATACTATATATTGTTTATGTAGTGTATATATTCCTTCGATTAACAAGGTGATCTACAGAAAAAAACAATTTTACTACGAAGGATTTTGAAATATGTTTTTTAAATTACAATAATGACGTTATAATAGTAACAGTTAATATGTGATCCTATGCAAGCTCAATTATCTGTTCTCTTTATCATGATTGCCTCAGCAACTCGCAACTCAATCAACCCATACGTGTTGCAATTTGATAGAAATGAAAACTAATTTTGCTTGTATATGATAAAAATAATTAGCGATCTAATTATATATTAATGTTTTTTTTTACATAAATTAATATAATATAGTTTAAAATAAAGTTGAATTTTCTTTATTAATTAAATAGAAGATTGCTAATCCATTGTGTTAAGACTCATCCTGCTTGTGTTGAATTAATTCATTAAAGAGTAAAGCGCTCCAGATAGTTATTTATTTCATCTATATTTTAAGGGTAGATGGATATATGGTTCTACATATGTATTAAATCAATAAAAATATGAATTTTTGTTAAAATAAGAGTATTTTGGACCATACAACGAGGAAAAAAAAGAATATAGTAGGAAAAAATGTTTAAAAAATATTTATTTTCATATATTGTTTTGATCTATATGTGTTGCCATGGACCAAATGTAGGTAAGAAATTTTCTATATTTTGAAGCATATAAAATTTTGCATTGCTATTAATTTGATGAATAAAATATTAATGATTTACATAGCTAATATCAGCAAGTTTGAAAGTAAGTCATAAATCATAAAAAATTTTAAAATCACTAAATAAAACCCTCTTAAAATTCCTTATTAATAAGAGAGATGATTTCAAGAAAAGAAAAACTGTCAACCTGAGTATCAAGAAAAATATAAATAGATTCAATGGTAATTGAGCTACCAAGTTTAAGCTAATATATCAAATTTAGAATGGAGAGAATCAAATTATTGAAACACAGGTTCATTCCCAACTTATACAACGGCAAAGACAACTCAATGAAGCAACGAAAGGTTGTCTTCAGCTGATGTACTTTTGTTTTTTGAGTGGACATGTGTTCTTGCTTGCAAAAATGTTCCATTTTTGTTAGGTTTTGAAATGAGATCAGATCTTTTTTCGAAAACTGAAAAGATGATTTAAAAAGTTCATACGTACTTTTCATTCTCTTTAGAATTCCAAGCATTCGAAGCAGTTCTCTTGAGCAAAACGATGTGTACAGAAAAATTTTTAACAAGGCAGATAAAACCTAAGCCTCATTTTGAGATTGCATGTAAAGTTAATACAGTCCATTTTTAAATCCCTAAATATCCATAATCAATCTCCAAAACAAACCAATACAAGAAACAAACAGGGAATCCAAAAAGGATCCAGATACCACCTTGGGCGGCCATGGCAATAACAGTTGGTTAAGCAACATCTTCCCAAAAAATGAGACTGGTAATGCATGCAAAAAGAAAAGCTCTATTATGTGAATAGTAAGTTCTCCACTATCTCCCGTTCCGTCTCAAATGAAAAGGAAAACACAGTGTTAAAAAAATAAAAATGGATTGAAATCCTGCCCAAAAATGTACAAATAAACAGAAAACAGACTAAAAGGATTTTTGCAGTGATCCTTTTATAATATGGTAGGATATAAACCGTAATAGTACTCGATTATGAAGTGTCCCTTTCAAATATCTAGACCCAATGCTAGAAAACTAATCCTGTCATTGGTTGCTTGCTGTTGCTTCCACAGTTGTCCCACAAGTAGGTCCTCTGTTCATCATCCAATTAATCTTCCAAGCCCTATTCCGCACAGGATCATTTATTAAGAAGGCCTGTTTTCTTCTTGGGTTGCTACAGTATAGTGTCAGGCCCACTTCCCACTTGCTATCAGGCTTGCTTTTGCTTTTGCCTAATTATTTTGGTACATGGTTTGTTTCCATGCAAAATTCCTAGTCACTCTTTCAAGCGTGTATATATAGTGTATTATTATCGATTGCATTCTTCTCACTGTATATGGGATATGATGGTGGTATTAAATAAGCTAACAATGTAATACACATGTATATATACAATTAACCGGGTTTTAAACCATGTAAATTAAATACACTATCTAATGGTTTTCTCACTTAAATAAGGAGTCTGACCGTTGAGTTTGAAATTCTACCGTTTTTTGTACTTATTTTTATATATTTTTAATATATCTAATATGGAATTCATTTTTCAACAAAATATAAAATTCTCTTTGTCATTATTGAATTTATTACAAACAGTCAATAAAGTGTGATTTAGCTGACTGTTTCAGGTCCCATAATAGATTTGGGGAGTGAGAAAGTTGGAATTCAAATATTCTCTACCATAAAAAATTATCACCAATCTATTGAATATTATTCAAAGGGAATCCATTTAGTATCCTGGTGTGAATAAAAAAAAAAAAAGAAAAAGAAAGGAAATTATGGAGTAAGAACAAAAAATATAAGTAAGACATATATATATTCTTTTGATTTATTAGGATAGATTTAAATCACAGGCCAAAATATAAGAAAGAAAAAAATCTCCATTTTATTAGCGAGGGTTTTAGATTGGATTGATAGGGTCAATGTTTGAATTATTGCTGGGTTCTAATTAAATATTTTTTTTCTTCAAAAATGTGGGATACTGAACAATGTGAAGAACGGAAAATTTTTCAACCAAATGGAAAAATAAACCAAAAATAGGTCGCAGCAAGCTTCGGTTGTAATAATTGTGTTGAACTGTGTAAGAAGTCTGTGTATACATATACACTTCTGGAAGACTGTGGTATGGGATGAAAGTTGAAGGTTTGGCCTATGAGAGCCGACCAGGAACAGAGCAAGCGAGCCATTTGTAAGTACTGTAACTGCCTTTATGTTACGTCTTAAATGCCACCGAACCCAAAACTCCATTGATCAGTGATGATAATTAGACCAGAAATTCCAAGCCCCCAACTGGGCAGCAGGAGTAGGTTCGATTTTAGGCCCGCACTCACAGAAGGATCATGGACGGGGTTTGGTTCATTTAATAAAAAAATATTTTAACCATAGCAGTAACGTTTGTCAAACAACATTGCAATATCTTCGGTCTGTTGATGGGTCCCCACCTAAATTGGGCCCCATCTCACATTTATTATTAGCCCACAGAGAGAGAGAGAGAGAGAGAGAGAGAGGGGGGGGTTTGGTAATAATGGTGGGAAAGAAGGAGGAAGGGTTAAACCTTGACTGAGATGAGATGTTCGTCTCGTACGAGACAGCACCCTCTATTCTTACACACGTACGCAACTACACGGGTGCTGTTGCAATCAACCTGAACACCTCCCTTCTTTTGGAAATATTACCTTTTAGCCTTCCTTTACTATATTTCTCGTATTACACCACTTATTACCTTCTTTTTCCTTTTCTTTCTCTCCTTCTCTGTATACTTGGACTATCAAAGTTTAATCCAAACTACGCTTCATTAAAAAGTAACTATTATATCACCATTCAACTTTACCTCAAACCTTTTACTTTTACTTTTTTTACCTTTTCAAATTCACCCTCGCTATGTTTCCTCATCAACTAGAATTTAATACCATTGGAGATAATACTAAAGTAGTATTTTTTTTTTTAACTGAATCATACCAGTGCAATCGCGGAAAAAAAAGTAACCAAATGTTGCCAAGTTGACTTAATTTAGAATGTGAATAACATTAGTATGTTTACCTCACATTTATATAAAATGTTAGAATTTATTTAATTTAAAATGAAGTACGTAGCTGTTCCTGTAGCTAGTTGGACCCAGATGTAGGGTAGCTGGTTACCAGCACAATCATGGTATTTTTTTTTTTGCCCGTAAATACAATAAGGCATTTAGGCCTTTAACTAGAGGTAGTACTTCAGGAAAATTTTTACTCACGTTCAGAGTAGACCTATTCCTGTAGTTTTTAAATGAAAAGCAAGTCGTATTATTTTTTTTTTAAATAGATAATATTCACTTACATTGTTAAATTAATGAAAAATTTTGTATTTGAAATAATATAATTTAAAATTTTTCACTCTCCCCTCGGAAAAAAAAAAAAAAAAACCATTGACATCATATCCGATGGTATACTGCCCATTTATTTTTACAATTAAAAATAAAGCACTCGAAACCCAATTGACCCGAATCCAACCGAATTACCCGATCAGGGCCTCTTCGTATTACAATGTAAGTGTGACAATCATTCAGAGTATGAAATGTACATGTGATAGACCCCACCTAAACCGAGCCCCTCCGTTTGGCCAAACAATAAAACAAAATTTCACTTCTTTCTCGCTTTCTCTAATCTTTTCGGTATATGTCTTTGACTTAGACTCACTCTACCACACGCTCACATGCACACATACACATTAATGGCTTCTCTCTAAAATCTCAGCTTTGCTCTTAGACCTTTTTCTCAGTTCAAAAATTCTTTGCAATACACGATACGTGCTCACCTCCACTCGGCGATGGCCGTACTACTACGCCACCGCCTATCTACAGTACTCACTGCCTTCACTTTTCTGCTTTTCTTCTCTTCTTCAGCTACAACTCTCTCTGTACTCGGTTAGTTCAATTGAGTAAAAAAATCATAAGCTCGAGTTATTAAATTGATCGCTCAGTCTAGCTAATTGATTGCTTTATTGTGCAGGGAATGGTTTCCAAAAGAGAGAGGAAGGAGAAAAAGGACGAGGATTAAAGGCGTTTGACAGAGTTTTGACTCAGAAACGACTCAGTGGACCGGGTTCTTCACCGCCCACGTGTAGATCCAAGTGTGGCAGGTGTTTGCCATGTAAACCGGTACATGTACCGATTCAACCCGGTTTGAGTATGCCGTTAGAGTATTACCCAGAGGCTTGGAGATGCAAGTGCGGCAATAAGCTGTTTATGCCTTAGAAAAAAAATTGGAAAAAAAAGAAAGAGAGAGAAAAGGAGAGACAAAGGCAAATTACAGTGAAAAAAGAGCTCTCTTTTTTATGTTACTATTTAGGTAACTATTGGTGGGCAATGGAGGTGGTGCATTTCTATGTCCTTACTGCTTACAATATGATGATTTTGCCACTGGACAAGGAGCTTTGGGAATGTAAGTTGTAGAGGTGAGATTACCAAGAGAGATCTCTTCCTCTTTCTCCCTTTATTTCTCTCCTGCTATATCTCTCTCTTGTTAATGATCTTTCTTTCTTTCTCTTTTTCTTTTCTTTTTTTTCTTGCATTGATGCAAATTTATTATGAGATAAATTGGAAGTAAAAGATGTAAATTAAGATGAGTTTCTTAATATAAGAACAGAAGCTGTCAAGTTGCAATCTTTCATCATCAATTGAACCCTCTTGTTTTGTTTTTATTTTGTAGCGAAACTAAAAGTAGGATATTTCACTTTCATTAAATTCAACATAAGCTGGTTTAAGAGAGCCTTTCAATGACATAAACAATGGTTATATGAACTCTGTTAATGATTTTTCTTTTTATTCTTCTTGCATTGAGACAAATTGACGACACACACACACTCTCTCTCTCTCTCTCTCTCTCTCTCTCTCTCCCCTTTAATTTTTATTTGTACTGAAATTGAAAGCAGGACATTTCAGTTTTCACTTTCATTGAAGACTTGAAGTCAACAAGTAATTACAGACAGAAATATATTACATAACATGTTAGTGTTATGCTATTATAAGCGCAGTTCAAGGGTTTTTAGTTTATACTCTAATGATTAGCAGTGTACTTATCACGATATAGGTCTCTTTCTCTTCAATATTACTAGTGAGCAAATGAAGTATCTGTAGCAAGCAAGAGAAAATTAATGGGCAGTTTTTGAAGGAAGAGAGAGAGAGAGAGAGAGAGAGAGAGAGAGCAAAGGGGTGAGAGACATTTTAATGAGTTAGGCTATGAAACTCTTTGGCATGTGAACCAAAACATGGGTTTCCATTATAGTATTATGGTGCAGAGAATTGAGAAATTTTGGGGAGAGAGAGAGCATCAAACGAGAGAGAAATGGGGTCACTTTTGTTTGTTTGTTTGTTTCGTTCACTCTGCAGTCTAATTTTTCTGTTTCTTTTTCTCTTTTTCCAATTTTTAAATTTCTACTCCGGTTTGTACCTGAGAGAGTCTCTCTTCTTCAGCTTCGTTTCTCAAAATTACCCCTGCTGAAGTCCCTGAATTTCCTCCTTGGGATAAGGGATGTCAGATCTGAAGGATTGTAACTGGATTATAATTTATGAAGAATTGAAATGTCATTAATATTTGTTTTAAGGTTCATTTGATTTTCTTTTTCGTACAACAATTTTTAAATTATGAAATTTATAGGTATATGATTCAGTATATTTAATTACTGCCAATGATTGTCAAAAGTACGTGAAATAATATGGGATAAATACATATAGATCCATTAATTAATATTTCTATCTTGTGAAAATCAGTATTGTAGATTTTGCGAACAAAACGTGTTAAATTGAAGTTGTTCACAAATATGGGAGCATGTGGAATGTTCATTGACTGGGAGACAATTTGTTCTTCAAGCTCATCTGAAAGTCTTCAAAGAAGACTTTCTCCATTCAAAATATCAAACCCATATCTAGCTTTTTATCCCCCTTCAACTATTGTGTAAATAGTAATATGCATAAGCAATTCAAGACCCCACCTCCTTTATTGTCCTCCTCTTTTCTTTTTTTTCTTTTAAGCTAAAGAAAAAAGAATACAGGTACCATCTAGTACTTCCACTTGATGACCAGTAAATGGAAGAAAAGAAAATTAAAATTCCATTCTCTACAAGTGTCAAATTCACCAGCAACCATTTACCCTGTGCCTTAGAAATTAAAATTTCACTCTGTTAAAAACAAAAAATAAATAGAAAAGAAAGGGGGAAAGGGTAATCATCCAAAAATCTATCAAAGCAAGTGGCAATTTGAATATGCACACGAGGGGCCTGAGCTTCCTGTGCACACACAAAATGAAGCTGGAAAGGAACAATTTTTTTTGTTGGGTTGCATATGGCACTATGGCAGTGCTGTTTATATTAGATTAGGTAAAAAAAAAAAAAAAAAATCAATGCAAAAAAGAAAAAGCTCACTTACTGAATTGCTTTAAATGGCCCCCACTCTCTGCTCCCTCTCCTCTTTAAATCAATCAATCAATCAATCAATCAATCAGAAGGATGATATTTATGGCAGTCCTCATGGAATTCCACCCCATTTTCTAATTCGTCTTCTTTATCTGCCCCTTCAAAACCCTGACATTTTTATTATTCTTTCTTAACATTTTCTTATCTTAATTCCCTTATTTTTCCAATTAATAACACAAACCATTGTTTTTTTTCTTAAAAAAAAAAAAGAAACTTGCATATATAAATAATGTTAGTGCATCATGGTGCAACAGACACAGTATATGATTCTATTTGCTACAGTTTCCATATGAATCCAATGTAAATAAGATTAATTTTGAAGACATATAAGTCCTTGGATTCCAATATTTTCTTAATTGTCAACTTTTTTTATGGAGTTGAAGTCAATATTTAAAAACAAGAGACAATTATTGTTGAAGTCAATATTTAAAAATGGAATAATTGATTAATATGATTTTGGTGGTACAATTATTGTTGGGTGAGACAAGTGTGTCTGAGGATGATAAGGGAGTGAGGGAAGGTTAGGGTAGGGGTGTGTCGAGATTATATATAAAAAATTCCGAAAGGCAAAGGGTAGGTGATGGAGTCAGTTTGCCCATTTCTTCGCCACCCTTCGCTTGTTACTTTGGGTTCTCTGATACGAAGATAAAGAGATGATTTGAAGTGATATTTGATTTGACAGTGTTGTTGGGGTTGCCGTTGAACCCTTCTTTTTTTAACTTTCACCACCGACTACGATCAATCTTTCACTTCTTATTCAAACTCCAATTCCATTTCCTCCACAATGTAACTCGACTCCTTTCCTCATATTTCAAATCATGAAACAGTACTCAGCTTAGAATGGTGTAATGTGTTGTTGCTTTTGCTCATGTTTCTTATTCTTTCATTAAAATATTGAAGCACTGTCAAATCACCATTCCTTCACTGCTCAACTCCTTCCAATCTCAAGTTCTAACGTATCAACTGGTCGGAAAAGAAGTTTTATAATTTTTAAGGTTGAAAGTTGAAACTATTGTATGCTCATGTTTCTTATTCTTTCATTAAAATATTGAAGCACTGTCAAATCACCATTCCTTCACTGCTCAACTCCTTCCAATCTCAAGTTCTAACGTATCAACTGGTCGGAAAAGAAGTTCTATAATTTTTAAGGTTGAAAGTTGAAACTATAGTATCGGAATGGTCACTAACTCCAAGAATATGGGCCAAAAAGTGGACACATAGAAGCATCATACATGTCCCCATTCATGAAGAATACTTTGGGTTTTACTTGTTTGTTTTTTTGTACGTTCTTCATCTTGACCATGTCAAGGATTCAAGAACACTTTTTTGTAAAAGGCCTAGCTTTACTTGGTAACCTGGCCCATTTAGTTTTTGCATTCAGTCATGAAACGGGCTTTGTTGTGGTTTGGGCATATTGAAAAACGGGCCTGCGCTCCAGCTTTAGTCACTTGACGATAAAATGTTGGTATAAGTATAATTATAATAAAGTTCAACTTGCATTTCATATTTGTTATCAAATAGCATTTAAGGCAAGTGCAAGCTAAGAGGTCAAATAGATAAGCCAAGCGGTTAAATGAAATGAGTGTTTTCTTCACGCTTATCACACCTTCAATGGAAAAAGGAAACTGTAAAATTGACTTTTTAGTTTATTACCTTTTAAACTTGTAGCTTATGAAACGCTTCATTAAATGTCAAAATCAGTAACGTTTCAAGATAAGTTCCCTCAAATTATAAAAACAATCTTGCAAACTGTCTGTGAATTAAAAATTGAAGATATAAGTTGAAAGAAAAGTAAATTTTATAGTTTTTTTTTTTTTTCTGAATAGTTTACGAGGCAAATTAGAATTTTATATCAATAGAAAACTATATTTGTTGTCAAAAAAAAGCTATATTTATCATATATAATACGAGTCAAATCAAACATTGAATATTAACTATATACACAATAGAGAAAAAAAATCGCAGTCAGATTTCCAAAATCAGCATGGATTCTGTGGAACTTTTACAAGTCAAAAATGAGGTAAGGCCTGACTTGATTCATAAATTCAAAAACAAAAAAGCCCACAGAAAAAATAAACAGTTGAAATGACCATATTAGCCCTACTTAATATAGGTATTATATAGATTCAATTAATCTGGACGAATTCCAATCTCAGTCTCACCAAGGCCCAACGACGTCCAGTCTGTCAAAATGATACACAGATTAATGTAAAGGGCAATTTCGTCTTTTAAGGACCTGACCCCATATAAAATTCCGTTCTCCTGCCCATCCTCTTGATCGCGTGGCTCGAAAGCATTTCAAGAACAAACAGCCAGAAGACCCCAGAGAAGGTGAAAAGAGCAAAAAGACATGGTTGCCCCAAACAAGGTAACATTTAAGCTCTTCTTCCTCTTCTTATTTTAATCAATTCAGCTATCTGTAATTTTCTGTATATTCTACTATGGTAAAGATGATGATGAGCTAGCTGTTTCTGCTCTGCTTGGCGAAATTGTTTAGATGTCTTGTAATTGCTTTCTATTCCTTCTTCCTTATCTCGGTAATTGCTAAAACGTCAATTAACGAATATTTGATTATCCTTTAATCGCAATTCCTATTGCCGGAAAATATAGTTCACAAGCCCAATTCTCTTTTTATCTGAGCCGAACACGAGTTGGTCTTATTATTTATGGTGTTGGGAGGTGTTGCCTAAAGTATTGCTTATTTAAATCTCAGGTTTAATGAAATCCATTAGTCTCCATTGCTGTGATAAGATGCCGAGTATAATATTTAGTAAAGTTGTGAATTTTTGTATTATTATTTTTATTATAAATTTCCACAGGATCCCAGGGAAGAAGTCATTCAAGCATGGTATATGGATGATAGTGATGAGGACCAGAGATTGCCACACCACAAGGATCCTAAGGAATTTGTATCTCTGGATCAACTTTCTGGTAAGCGTCATTGGAACATCTTAATGTTATGAGGTCATCAAGGCATTGAGGATGTTCAACTCATGTTCAATAAACTGCATTACCTTGCAGAGCTTGGAGTACTTAGTTGGAGACTCGATGCTGACAATTATGAAACAGATGAAGAATTGAAGAAGCTTCGTGAAGAACGTGGATATTCCTACATGGTTTGTCGAACGAATTCATTGTTTTATTAAATATCTATAATTATTGTCATGTCTTATTATTATGTTCATTCTAAAACGAGCATTGATTACTTGAGCAATCTCGCAAAACCTGCACTTTTACATTGTTCTTGATTGTTTGTTCCCTTGATGTAAGGTACAAATGTGATTTAATGGGGAAAATATGTAAAAATGGACCGTTTAATTTTAACTGCAGATTCTTAGGCCTTTTGAATGATGTTTGATCATGATCGCAGAGGTGTTATTCTTCATTCTTTTTGGCATCTAAATGTCATATCTTTGTGAGGTTTATAAATACTTACCTTTTACTAAATAAGACTTTTATTTTAGGACATATGTGATGTTTGCCCAGAGAAGCTGCCAAATTATGAGCAGAAGCTTAAAGACTTTTTTGAAGAACATCTTCACACTGACGAGGAGATCCGCTACTGTTTGGATGGAAGTGGTAAAATCTCATTCTCTTATTGGACATTATAATGTTCTATTCAGGCCTCTCAATAATCTTTCTTGGTGAAGGTTATTTTGATGTCAGGGACCATAATGACCGTTGGATTCGTGTTTGGGTGAAGAAAGGGGGAATGATTGTCTTGCCTGCTGGAATTTATCACCGCTTTACTCTAGATAGTGACAACTACATCAAGGTACATAATAGTTCATGCAATAAAATTAGTTCATTGTATCTGTGTCTATTGGTAGGTAAAAGGAAGTTAATTGAAAATTTGAAATATCCCTTCCCATCCCATCTTTTTGGTAACTTCCAATTTTTAAGCAAATGTTTTACAGTTTTTTTTTTTTTTTTTTTTTTATGCAATAAAATTAGTTCATTGTAAAATCTGTGTCGTATTGGTAAGGTAAAAGGAAGTTAAATTGAAAATTTGAAATAAATCCCTTCCCATTCACCATCTTTTTGGGTAAACTTCCAATTTTTAAGAAACAAATGTTTTACAGTTTTTTTTTTTAATATATTTTTTTTTTAAGTATGAGAATTGGTTTTTTTTTTTTTTTTTTTTTTTAAGTATGAGATTGGTCCCAAAGCCTTTATTATCACAATTAGACATAATAAATTTAATCACATAGGAGATGTTGTATTTAAGTCTTTGGTGGCTTTAATTCTAGTGCTATGCATTGACATTCAAACTAATAATGGGAGTTCATAAAAAATTTAAATCGAACCAAATAATGAGGGATGCTCAAAACAACAAAATCTATGGTTGTGTTTGATTTCATTTGGTTCAATTGATGGTTTGAGGGCAATTTGAAAAGTATCCATCATTATAAAGAGAAAATTAAAAAAAAAAATTCACATTAATAAATCTTCGATGAATAAAAGGCACTTGTTAACCATTATTATATGTGAGATATGAAAATTTTAATTGTGAGAAATTAAGTCATTTGACATAATACATGACTAATTAAAAAGAAAAGTAATTTGACTAATCTAAATGCACATGAAAAAAAATTAGTATATATTATACATATGTATTATTTTGGAGGAGTGCTCCAGGTGTTCTATGCGATAGGAAAATATATAACAAAATGGAAGCTAAGTTTTATTGAATGATCGTGAGACCTACAATGTTATACACGAATGATATTTAGCCTCAAAAGCCAAATATATATATTCAAGAAGCCAAAATATATATATATAAATATATATATATATATATATACTATATAGGATGAATGTCTGCAAAAAATGCGAAATGTCAAGATGAACATAGCAAATAGCTCAAATGGGGATAAATGAGAGAATGATATCTAAGATGGTTTTCGTCAAGTGCTATGTAGATATATATATAGGATGAATGTTGCAAAAATGCGAATGTCAAGATGAACATGCAAATAGCTCAAATGGGGGATAAAATGAGAGAATGATATCTAAGATGGTTTCGTCAAGTGCTATGTAGATTGCCATGTGCTATGGATTGTAGTGCGATATATCAATGTTGAAGGATGTTAAAAAGGAAAGAAGATCTAGAATCATATGGAGAGATGTCTCGAAAGATTTATAGTCAACTTCAACTAGTTTGGGTTCAACGCTTAGTTGTGATTCTATTACACATGCTTATTTTTGTTTGGTTAACTTCAACTATAAACGGGATCAACTGTTTGGTTTTTTATATTTTCCAAATCAAACCATATCGCCAACCTTTCAAAACCATGGTTCTGGGTTGGTTTAGCGTTATGGCAGTTTATGGCAGTTCATGAACATGGTATTGATATTGTTGTTGTCTGTCTCTTTAAATAAGAAATGGCATCTATGCAATGGTTATTGGTATTGCTACTGTTACTGTTACCATCATTCCCAATATTTGGATGTCTTCCTTCTGGTTGGTATTGGATTAGATGATGTGTTTTAGGCTGTGCCATATTTTCTAACAAGTATCAACATTTGAGAGGCATTTTGGTTGAAGATGCACTAGGGGGTATGGATTGTTGATATTGTTCTACCATTATCATATGGGTTGTAAAAGTACCATGAGGCATCTTAATCAAGTCCCCAAAGGGAGTTATGTTTTCATACAGTAAATGTCGCTGTATGAATGTGGTAGTTGATTCAACACTTTATGCAAGGAAAATTTTCTGGGATTCTAGATCATGCGTCATGAACTCCTTGACAGAATAATATTCACTTCTGGGGATGTCTTGTAAATTTATATTTCGCTATATTACTCTCCTCTCCCTAATTAATCTGTGACATATGCAGGCAATGCGACTTTTTGTTGGTGATCCAGTGTGGACTCCATTCAACCGTCCACATGATCATCTACCGGAAAGGTGTGCTGCTTTCTCATTTTTACATTGTTTATATTTGTTGGAGTGCACGTGTGGTTGATAGAATATTCTAGATGCTTCGTTGAGTCTTATAATGTGTCTCTGTACTGCAGGAAGGAGTATCTCAAAGCTTTTGTGCAGCGTGAAGTTGGTGATCATGCTGTCGATGCAGCTGCATGAAATCCGATGCTGCAGAAGTGAAAATGAACTGCCTTGTTGGCTTCAAAAACAATACCATAAATAATTTGCAGTTTATATGGATGGTTTGCATGTACTCCGCTCTTTGTTATTATCATAAATAGTTTTGTGGTGTGTTTGTTTGTAGCTTGTATGTGCTTTACCTGAAAATACTGACAAACTTGCTATAATATGTATATCTGCCATTCTTGCTGTTCTTGGACAGCAACATAATTATGCTTGCTTAATGAAATTTACCATATATGATATCGGTGTGTGATGCTTGCTGGTAGGTATGACTACAAAAATGTAGAAGACTGCAGGGTAAAGATGGTAGCAAATTTGCATTTTGTAGCCTTGTGAAAGGGACATTCTGAGACAAGAAGTTTTTGTTAGTCGGGACTTGTGGCCTTCTTGAGTGTTCCTTTGAGTGCAGATGGCTGCATTAGGTGACAAAGATTGGATCTTTGTGTGCCTTGCGGATCTCGAGCCTAATAAATGGTTTAGAAAGTTGTTTTGTTTTTTAAAAAATTAAAAATAAAATATCGTAAACAGGCACAGTCTTGGTTATAGTCGGCTCGAGCTCACTCGCTCTGTTCAACGTCGGCAGCCTTTTTTTTTTATCCTGTATAGATTTGGCTATGTCGGGTATGTTCGGTGCGGTTCTACACTCATCGCCAAACCTTTTTAAACCTGCAATATTTTTTATTTATTTAATTGTATTACTTTAGTCCAACTTGGCAACTTGCATTAGGATAATGCTGCCATCTACATTGTTCTATCTCTGTGCACCCTTTTTTTGACACGTTGTATAGGGATAACGTGGTATCTTGCAAAATGTGCCACCTGTAAGTTAACAGAATATTTTAAAATAAATATCTTTTTGTTCTGTGTATGCGACCGTATGATATGCTCGAAAGGCAGGCCAGCTACCCAACACCTTTCTATTTGGTGATGAACTTTTGTCCCGAAAGTGCATTCATATCATTATTATTTATTTAAGGCAACGAGTGACAAATTAAATTCAAGACATAACTATTTACAAGGCAGTTCAATAGCAGGTTGTAAAAGTGGGCTTCGAGGGGCGAATCTGCTCTTCAAATGAAAATGATCGGTTCCATTAGATTACATGAATAAAGTATTTATTCAAGTGATTGACAGGAAAAAGAGGTTGAAGGATCAAAATGTAATTTTTTATAAAGAATTTTTTGAAAAGTTTCCTGGAGGCTACAGCCCCATTAGGCTCCCAAAAACCTTTTATTATTTATTTTCCTCCCAAAACGGAGTAAAAATGAGGTAGAAAGTGTATAAAATAAAATAAGAGATTTTTAGAATTTCAAGACACTTTCATCTCTATTTTATATAATTTTTATATTTTATTTCTATCCAGACAACTCATAACTCTCTCGTCATTTCTTACCGTATATAATAAGTGTTAAGTTTCAAAATAGATTTTGTAAGTTATTTAAATTATAACATTATTAAATGTATCATATAGTATCTTTGGAAAAAAAATAAAATGGTGGTAGAGCGGCCTTTCACTGTTAATGTTTCGAACCAAAGCATCAGCCACAGAATTGCAGAATGCCAAAGCTGTGAGATTTTATTTGACTTCACAGTGTGGTTGGATAGTAATTTAGAGAGGAAAGAAAATATGAAAAGAAAATAAAATGGGAAATATAAACAAATTTTCTTCTTAATATGAGAGAAAAATAAGTGAGGAAAATGATTTTATGAGGAGTAATCCGTTATTAAAAAAAGTACGAAAAATTTATAATTATTTTCTTCAAACTTTCTCTCAATTTAATTATTTTTCTTAAACTTTAAATGACACGTAAATCCTACATTCGTATTTTTCTTCCTCTTACATTTTCTTTATTCCTAAACAAACGCAGAAAAAAAAATTATTTTCCGTCTCAATTTTCATTTCCATTCCTCCAAGTTTTTGGTTCTCCATAACAGCAAAATTCGTCTTGTGTTTGTCAAAGTTGTAATTGGAACACGAAGAGTGGTTAAGAGGACGATACATGGCCCACTGAAACGATGCCACATTTGAATACTGATCATCTTTCACTATCTTATTATTAATAATTATAATAATATTTTTCTCTGCAGATATTTTCCTCCGTCAAAGATATTTTGAGCATAGAGGTCCAATTTTTTTTTATTTAGAGTGTCGGGTGGGGTCCTATGGAGAAGGTGAGTGCATGCCTTAAACAAGCAAAACGGTTCTATCGGTGGTGAACTATAAACAAAGAAAGAGCTATTAAGTTGGAACCCTTTTAAAATACTTGGAAAGAGAAACTAAGTGGGTCTCATATGACATATGTGTTATTATAAAAAATTTTCAAATATATAACGTTTATATATTTTTTAATTCCTTTTACATTTTCTCATTTCTGAAGTAAAAAACCAGTTCTTTTAATAAAAACTGGCCTTCTGATATATGCAGACAATTAAATAATCTAATGCTTTATAATAACTGAAATTTTTTAAATTCAAATTATATGTTTGTTTGCTCTCTTCTTTGTTCTTGGGTTTTAGTTTTGAAAAATAAGGATGAAAATGAAGTGTCCAGTTAGAGTTAGTCAGTTAGGTAATAACTTTCCCCATTAAGAAAGAAACCAATAAGGAGCAAAAATATCTCATCTCCATTTTGGCTGTTTTGCCATCATCAGCATTCAGCCATCTCAGCCCTATAACCAATGCCCTTTTACTTTTTTTTTTTTTTTTTTCATAAACAAATCTTTGAAAGCTACTATTTATAGATAGATCAAACTCCTTCCTTTGCTTTTATGTTATGTTATTGGCCTCTCTTATTTTTACCTATTCTCCAATTTTCTTTCTGTTTCTTGGTCTCCCTCAGTATAAATTTCAATACATAGCATCTCTCAACTCCAAGAAATATCTTTGCTTACAGTTTCTTCCTCAAGGTTATTGTTATTCTTTCTTGCTTTTTTTTTTTTTCTTTTTCATCTTTTTTGTAGATCAACCCTAGACTTTATCCAACCTTTCTTTATTCAAACCAATCATTTAGTAAAAACTACTGCTCATTTCAATTGCATTTCTTGGTCCTAAAAAGATTTAAAGAGGTAGATTTAAAGAAATCAAATCTTGGCCTTGCTTAATTATTGGTTTCCAGTAATGAATCATCCAGACCGAGTAAAGGAAGAGTATGGAGGAGGAGGAGGAGCTAGTTCATCTTACTCGGGCATGACATCTACAGGTGCTCCTCAGCCAAGGGAGGGATTACATGATTCAGGACCTCCTCCTTTTCTCACAAAAACTTATGACATTGTGGAGGATATAAACACAAACCATATAGTTTCTTGGAGTAGAGGTAACAATAGCTTCATTGTTTGGGATCCACAAACCTTTGCCATGAGTCTTCTACCCAGATATTTCAAGCACAATAATTTCTCAAGCTTTGTTAGGCAGCTTAACACATATGTAAGTTTCTTTCTTCTTAATGATTATAGATCTTTAACTTTGAATGGAAAAAAATCAAGAAAATTTGGGTTGTGAATGCCTTTTTTATTAATATATCTGTAATTTCATGTTGATTCTGTAGATGGCACTGCGCCATATAAATTTTTATGAAAGAGCTAGAATATGCATTTTATGCTTATTCATATATTAAAAAAGGAAACTTTTTATTCTTTTTCAGAGAAAATATCTACTTGGCCCTTCTCCTATTCTCGACCATTTGTTTGCTTAATGTTTTGAAAAGGTGGAGATTTGGCAGATCAAAAATATAGAATACACAGTAATGCACTATTATTAGTTGCTTAAGCAACTGCAGCGCCTGAACATTCAATTTGTTATCCCTTGTTTGATATTTGATGCTTTTTTCAAAAAAAAAAAAAAAAAAATTGTTTGTTATCCCGGTCGTTCTTGATATTTGTGCTTTTTTCAAAAAAAAAATAAGCAAAAAAAAAAATTGAAGTGCTCTTGAAACGCTCCGTAGCATCGGATTTCGTAATTCATAGGTTTAAGATTTGATCTTCAAGAAGAATCTGATTTATGTGATCCATTGTCTGTTTAAATGGTTTTCAAAAAGAGTGGAGACTGGCAGATCAGAAAAAAAAAAAAAAAAAAAAAAATTGAGTGCTCTTGAAAGCTCGTTACATCGGATTTTAATTCAAAGGTTTAAGATTTGATCTTCAAGAAGGAATCTGATTTATGTGATCCATTTGTCTGTTTAATGTTTTCAAAAGAGTGGAGACTGGCAGATCAGAATATTGTATGCAATATTAATTTATATGTTAAGCAATTACACTGCCTGATCATTTAATTTATTAATTAATCTTTGTTTGATATTTGATGCTAATATATATATATATATATTTTATTCATCTTGAGTGCTCGTGAAAGCTCATTATATGAGTTTTGAGTTCCAAGATTTATTGAAGGGAACGAATTTGATTTATGTAGGGGTTTAGAAAGGTTGATCCAGATAGATGGGAGTTTGCTAATGAAGGGTTTCTAAGAGGGCAAAAACATCTTCTCAAGAATATTAGAAGGAGAAGAACTGCTCAATCTCAATCTTCTCAGCAATCTTTAGATGCTTGTGTTGAAGTTGGAAGGTTTGGAATAGACGGTGAAGTTGATAGATTAAGGAGGGATAAACAGGTTTTAATGATGGAATTAGTGAAGCTTAGGCAGCAACAACAGAATACAAAAGCTTGCCTTCAACTAATGGAACACAGACTTAAAAGGACAGAGACAAAACAGCAACAGATGATGAGTTTCTTGGCTAAAGCAATGCGAAATCCGAACTTTGTCCAGCAGTTAGTCCAACAAAAGGATAAAATGAAAGAACTTGAAGATGCAATTAGGAAAAAGAGAAGGCGGCATATTGATCAAGGCCAGCCTATTAATGCTCAAGTTGGAGAATATTTTATAAAGAATGAACCTCAGGAATTTATTGATCATTCTGGATTTGAAGTTTCGGAGCTGGACAAACTAGCTGTGGCAATGCAAGGAGGAACTGGAAGCCAACACAATTACTTGGAAGAAGAATGTATAGAGAGAGAAGAGGAACAGGTAGTAGATCATAATTATAAAGGTAAAGAACTTGATGAGGGATTTTGGGATGATTTATTGAATGAGGATGTTGGGGAAGAAATTGGTATTTTGGATGATGAAAATGAAGACATTGATGTTTTGGTTGAGCAACTTGGTTACTTGGGTTCTAGTCCAAATTAAGTAGAGAACTATGTATTCTGCTGCTAATTTTTTTCTTGCTTGCAGATTCAGTCATGAGCCGATCAGTATGGAAGAGTCTCATCTAACTTTCTAACCTTCTGGTCCTTTTTTTATCTTTTTGTGGAGGTCATTTGCTTTTTTTGTTCTGGGTGCTAAAATCTTGGTGTTTAGATGGGTTATTTTGGTATTCACAGGAGACTGCCTTACATTTAGAACCTAAAGATTGAATTGAATTCTCAGAAAAGCAAAAACAAATTGTCCTATGTTGCTTCTTTTCTAGGATTATTTCATATTGGATAAATACAGTTGATGATAGGTTCAATCAAACAATATGATCAGCACCATTCATTTCTTGCATTCTTGATGATCTTTAATAATGTGAGATTCCTGGTATAACTTGGAAAGCATGTTGAGTTCATATTCTTGATAATCTTCTTCTTTACACTTGTATTTGTATTGTTCTATCCTTTTCAGGTTATAATTGTTCATATTCAGAATTAGATCATGAATATAAATCACATTTGACATGTTCAATCTTCAATGTGTTCTTATGCTAGTGCTTCTTGTTCTTGGAATGGCTTATTAAGTTTCTTACATACATATAACTAGGTTCTAAGTTCATTTTCGTTTTTGCAGACTTTAACTTTATACTCAAAATTAATTGTATTTGGTTATCAGTTTGTGTCTATTGAAACCAAAGCTGCCTTACTGTCTCTGACAATTTTGTTCCTTAAAATTAATACTTTTGTGCTCTACATGGTTCTAGAGCAAATAATAATAATAATAATAATATTAAGACTGCATTTAATTCTATATGTTGATGAAGTGGTCAGCAGGTGGCTTTATCAAAATGATTAAATCTTGAAATTGTGTAGAATCTTCGGACAAGAACAGTATTTCAGATCTGTGTTTTTTTTACTTGATGCCAAAATGTTTTCTTGAACTTTCTCGATTATCACTTTTATTTATATATTTATAAAATACTAATATATTGTATTTTGACTAACTATTTATCTAGCACATTCCACTGCTACAGTAAAGTAAAGTAAGCTCGCAGCACCGTTGATCATGTAACATTTTTTTTTTCGTCCTCTCTCTCTGTCTTCACATGGTTTATTCTAATTATAAAACTTTTAGAATAATTAAACGGCAATTTTTTTTTTTTTTTACAGTATTGAAAATTCTAGTATTTTGAAAAACTAATGTCAAATTAGCTGTTGAAACATAACAATTTTAAATCGTGGATTGCAGAAGAAATTTTTAAGAATCAAATGGTAATTAATTTCCTTCATTTTCTGTCAAACTCATATAGCCCTAGGGTTTATATGCAGACACACAATATTAGGAATTGGAAGAAAGATCAGAAAAGAAAATTTTGCGAAACAATGATTTAGTGGTTTATGATCCCTGTTGGGTTTTCAAGAACAATATGTAGTCTTTGAAGAATAATAAGGATGTGATAATGATAAACAAGACAGTCATCATTTTCATCTGGGGACCAAACAGCTACAGATTTCCTTGTTAACATCAATGGCTCTTATATTATTATGCATGTGCAGGTCTTAAAGGAGCGTATGGTAACATTACTTTTTCTGCTCTCTCTTTTTATGGGCATAAAGAGAAGAAAGGTAGATCATGATCGAGCTTCCCTAACTTGGGGGAATTTTTATGGTGGCACCACCACAATTCAGTTGGATCACATTTAAAACATTTGCATTTGTCTGGTGAAGCGATAGGGTTTGCACATGCTGTCCATGAGTCTGTTTAATTACTATTCGAAATTGCATATGTGAAAATTAAAATTGATTAGCTAATTCAAGAATTATTCATATCCGAACATGCTTCAAAGAATTGGTAAATAAAAGGATTTGTAATCCATTTCCATCATCCGACCACGGTATTATTAAGTTAAAGTCTATTTGTGATGTATTTCATTTCATCTTGAGATTTTCAGAGCAGCAAAAAAATCTCAGCAGTTCTTAGTTTCATACCAGGCTAGGCATATTTTTTTGTGTTACTACTACCTGATAATATATAATAGGAAGTGAAATCTTAGCGGAAAGAGTACAACCTATTGATTTTTTTTTTTTTTTCTTATTATTTATGTTTGAAGTATTCTTTTGGGTTGTATTATAGGTGCATGGGACCAGTACTTGGGCTTATGGGCTGGCAGGACTAGAGGGCCTTAACTTGGTTGCATGGAGATAAGCCCAAATATACCCCTTTTCAGGTTGAACTTCGACCTAAACAAATGATGGGAATTGGGAAAATAAATGCAATTATGTGAGATCAAGATTAGGTCTTTTAGCAATAAATAATAGACTATGTCTTTTTAACAGGTAGGTTGAATTTGTTTCGTCTCCAAACTACAGTCAAATGTCAATACTAAATCAGACCAAAGTCCACTGTAATTTCTTTTCAAAGATATAAGATTTTGGTGGGATGCTTTATATTAATTTGTATCTTTCATTGTCCTATGGATGACAAAACCGATTGCAAGTTTTCTTTTTTTTTTTTTTTTTCCTTTTAAAAAAAATTAATTATGGTGGGTTGGACTCTTAATTAATGGAAAATTATGAATATCAATAGAAATAAATAATAGTGGAAAATTATTGAATATATATATGGACAACTTTGCAAAAATTAAAAGCTTGAAGTTGAAACGTTATCGTTATCATTATTTTAGAGTGAAAATAACATTACTAACGTTAGGCGTCATGTTGCTATCTAAATTTGTTTTTTAGTATCGGATTGTAATAATATTTGAATTTTGTTGTTGAATAATTTTAAAGTATCTCAAATTTAATATCAGGGCAAGGAACTAGTAATAAAATAAATTAAAAAAATGTGTTTGAGAAACACAACATTTTATTTAATTATAAATATAATTACATAAAATCATCGTTTGATGCTGATAATAAATTACGTTTTCTCCTTGAAATCTCAGTTCCATTTGGTAGATGTACAGTTGCTGGGTACAAGGATTGGAATGGGTAAGAAATGGGTGATCCATGATCCATTAAAATCAATACTTGACTTTTGAAAGCCTACCAATCTTGAATTCACAGCCAATCAGAAAAAGCCACGCATTTTAATTGAACAATTTCATAATTATTCTCGGATAAGTGCACTTATTATTAATAACATTCAGATTTAAATATGTACAATTTTAAATTTAGTGACCGAACATATCATTTTTAAATGAAAATGACTTTTTTATAAATTGAATATGGTAAAACGATAGTCCAAACCCTTTTTTTTATATGAATGAGATTTAAATTTTAAATTTTTGTTTTCGACCTAGATAAATTCAATATTACTCAGATATTTTAGTTACTAAAGCAGTAGATTTTTTCTATTAGGGAAAGAAAATAAAATATTAAAAATTGAAATTTGGTCAGAATAATACATGGAATCATTCCTATAGTGCATTTTATGAAATTTAATTACTTAATTACAATGTGGTATAACGTTATTTTTTTATTTTTTATTTTGATATAAAAGAAAGCAAAACTTAAAGAGAAATTAAACTGAATTAAACGAAACAAGAGGAAATACGAAGGACTTCACAAAAATTTCAATTTTGCTTATTTTATTTTTAATTTTTTTTTGTTTTTTAATACTTGTGGAACGATGAGTTTTTTTTTAAAAAAAAAAAAAAAAATCAACCTAGTAAGCTTTGGAAAGTATCCGTTACAAATTACAATGGCAGCATTCAAAGTTGAAACTTGAAAACCAACGAACTGGCAATAAGTAAAGTCTACTAAATAGCCCATAAACAGCCATAGCCATAACCCGAATACCTCCGGCGACAGGCGTAACTCTTATATATATATATATTTATATATATATAGGTGCATTTTAGAAGTATTTAATTTACTTTAAATTAAAATGTGGGATTATAACAAGAAACGGTTATTAATGTTTTTATTTTTATATTTTGAGTATATAAAGAAAGTCAAAGAACTTGTAGAAGAGAGAATGTAAAACCACGATTAAAACGAAACGAAGTCAGAAATGACCGAAGGACTTCACTAAAAACTTTCAATTTTGCTTATTTTTATATTTTAATCTTTATTTTTGATTTGTTAATACTTGATGGAAACGATGAAGTTTAGTTTTTTTAAAAAAAATATAAAAAAAAAATGCATACACTAGTGAAGCTCTGATAGTGATAACTGTTACAAAATTGACAGCCATGGAGGCAGGCATTCAAAGTTATGAACGTTGGAAAACCAACGAACTGGTCAAATAAAGTAGGAACGTCTACTTAATATATCGACACCCATAAAACAAAGCCATAGGGCCATAACCCGAAGAAATACCCTTCCGGCGAACAGGCGTGAGACTCCTTAATGTAGTATATATATTATATATATAGATAATACAACAATCGCATCTAGAAAGAGAAGTAACGCAACAGTAATGAATCCAATCTGTAAAAATTAGAATAATGAGAACTCTTTCCTCAAAAAAAAAAAAAGAAAAAAAATTTGAAATATATTAGACTTCGATTCAAATTTGGCATTACCTATGTTAGAAAAAAGATATATAGGGGATTGATTTCAATAAGACAGCGGAATATATGTTATGGTAATTGGTCAAAGAACGATGAGAAATTAGAGGAATGAAAGAAACACGAGGAGCATGGGTGGGGAAAAGGAAAAATGGCGTTTGCTCCTTTCATTGGTCCACCATTAAATCTCCTTTTTCCTAAATTGGAGTTTTGAGAAGAGGGAAAAGGCGAAGGGAACATCAAATTCGTGAAATTTGATGTTTTGGTCTTTTTTTTTTTTAATTGATATGAAAGACAAAATCAAGTTAGCCTGTTATCAATTTTTTAAGAATGTTTGGATTACTGTCGTTTTATTTTTTTTAATTTAGCCTTAATTCATAAAGAATGCTTCAACTTTAAAATTCCTTTAAATTTTCATTATGAATTTAGTTTTTACATAAACAATTTCAGGAAAAACAAATATTTAAATCAGAACTGAATTGTAAAGTAACAATTTTATAAAATGTGTATCATTTACATTATTATTTATTACTATGATATCATGCGTCACTCTTGAATGTTAATGTGGGGCCCCGGAAAAAAGTTTTAAAGTATTCTTATGTTTATAGGTTTTTTTTTTTTTTAATATACAATAATCGGAAAAAAGGATATTTTTACATCCGCTTAGTATTTTTGTTTTAAAATGTAAAATAGCAATTATATAATGCAAATCCAACAAATAGTAAAGTACTGGAGGATGAGTAGTGAATGCGTACAGATACCAGTCGAGGAAGTCAATTGTACGATGAGCATGGGACGAGATACAGTGGGGATAGGCAAGATTACGCGTTCAGGGAAAATTGGCTAGCGTGATCGAATAGTCACAACAACGTTTATGCCCACCGGATCACTATTAAAAAATGACTAAGCACCTCCTCTACTGGACTATCGCGACGTGTAGACGATTGTAAACTGTTTCACGAGACTGCTAATCTCAAAGTCAATGTGGTGCAACCATGGCGCACGTTGATCGATTTCTGGGGGGCGCGCTCTCAATATTCGGTCTGTATTTTTTTACGTCGATTAACAGCTAATCTTCTCACCATTTTTTTACCTAGGGGTTTATCAATTGGTAAAAGGGAAATTACTGATGAATAAGATCAGATAATGTTATAGACTGCGGAGTGGAGTGAGAATTACGGAATTAAGAGCGATAGAGTTTACTGCATTCGTCGGTACTAGATGTAACCAAAAGAGACTCTGGACCGTTGTGATTACAGATATATATAAGTAGAAAAGTACAACCAATGACGAAGTTGATCAGTCTTGAAGTATATAGTAGTTGATCTTCAGACTGCGCTCTATTAAGTTGTGCACGAAATAAGCAACCGAAAAAAATCCAAAGGATTGATAGGCAAAAAACACGAGAAAAGCTAGATAAGAGTTAGGCATCGCATGACAGTGATACCGTGGAAGACAACTTAGTTATTGCTTTCTGCCAGCCCAAGCGGTAGTCAATGTAATAAAGATCATAGTTGGTGTATGCTGCGTGGATTGAGATAGAAAGTGCGCGCCGTATGGAAACCTAGATGATGGTCACGAGGAGAGAGCCGCCGTGGTGGAAGAGAATATGGTTGGAAGGAAACATCGGCAGCACGCGGGAGATGATCACTGAGCATCGACTGAGCAGGCCTAGTTACGTCTGGATTATATGACAAGAATAGATGTAAGAAACATGAAGAGGGCAATTAGAAGGAAAGACTATGAGTGGCCAAAAGAGAGACATGCGCATTCGTAAGAGTATACCCAGAAAACTGTTGAAGTATTAAAAAGGAATGAATCGAAGAAAGTTTACACGTAGGAGTTGATTTCTATAGTATAATGTACAGTTATTTCCAGGCAGCGGTGCCTTGCCCGACGAAGCAAATGGCAAATTACAGTGTTGAATGCCAAATGACAACAACTGTTGATTAATAGACTGATGCTTTTATCACTCGCACATTAAGCTAGACGATAGAACCAATGAGCGATGCAATGTGGGGCGATCGATACAAGTACACTGGATGGAGTAAGTTCGTTCCTTGCTCTTCACAAACCCACCTTCAAAGTAAGCATGCATGATAGTTTTTGTCTTTGAACAACAGAAAATAGTTGTATTAGTTAAGGTTTTATATAAGTAAATAAAAAATAAAACAATTAAAAAACAATTTGGGGCCTCGCAAAACGCCGGCACGTCGGAGCCAGCCACCGGAATCCTGACAGAAACTCCCGTCCTTACCCCAAAGAATAATAATAATAAAATAAATACTAGAAACAAACAAAGTGATAGTAGGTGATTAAAAAACAAGTTTATTTACCAAGTAAGACTAATTGAATGAACTTAATAGAGATATGATAAATATTGGTTACCATGATTTTAAAAATAGAATAAAGAAATTTGTTTATACATGATAATTATGTTTCACCTATTCAGTAATACTATTTTATTTCTTAAGTTTGAAAGTAAAAAGCTAAGTTTAATTTTCTATTTATGAATTTTATTTTTTAAAAATTTAGGTCCTTATTTTTTTTTATTTTCTCTTATTTTTATCCATATTTAAGAAAGATTACAAACTGAAAAATTCCAACTGGATAATTATCTCTAGAAAAAAAACTAACTAAGCAATCCATTTCAGTAAAAAAATAATTAAATTTTATAAGATAAAATAGTCCAAGTTGCAAAATTCAAATAATGGACGCGTGTCTACAATTGTGGTGGTCCATAATTGGTTTTCTATAAGGTCCCCTTATCATGTCACGATTAGTTCAATTTTCGATGTTGCTTCTCGCCTTCAAAGCCTTTCACCGCGGCAAGCCTACCCCCACCAGTCCGTTACCCCACGCGGCTCCACTGCCGATTGCGCTTTCGGGGGTCGGGTCATGAATTTTGGAGGACTTTGTTGGTTCTCGGCGGACCTGTGTCGGAGACCGCGAGTCCTAGGCGGAATCTTACTGGCATTAGCGGAGAAGATAGGAACAAGTAACAGTTCTTGGGCATCTGTGGCTTCAGAGAGGATAACGGAAAAGAATGGAAATGGAAATAACAATAATCGCGCTGTGTGGTTGTGTTAGAAGAAGAGGGTAGGCAGGGAGCTTATGTAATAGAAGGCTTGAGGGAGCACACTGAAAGATGATCAAATCAGTAGGAGGGAAACGCATTACACAATTATCGACGTCGTCTATTGATTTTGCAATCTGATACCTAGTTTAATGCCTATATAAGATTTAATTTAATTTCTGAAATGTGCGTTAGTTAGTTTATTTTCATATATATATATAGATAATACAACTACATCGCATCTAGAAGAGAATAAGCAACAGTACACCATCTTAAAATTGAATAATAGACTCTTTCCTCAAAAAAAAAAAAAAAAAAAATTGAATAATAGACTCGAATTCAAATTTGCATTCCTTGTTAGAAAAAAGATATATAGGTATTTGATTTCAGATAAGCACGATAATATGTTATGGTATTGGTCAGAACGATGAGAAATTAGAGGAATGAAGAAACACGAGGAGATGGGTGGGGGAAGGAAAAATGGCGTTTTGCTCCTTTCATTTGGCCCACCATTAATCTCTTTTCCAATTGGAGTTTTGAGAGAGGGAAAGGCGAAGGGAAATCATTGAAATTTGTATTTTGTCTTTTTTTTTTTTAATTGATAGAAACAAAATCAAGTTGCCTTTTATCATTTTAAAATGTTTTGATTCTGTCGTTTTATTTTTTTTATTTACCTTAATTATAAAGATGCTTCAACTTTAAAATTCTTTTAAATTTCATTATGAATTTTAGTTTTTACAAAACAATTTCAGGAAAAACAAAATATTTAAATCAGAACTTGAATTGTAAATGAACAATTTTTATTAATGTGTTCATTACATTATTATTATTACTATTATACATGCACACTCTTTATGTGGGCGAGTTTATATTCTTATGTTTATAGGTTTTTTTTTTTTTTAATATAATAACTCGAAAAAGGATATTTTTACATCCGCTTAGTATTTTGTTTAATGTAAAATAGCAAAACATAAATGCAAATCCAACAAACATAGTATATATCACAACACACGTTTATGGCCCACCGGCACTATTAAAATGACAAGCAGCTCCTCTACTCATCGCGACGTGTAGAGATTGTAAACTGTTTCACAGGCGATCTCAAGTCAATGGTGTGCAACCATGGCGCACGTTGATTTCGTGGCGCGCCTCATTCGGTCGTATTTTTCGTCGATTAACCTAATCTTTCACCATTTTTACCTAGGGGTTTATCAATTGGTAAAGGATAAATAATGATGATAATTAGTAATTTTCATAAAAAAAAAATGAGAATTAGTATTGTTTTTATTATTCAAAATCCAAAACAGAAAACTGGTAGGACTATTGCTTTCTGCCAGCCAAAGCGTATCTTATAAGCTCTTTTTATAGCAAAAAGAAAAGTCAAGAACAATAAATAAATTGAAAAAAGAAAATTATTTTAGTAAATTTCCAGGCAGCGTCTTGCCGACGAAGCAAATGCAAATTACAGTTTAATGCAAATGACAACAAAACTGTGATTAATAGAGATGCTTTACCCTCCATTATATACATAAAGACTAAATTGTCCTTCTCCACAAAACCCACCCTTCCAAGGTATGCATGCATGGATAGTTTTTTCTTACACAGAAATAGTTGTATTAGTTAAGGTTTAATGCCAAAGAATAATAATAATAAATAAATACTAGAAACAAACAGTGATAGTAAGGTAATTAAAAAACATTTATTTTACCAGTAGACTATTGAATGAACTAATAGAGATATGATAAAATTTGTCTACATATTTTAAAATAGAATAAGATTTGTTTATACATGAATAATTATTTCACCTACAGTAAAATACTATTTACTTCTCTTAAGTTGAAGTAAAAGCTAAGTTTATTCTATTTATGATTTTATTTTTAAAAATTTAGGTCTTATTTTTTTTTATTTTCTCTTATTTTATCCATTTAAGAAAAGATACAAATGAAAAATTCCAACTGATAATTACTTAGAAAAAAACTAACTAAGCACATTTCAGTAAATTAATTAAATTTATAAGGATAAAATAGTCAATTGCAAAATCAAATAGACGCGTCATAATTGTTCTAAGGTCCCCTCTCTGATTTATCATTTTCAGTGTCTCCCTTCAAAGCCTTCGATACTAAGCTCCCTGCCTCCCTCTCTTCCTTAACACAAGCACACAGCGCGATTTGTATTTCCATTTCCATTTTCGTTATCTCTCTGAAGCCAAACAGATCCAAAACTGTTACTTGTTCTATCTTTCTCCGTAATGCCAGTTAAGATCGCCTGACTCGGTCTCCGACCACAGTTGACTCGCGCACTGAACCACAGAGCCCAAAGCTTCTAATTCTAATGGGAGGAGTGCCTTCGACACCGCGGTGGAGCACCGCACGGCCACAGGACACAGCTGAGTACTTAATTGGCTCATTTGTTGGTGAAAAATCCTTCCCTCTCGGCTCCGATTTCTGGCAGAAACTCTTGGAACTCCCTCTCAATCTTCGCTGGCCCACTGACCGTGTCCAGGAAGCCTGCCAGCTCTTCGGTCGGTTTGCCTTCGAAATTTGATCATTGATTAACTATGGGCTTATTACTGTACAAATTTTCCTTTGTACATTGAGCTTGGTATCTATTAATCATTTGCTTGACTCGTGGTAATTGCATCGTTTTAGGAAGCGTTTCGTGGTTTTGGAATTTGTTTCCCAGGTCGTTTAATGATTCATTTCTGGCCAATTAATTAAGTTAATGTAGGAGAAACTAAACTCTTAAGCATGAGTTCAATTAATTTTTTGAAATATCTGGGAACGTGTGTGTATTGAACTACATTGTCACTTTATCTATAGCCATGTGGTTGTGGTCCAGGGATTTTCATTTTTTTCTAGTTGTTTTGGCAATGCAATTGTGCTTCCTTTGCGCTCCGATGCTCAATCTTAAACTGTTTCCTGTCTTGGTGATTTCACTATCTGTGCGTTTTAGTGTTGAGTAGTAGCCAACTCCTCTCTTGTTGATTATATTTTTCAATTGAGATCTCCAACTTGTATCCTTTGACAGTTGAATGGTATATTTTAGCTTAACTGCGATTGGCTGAGATTTTCAATCCAAACCTGATCTTAAAGCCTTTTTACCCTCCTTCATAACTATAAACTTAAACCAGCTTTAGGACGCATTATGACGAACTATACTGTTATACATGTCTACAGAATAAACTAACCTTGAGGAAACATAAATAGATCATAGTTGTTTTCTACTTATCCTTACTATAGTTCACTACCACATTCATTGTGATTGTCACTGTACTTTGTATGATACAAAGCTAGTGGATGGATTTTTGAACTTTGCTACTTATAACCTCATTTTTACCAGTTCCTGATAATTAGCCTCTTCTTTTCCTTTTAATTTGTTGAAACTCTGACTAACAATTTTGGTATTGATTTATGTAATTTTGCTGTGCAGCACAAAACAATCATTTCACTAGACATCTTGCAAAGATTTTGATTCACCTAGCCCAATGTTTGCAAGAGTGCATTTCATCTTCTGGTGCACCATCCCCAGTTTATATGAAGGCAGTTAATGCGGTATACATTTCATCCGTTTTCTTGAAGTACTCAATTGAAAATACCCAAAGCAACAACATCGAAGACTTGTATTTGTCATTGGATGAAAGTGAACCGGTACCAAAGGATTTCATAAGAGGTATTTAACTTGTAGCATACTGGTTTTCTTTTTGCTACCTTTCATACGTGCATTCTTATATGGTCACCAGAGAGGAAATTGAAGACTATAATCTGTATAGCCTTTAGTACTCTTGATGGTCATAACAATAGTTTGTATTACTAGTAGAATGTTCTTATTTGTTGTTTGTTGTTTGTCTTTCTTTTGGAGATTGAGAACTGGGATGTTGGTGATTGGATGTAAGATTGTTCAAAGCATTGGTAGGCAATACCCAGGGGTTTGGCCTAGATATGTTGTATTTTCATTGGGAACGAACTAGTTTTTTACAGAGCTCATTATTTGTGAGGTCATTTAATTGCACGATTCTTGACAGTTTGACCGAACTTAGGAATCTTGATGTTAAAATTTGTTTTGGGCAGACTTGGGTCTTTGTTTGTTGACTATAATTTTCGACATATAATCGTCTTAGTTTTTCTTTTGTTTCTGTGCAGACCAAAACATTGAAAATCTTGTCATGCATAGTGTGCTTCGCTTTATTGGCTCTGTAGATGTAAGGTACATCATTGATTTTTTTTTCCACCTTCATCCTGCATGATTGAAATCCTCTGTGCTCCTAAATTGTTTTTTTTATTCCTTTTTTTTTTTTTTTTTTAAAGTTCAAACACATACCTCCTACATCAGGAATTGCTCAACTTCATGCTTGTTGCGATGTCAACCCAACTTCTGTATGGTCCATCTCCAGGACCTTCAGATATGAATCCTTTTATTGATGCAGCGATGGCCCAGGTTAGAAATGAAACTTAGGCTTTATTCATTGTTCTCAAATCTCAGGAGATTATAATATTATTCTTAGTAAAATGTATAATTTGCAGGAAAGTTCTTTGGTCAGTTTGGTTGTTCGCAGGCTGCTACTCAATTATGTAATGCGACCTCGCTTCCCATTCAGCAGTGCATCTTATCCTGTATTTACTGAAGGGAATCAGCCTGGGGTTTTGCAAAGAGTTGGTTCTGCTGCTGGTATGTGGAACTGTGTTGGTTTGCTTATTCATTTTGTTCAAATTTCCAAGTTTAACCTTGCAGCTTGAACTAGTCTATTTGAATATGGAAAAGGCGGCTTGAAGTAGATATTTCTCTTACTTAGAATTTTCAATTATTTATTTTCTTTTATGAACTTCCATTGTTATTTGGGTTGACTGATTTTGAATGTGGGTTTTATGTATTTTAGCTGAGTTGGGTTTTATTTATCCAGCTAAGACTGGGGAATCTATATGAATGAAATTTGCTTTGCTTCTTCAACTGAAGTTTGTCTCTATTGATTTCCCTCAATTTAATTGTGATTCAGTTCCTAGATTCTGTGCTATGATGGTTATTTTTTATTAGTACAATATTTGAACTTTAAGAACCATTATTAGTTTCTTTGCTTTTGCATGCTTTTATTGACATTTTATGTTTGACTTGCAGCTACTTTTGTCTTACTGCCATTCAATTATTTGGTCAATTCAAATGGTGAAGGCGTAAGAAATCCATTGGCAGACTGCAGTATTCATGTCTTGCTCATACTTAACTATTATCATAAATGTGACGTGGCTGATGAGCCCGTAACTGACATAAGTGATGACAGTGCTGCTTCAGAATCTCTTCCCAAAGTAAATACGTATTTCTCTGACAATCCTTATTGCAAAGCATTAGAAAATGCAAGGGATGTTGAACGTAAGTTCCCCTGTTCTCTCTCTCTCTCTCTCTCTATAACTATGTTATACATTGTTTCTGAATTGTTACAAATTGTCCTCTTGGCAGTTGATCGTGTAGATATTGAGGGGAATGCACACAATGGATCACTCGTGAGATTACCTTTTGCATCTCTATTTGATACTCTTGGCATGTACGTATACTTTTCCTCTCCTTACATGTCAATATTTTACATAGTTTTGAGTTGTAGCATGCCAGGAGATGTACTTATTGCCTTGTCCTTATCTTCACGCGTCCTGGGTTTAAGTGGACATATGCTCCTTTGGTAAAACTGGACACGCACGCATGCACAAAGAAGTGCGTGCATGCGCACATACACACACAGAGGTAAAGGAAGTAGAAAAACTAAGTTAATTAACACTTGCCTGATTCTACTGCCATGTAGTTCCATTGTTCTTTGCTCAGAGAATGAATAAGTAGAAGCAATTTCATTGACATTAGCTGCTTCTACTGATGCGTGGTTCTTTTGCGAGAGAGAGAAAGTAGAAGTAATGTTAATTAACACTTAGCTACTCTTACTGCTATATACTTGAAGTGCCAATTTCAAGAGAATTTTCTAGCATATTATAGAACTTAACTGTAACTTGAATATTTTAATGAACACTATAAATGTCTTTCTGAGTACTGGATAAACAAGTTTTTCCTCTGCAGGTGCTTGGCTGATGAAACTGCAGTTCTATTGCTTTACACATTGGTCAATGGGAACTCTGACTTCTTGGAGTATGTTTTAGTGCGAACCGATTTGGATATATTGGTATGGGAGATCAACTTAATAGTTCCCCCTTCTTCTCTTCCTTCCCCCGCAACACCCCCCCCCCCCCAATGTCTTTCTGAGTATGAATAAAACAAGTTTTTCCTCTGCAGGTGCTTTGGCTGATGAAAACTGCAGTTTTCTATTGGCTTTACATCATTTGGTCAATGGAACTCTGACTTCTGGAGTATGTTTTTAGTGGAACCGATTTGGATATATTGGTATGGGAGACAACTTATAGTATTCCCTTCTTCTGTCTTCCTTCCCCGCGCAACACCCCCCCCCCCTTTTTTTTTCTCTCTCAATTCCAATTGTGGATTCCCATAGTGTGGTAAATGCCTTGGTTTCACCTGGGTGGGAATTGGACTTATAATTTTGGAGCAAGGCATTCCCCCCCCCCTTTTTTCTCTCTCAATTCCAAATGTGGATTCCCATGGTGTGGTAATGCTTGGTTTCACCTGGTGTGGAATTTGCACTTATAATTTGGAGCAGGCATTCCCAACATTCTTCAAAAGAAAGAGTGGGGAGGGAGTGGGATCTCAGAAAAAGAAGCATGATTGTTTGGCATTTTACATGTTCAGAATTGAGAACATCTTAGTTAAATAAGATTTTTCTTATATGTTTTCATTTTTTGTCTAATGGATGTTGCTTCTTTTGCATTGAGGGGAAATAGAAACATGTATGTTTGATATGTCATTTTAATATGCAAACAATTCTCATGATGAAAGTTCTTATATTTCTTGATTGCATGAGTTGGCATGTCGTTTTTGCTTTTTGCAGTAATATTGCCGAATTGCAGCTTAATAATGATCTGTTTCTTTGTTTTGAAACCCACAGCTGATGCCCATTCTGGAAACACTATACAATGCTTCAAAGAGGACACCAAATCATATATACATCTTGTTGATTATACTTCTTATACTGAGTCAAGATTCTTCTTTTAATGCAAGCATTCACAAGATGGTAAGGATAACTTTCTGACCGATTTATGACATTGTTTCAAAGGATTATATTATTTCCTTACCTTTTTTCCCCCAATTCTTACAGATACTGCCTAGTGTTCCATGGTATCAAGAGCACCGTCTTCATCAGACATCTCTTGGTTCCTTGATGGTCATAATTCTTATAAGGACAGTGAAATATAACCTATCAAAGCTGAGGGTATGACTTCGAGTATTAATCTTGATTTTCTAATTTTTACTTGAAGTTATCATATTTAAGTACAATGCAGACTGTCTCTTTTGGAAAAACACGATATGCAAGAGATACTTTTCATTTAGATGGCAGGATTTAATGGTTACTATGAATTTTCTGGTAATTTGAAGAGGAGTTGTCTATGGAGATGATGAAAGAAGTAATTGGCAATGACAACAGACAAGACATTGTTTAGAATCATGATTTAGTAGATAGAACTGTAATATTCATAAATCACAGGGCCAATTTCCAGTTTGTGTTGATAGTTTTTGGGTTACCAGGTATACTGGAAGAGTCTCTTTAGAACAGCCATTAAATGCTGAAGGCAAGGGCTGTATCTTTTGCACTTACCAAAATAAGGTTTTCCCTATGTGTGGTAAGAAAGAAAAAGAAACTTATCATGAAAGAGCATTAGGAATGCTTTCCAGAAACTTACATTTTGTAACCTATTTTAGGTATTATGGAGAACGGGAAGTGAGATGTTGCTACAAAGTTTATTGTCATGCTTTATCATTTGGAATAGCAAGATGATCAAAAGTTGATGGGTAACTTTTCCTTTTATTGATAAATAGAAGTTACAAACTAAAGAGGCAAGGAAGTCCATAGAAGTTTTTAGTTCCTTTTATTGATAAATAGAAAACCCCCATGTCACTGTTTAGCATATATGGGTCAAAGTTCTTAAACACAATATTCTGTTTGCTCACTTGTAGACCTTGCCCAAGTATTGATAATGGATCATTTTTCTCTCATGGAATCTATTAAGATATTGATGATAGCAACTTATATTTTCATATGCTGGTTCTCTTGAATTCATGATAGGCACGTTCTTCAAAAAAAAATTCTTTAAATTTTGAACTTTTGGCAGGATCTTTATCTCCATACAACTTGTTTAGCAACTTTGGCAAACATGGCTCCTCATGTCCATCGTTTGAGTGCATATGCATCACAGAGAATCGTTAGCCTCTTCTACATGCTTTCTCGCAAGTATGTTACCAATTTGGTTTCTTCTTTTTTTATACTGTTCTTGATGAACTTATTATTCTGTTGCTGCCCATTATTTTCTTTTATTTTTGCATTCTCCTTAAACTGTTTCTTTGAATGTATTTTGCACTTTAGGTACAACAAACTTGCAGAGAGGATAGATGATAAAATAGGAAAGAGTGGCTCAGTTGAACAAGGCAGTCTTGCTGAAGATTTGGTAGTCATTTTTTTTCTCTCAATATGATATATTATGCTGCTTGGATGTACCCTTCTGTTATTTCCTATTTATCTGAAGTTGATTATTTTTGTCACAGTCTGCTGAGTTGCATATTTACACAGACTTCCTGAGAATTGTCCTCGAAATTTTTAATGCAATTTTGACTTATGCCCTTCCACGCAATCCTGAGGTATCAATTCATGTGTAGATTCAGTATCACATATTTTCCCTAAAATCTCAAAATCATGTAAACCATTTTTGCATTTCTCAGGTGTCTTTTTTATCTTCTGTGGCAGGTTGTATATGCTATAATGCACAGACAGGAGGTTTTTCAGCCATTTAAGAATCACCCACGCTTCAATGAACTGATTGAAAATATTTACATGGTATGTCCTTCTCTTTGTCCAAATAGAACTTACTGCATCTCCTTTTCTGATGTGTCTTGGAATTGTTCAGGCCATAAAGCTTCAGGCACAACTTTAGTGATGCTTGTTTTGCATGTGATTGTGTTTTGAATCATATCTAACACTTGTGAATTTCACAGGTTTTAGATTTTTTCAACAGTCGAATAGATGCACAAACAAAAGAAGGCGAATGGTCGGTAGAGAAAGTCCTCCAACTTGTAATTAGCAATTGTCGATCGTGGCGAGCTGAAGGATTGAAGGTAAAAACAAATCATTTTGGAAATTAGCTGTCACGCCTAACTTTAGAGTTCACATGTATTAGCTTTAGGAGTTACTTCTGCCACTCATATGAAATTTGGATGATTTTATTTGGACAGATGTTTACTCAATTACATTTCTCATACGAGCAAGAGAGTCACCCCGAGGAGTTTTTCACTCCATATATTTGGCGTCTGGCTTTGACCCACTGGTTTGTCCCCTGCATCTCTTTACCTTCCCATCTTTTGAGAAATTCCCCATCCCTAACCCAAAAAAAATTTTAAAGAAAAAATAAAAAGAAGAAAAGATGAAAAAATTCAGATGGCGTGACCATATGGGTTGCTTTTTTTAATTTTTTTCCCAAGACTGCTCATTTCTCTATTTTATAGTTGGCTATAACTATAACTTTGATTATTTTTTCATCCTATTTGTGGTTCCTCTTACATCACTGATGCCCTTGTTTTTTCCCATGCTTGTTTTCCAGCGGACTCAGCTTTAATCCTGGTGCCATAAATTTGTTTCCGATTGATCTGTCAATAGAAGTAAGTATCTGGATCTGTTGCTTAATGTGTAGAAATTAGCAAAGGAAGTTGTTCTTTATGCTATATTGCCATTTTGGATTTGCTTTTTCTAGACAATCTGGAACTCTCTGAAAGAAAAAAACTAAAATGCGGGAAATGAGCACCTGAACACAACAAAACTGTGATTTTTGACTTAAGGTTATCTATTTTGTAATTTACTTGCATTTTTTTTTTTTTTTTTTTAAAGAAAACTAAAATGCGGGAATGAAGCACTGACACAACAGACTGTGGATTTTTGACTTAATGGTTATCTAATTTTGTAATGTTACTGCATTTTTTTTTTTTTTATTTTTTTTTTTTTTTTTTGCTGCAGAAACTAAATGATTTTGGAGGAGATCCTGATAAGCATCAAAATGGGGAATTGGATCAGCAAGTGCGGATTGAGGTGTAGCGGGCGGTACAATGTACTCCACCTTAGTGTCCATATCATACTTGACCGTTTTGTAAATACGTGTAGTAGAGGTGTATTCATCTCATTCTTTCCTGTTTATATGCTTGGAACATTGTAGAGGACTCTCCCATATACAAAAATTATTGACAACACAATGTAATGAATAAGAGACGATGTCTTTCCACTTTTCAGGGCATGGTTACCATAGAGAAAAGTAGACTTGGAGTGGAATCACGCAAACGCTTTTTTATTGACATTGTTATCTCCGAATATACAACTAAAGAAAAAGGTTGAAATACATAAAATAAAATAACAGTTTTATAATTATATCAGAGTTTGATTAAGCTTTTTATTAGTAAGTGTTTCAATTTCGATTGGATAATATGATTGATCTTCTGCATTACATTTAAGTTTGAGGTTTAAAAATACGGATTAAACTTGAGACATTTTGTATCATAAAATTTTCCTTACATCTACTTAACAAGTTTAAATAATGAAACTGTTATGAATTTTATAAGTTCGAACTTAAATATAATTAACAAGTTTAAATAATGAAATTTAATAAATTTAAAATTCAAACATTCGATTAAAAATATACAAGACAGCTAATTTGAAGTCGGAGATTTGAAAATTGCTTGATTTCGTAGATTATTACATGAATACAAAGATTAGGGTCGTTCTTTCTGTTACAAAACATATATTTATAAATATTTTTTCACAAATTATGCAATATCATTGCCAAATTCTTTGTATTACAACACAATACAGAAAACAAAGAGCAATTAGATAAGAGCTCCACCCTTCACATATTCAGTAAATGCCAACGCAACCAGACCCAACATAGCAAATCTACCATTCCACAGCTCCGCATTAGATGTCATGAACCCGTCTGACTTCGATTCCACGCTCACCCCTTTAAATAGAGGAATTAAAGACGCGAGAGAGAGCACAATGCTTGTTCCTACAAACAATGGAATCCCACCGTCGGATAGCTGCGCAAAGAAATCCTGGCCCTTGGCAACCTCCACCGCAATGGCAGCTACAAAACCAACCATGGCTAGTCTGCCATTGATCCTCTCTGGTGCTGGCCCAGCGAACGCCAACACGTCTGAGAACTTCGTGCTAAACTGTTAATTTATCAGGTATAACCATTGTTATTAGCTATTATGCTTTTACTAATTGCAAATTCATTTCAATAATCTTCCATTTCACCAATTAATCATGATATAGTTTAGGTGTTCATATCAGAATCACTACCTTTGGAGGAGGAGTAGGTTTTGGTTTAGGTGCTCCGACAGGTTCCGTGGGCTGTATCTTCTCAACCTCTTGCTCCTTTTGATATCCCTGCAAAATCAAACGTATTATTAAACCGTAATTAACCATCTCATCTTCTATTACAAGAAACTTCACTAGAATCAGAAAGACTAAAAGGCTTACCTCCGCCATGCACTTCACTGGAGTATAAGCAACTCTTCCAGGTCGCGGCACGTACGGCGTCGCAAGGAAACGGCCGCTCACTCTGGCTCGAGTAGAAACACGTAGTGCTGGACCAGCAAAGACGGCACCTTGCATGGCTGTTGCTCCGGCCATTTTCCACAGCTAACTATGCTCAACAGAGATAGAGTAGTCTTTGCGTCGATTGATACTCAAAAACACCTCTTGCTTTGCGTTATTACTCTATAAGTGAAGCAGAGTATTTATAGCCTAGTTAGGCAATGGGGAATAGAGGATATTTTAGATACACGTCACTGAAATGATCAATTTCTGGAACGTGAAGTGGTCCAGTTGTCTACAAAAAGTTGGTGACGTGGCTCCTTTATGATCCACCAGTTTATGCCCAAGTCCTAACCCATTAAGATTGAGGCCAGTATTGTTCCAGGTTTTACAGTGTTAGTGCTAGTAGAAACCTGTGGCTGTAGGGCTTTCTAGTCATTGATCTCATGTTATGCCACGATTTTACCACATTATTTTGACACATAGCTTTCTGCGTATCATTTCTATTGTTAGTTTGACACATTCATTTTCTGTCTTTTGAACACAAATTTTTAATTTCAATGTTTTAATTCAACACGGAAAGGAAATTTCATTAGGAAATTCATATTGGAAAGAGCATTAATTAGAAAAATAAAATAGACTGGCAACTTCAAATAGAAGAAAACTATTCATTATTTTCACAAAATGCACAACTTAAATTTTATTAATATTACAGAAAACAGTCTCTCTGTTTCTTTAATTTGGAGTTATTTTGGTGGGGTATTAGCAAGGTTATACGTATAACTAGAGAACATCTGGAGTTCTCTCGAACCTCCTACTTCTTCAATTGGTACAGCATCACAAATTTCTTTTAAATCTTCTTCTGTTAGCTTCACTGTCAATGACCCAATGTTGTTTTCAAGATTCTTCAACTTAGTTGTTCCTGTAAAACATCAAAATGATAGAATCACCATCAAATGCGCATGATCTTCAAAAATAAGTTTCAAGTTGGACACAACAGAAAACTAATAAAGCCAAAGTCGCATACCAGGAATTGGAACTATGTCTTGTCCCTGGTGGAGAAGCCATGCCAGAGCTAATTGAGCTGGAGTGCAGGCATGCTTTTCAGCTAGGTCCGCGAGACGAGCATATATAGGCTTATTTCTCTCTAAATTCTCTCCAGTAAATCTTGGATGCAAAGCCTATGTGACAGAGATAGAAGATCATTTAAAAGAATTAATCAAGAGAAAGAACTTGCACGTCAATGGATGAATAAATTATATATATCGCAGTACTTGTAATACCAACCAATATACTCTTTTTAGGCAAGCTCTCCACGACTGCCTTTCCAGCAAAGAATCCTCGACCGAGAGGGCTGTATGCTACTATCCCAATACCAAGCTCTCTGAGAAAGAGAACAACATTTTAATCCTTATTCTCGATACTCTAAAAATATATGATGTCAGCCCAATTGACATACATTGAAGAAGAAAAGTTTGTGCTCTGAAAAAAATAATTCAGATCTTACTCATGCTTAAATATGCAAACATCAAAGTAGATATATAGATAACTAACCTACAGACTGGAACAATATCATTTTCAATCTCACGACTCCACAATGAGTACTCCATTTCTACAGCAGTTATGGGATGAACAGCATGTGCCCTCCTAATAGTGTCTACACTAGCTTCAGATAAACCAACGTACTTTATCTTTCCCTCCACTACTAACTTCTTCAGCTCCCCCATCTGCACGCAGAATTTAATCAAAATCTAAATTCTAAAATTGATCAACATTTATTATTATCAGGGAAGAAAAGGAATAATATACAAGTGTTGCACCAAATGTAGAGGAAATCTAATATGTAACTCTTACAGTATCCTCTATTGGCACTGATGTGTCAATCCGATGCTGATAGTATAAATCAATATAATCCATGTTTAGCCGCTTTAGACTAGCTTCACAGCATTGCCTCACATATTCTGGAGTACCGTTCACTGCAAATTCTAGTCCATTGAACCTTTTAATGCCAAATTTTGTTGCTAACTGAATTTTTTCTCGAGGAAGCTGCTTTAAAGCCTGAAAATGGGATAAGAGAGAACTAATGTATCAGCATTCTGATATTTATTTATCATAACATTGAAGCACAGCTTTTTCTATAATTTTATAGCATCACTTGATCCAAACACTGCTCACTTCAGCATAAACGAATTATTGCTTTTATCCCATTTTTAATATAGTAAGTAGTTTCTCTTTTGTATAATCTGTTCACACGCACACTGTCAGTTGGAAATTTGAGGAGCTTCAATTATAAATTTGAATTAGAAGAAAAAATATGTTACCTTCCCAACCATGATTTCATTGTCATGATCATCTCCGTATAGATCAGATGTGTCAAAAAAGGTGATGCCTTTGGAAAAAACTTCCTTCATAAATTCACATCCAACTTCATGTGGGAGCGGTGGATTATATATTCCTGAGAGTCCAGCACACCCGAAACCCAGTACAGAAACCTGCAATTGAAACAATTTGAAGATTTATTTTTCCATTTATATGCCAGTTTATTTTGTACTCTGATTTACTTAAATTAAAATATGATTTCTGATACTCAACAAGTAGAAATAGTGGAGAAATTAGTATTGTCGTAAACAGAATAATATGCTAAAAAATTGACTACGCAAAGAAACTTATTAAATAGGTTGCAGAATCCAATCACAGAAAATTCAAACTAAAATATGTCAAGTATGAAACGAATAATAGTGATTCATGAAAATCAACTGTTGATCAGAGGTAGAAAAAGCACCAAGATTGTTGCTGTCATAGTTATATTTTGCAAAATAAAGTTATATTTTGCAAAATAAATAGTAAATTGCATGCTTACCTCCAGTCCCTGACTTCCCAGCTTCACTCTTGGGATTTGGATCTTCGACTTCTCTTCCATGGTGAAAAACATACAAACAGAACTTAGCTGAAGATGCAATTACAAGAAATAATAATTTGAGTGTAAAAGTTCCCATCACTATATAATATTTATAATTATGTATTAAATTTCCCTTCCCACCAACTTTTCATTTGTTTTCTTATGGTAGGGACCATCTGTTACCTCTTACTAATCATCATATTTTAATCGCACTCCAGATTGGATCGGGAATGGAGAACTTTGTTTCTAAGGTTCTGAGAGAAAAAAAATAATTGAATGCATAACTTAATATTTATCTTTCACGTAATATTGCTTGCCCAAATAATATTACAAGAAGTCTAAGCAGGAAAGCCACAAGAATAGAAACACAACACTTCATTAAAATACTTACATGAGAGAGAGAAAAACAAAGGAAGAAGAAGCAACTTTTCTAAAACTAGACATAAGATCTAAATGTAATTTATTTTCCAATCAAGAGAATTAGAGAATAAGAAAGCAATAGAGGTTTCAACTTCCACGTCCAACAGTTACATTACAACTAAAATTGGTTTGATTATGTTGGCACAACGACTAATGCATCAGAATCAGAGACATTAAACACTTAGCATAGACCTCGTGTCTGTTACATCATTTACAACCAAGATATTCACTGTCTCATTTATTATAAGAAAAGGACAGGAAGGGACACTTCCTTTTATTTTTTGTTTTTATCTTTTGCAAGAAGAATATACATGTTCTATTTTAGTTTTGGTGGAGTGTTTGCGAGCCTCCAGCTATACTTAGCTAAAATAGGCACTTCTCTTGAGCCACTAACTTCTTTAGCATCCACGGCATCTGAAATTTCTTTTATATCCTCTTTTGTAAGCGTTACTGCCAAGGAACCAATGTTATTATCAAGGTTCTTAACCTTGGTTGTCCCTGCATAAGTTCCAACATCAAAATTATTGGTCACTAAAAACTTTGAATCATGCTTATAATAAGTTGCAGCTTTAAAACCAGACCGCTGAATGGTACGGTTTCTCTTCGCGTGATGATTAAATGAACTGAACAAAAGAATTCAATCAAATGGATATGTTCGAAGGTCTCCTATACCAGGAATTAGGCATATGTCATCCCCTTGATGGAGAAGCCATGCCAGGGCTAACTGAGGAGGGGTGCAGCCATGCTTTGTAGCCAATTCAGCGAGTCGGGTGTACAAGAATTTGTTCTTCTCTAGATTCTCCTCTTTGAATCTTGGATGTGATAGTCCCTATTGCAACTTATTCGTCAGGCACAAAGAAAGACTCAAAATTTTGTTTCATACATATTGCAACTAGTTTAGGCAATGCAGAACATATTATGTGTACTCTTAATGCATTCAAGAAAATTTGATATAATAATAGTATAAAAAGATTCACTTGTAATTTAATCGTAATAATAACTTACCAAGAAACTCCCATCGGGTAACTTTTCCACAACTGCCTTCCCAGCAAAGAACCCAATACCAAGAGGACTATATGCCACTATCCCAATACCAAGTTCTCTGGGAAAGTAGAGGTAAAAAAATACTGATCAATTCCAAGATTGTGAACAGAAACCTGCATTGCAATGAAGTTTTATAAGTTTCATTTCAAGATTCAACATCTAGAACGTACCGGCAAAGGGGAATTATTTCATCTTCAATATCACGAGTCCACAGAGAATACTCCATCTGTAAAGCAGAAATGGGATGAACCGCATGAGCTCTCCTTATTGTGTCTGCATTTGCCTCTGATAACCCAATGTACTTTATCTTGCCTTCATCTACTAGCTTCTTAAGCTCTCCCATCTATCCCACCAACAATTGTTCCAAAAACAGATTCAAACTTATTCAAATGCATAATATGTAGATGGAAATCAAATACTTGCATTAAGAAATGTGTCATGATAGTTACAGTATCCTCTATTGGCACTGAAGTATCAACACGGTGCTGATAATACAGATCAATATAGTCGATATTGAGTCGTTTGAGACTAGCTTCACAGCATTTCCGAATATATTCAGGGCTGCCCGTAACGATGACCTGACCATCATCTAACAAAGAAAATCCAAATTTTGTTGCCAATTGAACTTTTTCTCGAGGAATCTGCTTCAAAGCCTAAAATTATATGCGAAAATAAAATAAATAAGAAATATAGACTTTCTTGAGAAAGAAATTTTCACATGTTCATTTCGTTTTGTTTCATCGCCATCAAACAAAAGCATGCTTGTTTACAATCCCTTCTTACCAAATTTATTTGCAACATAATCACCGATTATAATTTTGGTGTATTTATTAACAACTTATAAACAGCCATAATTTATGCAAATAATTCTTTTATTCAGATGATAGACAGACAGAACAAAAAAGATTACCTTGCCAATCATAATTTCGTTATCATTGTGTCCATAGACATCTGCTGTATCAAAGAAGGTTACTCCCCTATGAAAGGCCTCCTTTATGAGAGAACAGCCATCTTCATGAGATAGAGGAGCATTCAGCATTCCAGAAAGTCCTCCGCACCCTAGTCCCAGTTTAGAAACCTGCAGGATCAAGAAGGACGTCGTTAAGAGAGGGTCTTTCTTCAATTAAACAATACTAGTTTACGGAAAACAGATGGAAGTTTGTGTTTCCACATAACAGCTGGGCAGTTTCTCTTCTTTTTATACGTAATTACTCTTCAGAAACCAGAGGTTATTGACGACATTCATCATAATTTTTATATGTTTGTTGAGCAGAATCAAGAATGGCAACTTGAAAGATCCTTCACTTGCCTCTAGACCATAGTTCCCAAGTTTCATTTTTGGTATTTGGAACTGTTTCTTCTCCATTTTCAACCCAAATTTGGAGATTGGATCAAGAAATTCTGCTTCACTTCATAAAACACGTACAGGATGAGAAACAAAATATGCTATAATTAAGGACCTTTTGCAATTGCTGACCTGATTTGTTTGCAACTTATCATCAGGTTAAATTACTATTTGGTCCCTATAAATTAAGAGAAAGTTACAGTTTGCTGAACTAAACTAAACGTGCCATAAATAACGAATCAGTCACTAAAATAAAATTACGTGGAATTTCTTGAAAACGAGCGGTAAGATTGGTGGAAAGAGGGGCCTAAAACGTTGTCGCTGTGGGAAAAGCAGACATCTTTAGTGGCGCAAAAAACGACGTCGTATACCATGAAAAAAGAAACAAAGAAATGAAGACTGACAAATTGCATATCACGAACGAACTGTGTCCTCTGTGCTAAGCGTCTGTTTTTTGATCTCTTGAAAATTCGAATAAAAGAAGAAAAAACAATTAAAAATGGAGAGAAGGCAGATCTACGCGGTGGCGTTCCTTTTATTCAGCTTAATTGGCCGCATATCTTCTCTCTCCGTCACCGTAAACGACGTCGAATGTGTCTACGAGTACGTCCTCTACGAAGGCGACACGGTTTCTGGAAACTTCGTGGTGGTCGATCACGACATCTTCTGGAGCTCCGATCACCCCGGCATCGATCTCACGGTAAGTCAGCCGCCTTCCTCTGAAGCTTGTTTTTTATTCGAATTCGTGTCCATTTTCATTATCCCGTTGACATGTAGATCTAAATATTTGGTCTCTTTTTTTCCCTAATTTGTTGCTTGGTTCCAATCTTCGGATTAATATGTCGGGCGTTCAATATATGTTACATTTGATTGATTAGGGATTATGATAATTCGGTCAAACGCATTCAGAAAGCTGGGTCAATAAAATAATGTCCTCTAATGCCTGGAATGCTAGGAAAAGTATTTTCTCTGTCACTGGAAAGGATTAGAGTTGGCTTGTAAGCAACATTCATTAGTTTTGTGGGATCAATTATTTTGAAGTTGAGGTTGTTTCACAAACTCTAATTATATGTTCTACCCATGAATGAACTGTTGAAAAAAGAGATTTGAGAAACTAATCATTATGTATTTACCAAATGACTATGCTGCAAATGCAATTGTGAATGAAAAATCAATTAGTTCAGTACTACTGCCAGTAAAAGATTTAATAAGATGTAACTTTATGGAAAAGTCAAAATTAATGGTGTCCACAATATCATCATTGGAAAAGGAAGTTAGTTCTAATTTTTAATTAAATGTCTCCATTATATACACCCATCGTGAAATCAGCATGCATCATATTGTATCCTAATCAATACATGCCCATATAACATACAACTACACTTAACCATAATCTCAAACTAGTTAGGTTCGGTTATATGAATCCTTTGTCTCTATTTTACCTTGTTCGTAGCTAAGTCTGCATTAACTTCAAGGCCAATAAAATGGATCATAAATTTACATAATTCAGTAAAAGTAAGAGTTATATTTGAAGAAAAAAATTTGAGTGCCTGCATGTGTGTTGCGATTGCAATTGCATGGGAGGAAAAGTGAACACTAGAATGAGAATCTGAATCTTTTGGTTGATTTTGGGTTGGATGCAAAGTTTTAGTGGGTTCCATTTATAAATGAGTTGGATACACTTCAAATCTAATGAGATATTAGTCGTATAGTGACCCAAACAAAATTTCGTTAGGATTCTCACCTTTGTTCACGTTCATATTATATAGATGAGTATGAGAAGCACGCTTAGCATGTTGGTAGAGGAATGCTAAAGAACTTTTCGGTATTAGGTTGAGGTATGCCATGCATCTTTTAGGGTCTGCAACTTGTAATGTGTTTTGATCCATTGGTCTTGCTGTTTAAATAGTAATATTCACTGTTTATGGATGTATACCTGATACTGGTTTACCTGCAGCAAATTGTATTGATTTGACTTGTTATTTCTATATCTTAATTCTGGGTCGTCATGCAGGTGACATCTCCTGCAGATAATGTAGTTCACACTGTGAAGGGGACATCTGGGGATAAGTTTGAGTTTAAGGCCCCAAGAAGTGGAATGTACAAATTCTGCTTTCACAATCCGTACTCAACACCAGAGACTGTCTCCTTCTATATTCATGTGGGTCATATTCCGAATGAGCATGATCTTGCTAAAGACGGTTTGTTCGCTTCTCTCTCATTTAGGCACACTCATCTCTATGTGCTTTGAGTTGAACTAGTACAAAGAGTAGCAATAAGCCATTTGGTTCAAACTACATATTTTTCGATCATGACATTTAAGAGATTTTATTCTGCTGTGTGTTTGATTTTTACAATTGTCTCTAACAGAACACTTGAATCCCATTAATGTTAAAATTGCTGAGCTGAGAGAGGCATTGGAATCTGTTACAGCAGAGCAGAAATACTTAAAAGCTCGTGATGCTCGACATCGCTTGAGTAAGTCCCTTTCTATCTCTCTAATTCTTCCTTTCTTTCCAGTAACCCTGTAATTCAGTATCTTCTTTCTCTCTCTCTCTCTCTCTCTCTCTCTCTAATTAACCCATCATGCACTATTATATCATGGAAAAGTTCCAACTTCCTTGTGGATGTAAAAATCACAAAATTTGTATTCTTTTGAAGCATATTTCACTGATATCATGTTTGATATTTTTCAAAGAAACCTTTTTCTGGGGATGAGTAACTTTTAATACAAATCGGCTAAAATTTCTTCATACACATGTTTTGATGTTTTAAACACTATCGATTTGCCATATATCACTTGTTTGAGTTATTGTTTGTGTTTCCTCCGCAGCCAATGAGAGTACACGGAAGCGTGTTATAGGCTACACAGTGGGAGAATACATTTTGTTGGCTCTTATAAGCGCACTTCAGGTTGTCTATATTCGCCGGCTCTTCAGCAAGTCAGTGGCATACAATCGGGTCTAAGCCACTTGATTGTATGTTAATTAAGGATAGGGTGATTCACTAATGAGTTCAGTGCAGTTACTGTCATGCACTTAAGAAAAACTGATCTGTCTGTTTATACTGTTCAATTTTTTTACTTCAACCATATGGTAATTTAGAACATAAAAGTTTACTGCAACATTCATGGGCTTTGAGCTGTTTCTCTTCATCACTGTCACTCAAGTTTTGTTTTCAGCTTTCTGTTGGGTTTTGCGTAGAAGGATCTTAAGCCCGACTACAACCTTTTTCAAATATGTAGGAGTTCAGAGAAATCACGTTAAGATTGGAACGGAAGGCAAATGAAAGCATAGGGAAGTAGATAATCCAACCTCTGTTTAGATTGGATTGGATTGAAATTATAAAAACTATTTATTCTTCAATTAATAAATCTCTAAAATTATATTTTCAAACAATATTTCAATCTGAGTTTTCAAAAGAAATAATCCTTCACAGTAAAAAGACCAGACTGTTTTCGCAAAATTCAAGGGTTATTTAATTTATTCTGGACAGAGAAAAGATATAATGCCAATTTTACTCGTTATCAAATGAATTGTTTTTTTTTTTTTCTTTTTATCTTTCTTAAAATTTGTTGTCCGAATCTTTTTTAATATGAAAGTGCACACTACCAACTTGGGCTCAGCGTTCGAAAGATTCCTACCTTTTCCAATTTTTGGACAAAGTAGAAATTTATATCCTGCCCTGTTACTAACATTCCGTTGTCGTCCAGCGGTTAGGATATCTGGCTTTCACCCAGGAGACCCGGGTTCGATTCCCGGCAACGGAATTTTCCTTTTTGAGAACACAAACTATTTTTGTATGTGTATATATTTTACGATTATTGGAGTTTTAGTTCCCCTTTTTCATATTAATTTTAAATTCACTGAGAACAGTAAATTCAAGAAGTTAATAATACAAATAAAATAATTAATTTTAATAAGAACAAAAGTTTGATGACTTAATTTTAACTAAACTAAAACTTCAAAGTTTAATATTTTGATTAGAAATTAAGCCTAAAATTGATAAATAATAAACTTAATAGATAAAATCAATATATTCAATTGCTTTATATATATTTTTAGAGAAGAAATAAATGAATTTATTCACATAGCGGATCCAATATATAAAAATTAATTGACTTTTTTTTAGGATTTTTTATTTTATATATATATATATTTATATATCAAAATTAATTCATAAAATTTAATTTATTTATATTTTTAATTTTTTTTTAAAAATATAATGCATTGATGTAGGAAAAAAAATAATTTTAGATCTTCACGGTTCTTTGGGCGATAATTAAATAATTAACCCGCATATAATTCAATCCACCGACCCTTCCCACGCTTTCACGTATAAAATGTACTATGGATAAGATCGAACATTTTTTTTTAAATTAAAATAACCGATGAGAGTTGGAGCGGAGCTTACTAGAATAACCCTGCTCTTTCTTACCCCTGTTTATGATCAAGTCAACGATGATTTTGGATTTATCTCTTACGAGTGAAGATCCTTATTCATCTCATAATACTATATAACATTGTTTTTTAAAAAATGTCAAAAAAAAAAAAAAAAAAAATTTTCTACAGTTTTTTTTTTTTTTTTTTTTAAACTTGGGGATCTCTCCAATGGCGAGGTTAGAATGAATTTGCATAACAAGAACATCTCTACTTCTGTTTAAACAATTAAAGGAATACCCCTTTCAATATACCCACAAACGAAAATATGATATGTATGTATACTTTTATTAACATAAGAAAACAAGTTTAGCCAATTATCACTTTATCTCCACCTTCATGTTTTTAATATTCTATTTTTTTTTTTTTTGCAGAAATTTTTAATATTCTTTTTTTTTTTTTTTTTGAGGAAAATAATATTCTTAATTAGGATCCCAATCAAATCAATTAACATAAACATCTACCATGACTTATTATGTTATTTCTTTTATTTATTTTTATTTTTATTTTTTAGAGGCTTTTTTTTTATCTAAAACATTTGTTTTAGAAGGTTAAAGAATATTAATTCATTTTAATTTTGTTATTATTTCTTCTAAATTCAGCAATTATTTTTTATATTTCTTAAAATCCATTTTATAACTCATATTTTTCTGTTTTTTTAATTTTAAATATAATAATTGAGAGAACCCAGAAAAAAATAATATAATCAAATTTATAGAGTGTTTTATTATCGGGGAAATAATTTTAATTGCTTTTTAATTAGTATATGAAAATTTTAAATAAGAAATAAGAAATGGGACAAAGGAATTATTAAATAAATTACCTTAATAATGAGTGTATTGAAAACTTTTATAATAAGATAATTTAATGAAATGCTCTAAAAATTGAAATGAAAAGCGAAAAGAAAAGAAAAATCTTACTCATTATTGCAAGAAGGATAAAGGAGGATTTATCCAATACAGAAGTAAATTTCTATAAAATTAAAGGGCAATATTGCCAGTGAAAATTTTAGTGCCTGAAACCATATATAATTACGTCAAAACTGCCATCTCCTCTTCTCTTTCCTCTGCTTTCACAGATTAGACGCTCCAAATCATTGACAAAACAATGTTGGCAGTTTTTGACAAGTCGGTGGCTAAGTGTCCGGATGCGCTGCGGAGCCCGCACTCTGGCCCTGCCTCCGCACTGAAAGATGGGTTTTTGGCTAACCATTTTGGGTCTGTATATCCTGGTTCAGTCACTGTCAATCTTGGTTCTGCTGGTGTTCTTGCTTACTCTCTAGAAAAGCAAAGGCCCCTTCTGCCGAGGTAAATATTTTTTCCATACTCATTTCTTCTTTCGTTATTTTCGCTGTTTATCATCTGTGTTGATCTAATCTTGATGGTTCCAAGGATATGTTTATGTTTGATTCACGAGAAAAACAAAAATTTGATACAGATGATAATTTATGATATATACTTTCTCATGGTTCTTTATATATTAGATTTTTTTGAAAAATAAAAAAATTGATGGATCGTTTCCAAGATCGTTTCCTTATACTAACTGCATGTGCATTTGGATGGGCGTTTATAATCTGGTGATATTTGTTTGCGGAAATCTCAAGTCTTGTCGATTCTTTCAGTAGATCTTGATGATTTAAATTTGGGAACTTGGTTTTTGTGAATTCATACGAAAGAATCGCAGCGTAGCCGGATTTGGGTTTCTGATTTGGTTGAGGCTTGTACCTAGCAAAAATTGTTTCTGAGATCTTTCTTTATTCTGTTGGTTTATCTAAGGTTTTGTTTTTGGTTTAGTATTGCATATGATCTGATTCTGGGGATTCCTTTTGTTTTTTTTCTCTAATTTCCTCCTGAATAACATATTATTTTATTTATGCTTTTTAACAGAGACGAAAGATGACTAATCTTTATATCATATCAGTGCTCGTCATTTTTCTTGGAAGCATTTGCATGTTACGTATATTGGAGTAATCCTATTTGTATACCAAATATCATTTGAATCTTGCTTCCGCAGAATAGTCTATAACTCCCATGCAAAGATAGAATTTTTACATTATTTTAATATCTGCGTTTTGATTGGTTTTTTGTAGCAATTTTGTCTCTTGTCGTGGTATAGAAGGTAAACGGTTTATTTCTTTATGTTTGAATATTAAAGATGTTTTGGCGTGTGTTTCTCTTCTGGAAATCCAATTTTTGCAGGAAAATAAGAAGTCCATATCAACTTTTATTCATTTCCCAAATTTGTCTTTTGAAGATTGCATAGAAGTCGCAAAAATTCTGAAAAGTACATTCTTGGTTTCCCTTTCTCATTTGTTCTTAACTTTGGTATATATATAATTTTCTCTTGCTAGATTATTTGCTGTTGTAGACGACATTTTCTGCTTGTTCCAAGGAAACATTGAGAATGTTGCAGTACTTAAGCAGCAATATGGCTTGAGCAAGACTGCAAATGAAGTAATCATTGTTATTGAAGCTTACAGAACCCTCAGAGATCGAGGGCCTTATCCTGCTGATCAGGTTGTCAAAGATATTGAAGGGAAATTTGCTTTCATTTTATATGATAGCACTTCAAAAGCCACATTTATAGCTGCTGTAAGTAGGTCTTTCGGTTTAGAATTCTGCCCTTTGTTGTCATGGATGCCCCCTCATGCATTCTTCCACCACCCCCCCCCCCCCCCCCCCCATGCATGTCTTCCACCACCCCCCCCCCCCCCCTTGGATTGATCTGCTCCCCTATATTTTATATATGAAACAGTTGCTATCGAACCCCCCCCCCCCCCCCCCCTTGGATTGATCTGCTCCCCTATATTTTATATATGAACAGTTGCTTGAATTAAGCTTAACTCTTTTCTCCTTTTATGCAGGATGCTGATGGAAGTGTACCCTTCTTCTGGGGAACCGATTGTGAAGGTCATCTTGTTCTTTCAGATGATGTTCAGATTTTGAAGCAGGGCTGTGGGAAATCATTTGCACCATTCCCTAAAGGTGAAATTTTTTTGAAATAATAGTTCAATTATTTTCCATGTGAATGATCTATCAGAATCACTTTTCAGTGCTTTTTCTAAAAGCTATCCTAGCATAAAGGAAAAAAAAAAATCTAAAAAGACTAAGGAAAACCCATGAATAGGACTAAAATGTGCTTCTATTGTGTCTAGAATTAGTGTGAGATGCTAGCTGGTAAGAAGGGTATACTATTTCCTTGAATTGAAATGTTCACCACAATATATGCATCATATTTTTCTTCATGTATTTATATTTTAAACTTTCTTCTCTGTTTACCACATGATCCCATGAACTTTAGATGGTCATTTGCAAATATAGGATACCGTGACATCTCCAAGAATTAGATTGCTAGATCACTTAAATCTATTGGTTTCTGTTGTTACCTCAGGATGCTTCTTCACAACTTCTGGAGGCTTGAGGAGCTTTGAGCACCCGTTGAATGAGTTGAAGCCAATTCCAAGAGTTGATAGTTCAGGTCAGGTTTGTGGTGCGAATTTCATGGTGGATGAAGGGGTTAAGAAGGGAGGTGGCATGCCAAGAGTTGGAAGTGCTTATGACTGGTCCTCTAACTACTAATGAGAAGTTCTTATCAGCAGGCTCGTGTTATTAACGAGCCCGATTGGCTTTTACTATAGCTTTTGCTGATCTTACATTCCCATGTTTTAAGATTTTGCTGCATTAATATATCCCATGGTAAATATATTAGCATTCCCTAATGAGACAGCAATTTACGCTGCTGTAAATGTTGCTTGCTACTATCCAATTAAGCCCATACTTTGCAGGGTTATAACATAAAATAAGATTTACCGTTCATACAGTATCTCCGGTAATGGTGGTTGTTTTGTATTTGGAAATTCATCTTGGCTTGTTGGAGAGAGAGAGAGAGAGAGAGAGATGTTGAAGTTGCAAATTTACTCGTGCCCAACAACTATTAAGAGTTATGGATTTTAGAACGACGCATGCGCATATGCACAGCGTTGCCATGAGTCATCACCAGCCTTTAATTCCGAGGCATGGGGAGGTTTTTACAAAGTGATGAAGACGCGATAGCGTGGTTAGTAGGGAATAGGAATAGGGATAGTAATGTTGCCCATAGAACGCCTCAGGTATTCATCCATAAATTCGAGGCGTTGAGCTTTTTGGATACTCTCCACAGTTCCACTGACCCTATTCATGAGGAAGCTTGATTTGAAGTGGCAAGTTAGTTTATCCCCGATTTGGTCGTGAGCGCGTAGAAGGCTCCAACGCAGACAATGATCCATAACTAACGCAGGCAAATATCAGGAGAAGCTATAACCATTTGTCTGCTTCCAAGATTTTTAAAGCAAGCTCAAAATTTATCAAGCAAGTGCATATCAAAACACAGCATAGACGTAAAGCAATTTTATATTATAAAGCATCCTATACAGAGCCCATTAAAGAACTTAGGATAAATGTAGAGCACGCGCAAGGGCAGCTAACCCTTGCTTTTCCTCTTTTTAACTTTTTAAAGCAACAAATATCTGTTCTTTTCTAACCTTATACATCCACTAGTAGATAACTGGAAATCAAACAGTTATACTATTACGCCTCTTGCTGTTCAGCGTAAGGCTAGGAGCACACACTTCCTCTAGTCCTTTGCATCGGCAATACCGCCTGGTGTTATCTGAAATACGTGTTTCTGTAAAGAATAACTTACCGATAACGAAAAATTGCAATTTTATTGGGCCATCTTGGTTTTATTTCATCCCAAGTGATAGTTCGAGTTAGAATAGGAGATAAGCACTGGCCATTTTGGTTTTATTTCATCCACGATCTAATCTTACTATAATTCAATGATTATGTTGCTTTTACTAATTTTTCATGGAAAAATTGAATCAACCAACCAGAGCATAAAGTGAATATAATAACAGTAAGTTAAAGGATATTGCTTCAGCTTCTGGCAGATTTGGGGCATCAAACACCTTACAGACGCGTTGTTCACCTTTTCCTTTCCGGAACATCAACCTGATTGTGGCTGCATGAGCAAGCACGTGACCTCCAGCTGGTTTTTTTGGATCAGATATGAACACTCCGCCACCTGGGTCAGCTATAACTGCAACCAAGAATTGTAAATTGTATTTAACCAGTACCCTCTGAAGGGCATAAATTTAAGCCATACTTGCAGAACTACAAGGTGAGCTTGTGGCATATAACAACAGTTTTTGCTAGATATATAAACTTTACAGATTAGTAAGAACAATGGACTGAGAGATTTTAAGGCATGCTATCTTCAGCTTTCCATGCATGAGATTTACAGGACCAAGAGTACCTTGGTTAGTCATATAAACTGCAACGTTGAATTCTTCAGCTATCTTTGTCAATCGGGATAGCATCTGTGCTAATTTTTGCTGTAAAAGGCAACAGGCTCGTTAATGGACAGATAGGTTTTATATACGAGTTGACATAATCATTATTAAGAAGCTTGTTATGTTACCTGGCGCTCTGCGAGTTCTCCTCTACCAGTGAAATCCACTCGAAAGAGTGCAATTACTGAATCCACAATCTGAATTATATTCAAACGAAACAACATCCATAAACCGTCCTAATACTGTTACACTAGGATAACATGTAGATGTATAGTTCAAAACTCACCAGAAGCCTGAATGGCTCTTCAGACATTTTGGCAGCCAAACCAAGAAGCAGGTTATACTGATGCTCATATGTATATGCACGAGCATAGATGATCTTTCACATCCACGGAATAAAAAAGTGAGAATGAGCTTCTTCACAGGTCAACTGTTGATATCACAACAACTTGATACTTACATTGTCTAGGACTGCCCCTGGGTCCATGCCAAATCTTTCAGCTATTGGAACAATCCTATCAGGCCGGCTGCAAGTGCATATAGTTAAGAAAACAGAAGAGTGAACAGATGTCATATGGAGTTGATTTTATGAAAAGGGAACATAAGGCATATTGCCTCTCCAAACGCTTCGAAAAGGTAAAATCAAGGATACAAAGTTCCCTCGGTATCGATATAAGCGACTTTTCCATTCCCACCATGCATGTTAGAAGGAAGCTGCAAAGGCAATTGAAATGTTTATTTTGAAAGACTTAATGCAAACTTTTTGAGCATATAATTAATCATTAATTCACAAATCAAGGCCCCTGCCAACAAAATGATACATCGTTTTTACATTCCTGAGGAAGGATGGTTGAACCATAAAGGCAAGGAGAATTGTTGGAATGCAACCTCAAATTCATGAATAGATAAATCATAGCAAGACTGTAATACTCTGACTCGACCTTTTTGGTAAAAAGATTTCAGTATCACTAATCCACTAGTATATGCCTATTTATCAAAATCTCTTTTAGATTCTTTCGTTCATTTGAAGGAAGAATATACCAAATTTTCTTCAGAGTATAATCATGCATCAAAGAACAGGGTAAGAGAGAAACCTGTGTGGAAACACAAAGGGTATGGGCAAGCTGTGTTTTCCCAGATCTGGAGTAATAAATAAGGGAAAATTATGCTACTTTTATGATTGAAAATGGCAATAAAGCTATCAACAAAACGACGTAGAAATGGAATTCCTCACCGGAATTCTCCAAAAGCTTCGGTAATTGCTGAAGTTTCTATACCACCTTTTTAAATCAACACAAAATATTAGTTGCAAATAAATTTTAACAAACTACATCATGACATTAACACCTACCAACAAATACAGAGAATCTAAGAGTACAAGACTACCTCCTAACAGTTCATCAAGTGCTTGGCTTCCTGTTGTGATGCGAATCACAGACTTTCTCTGTTCAACGCAGATAAATATTAGATTTCATGTTTGTCAAGAAAGAAGCCGCAATGACTTTGAGACTTCCAGTGGATATGTCAATAACCAATGGGCTAAATAATTGACTCATTCAAAAGAGCAAAACTCGGATCTTAGACTTACTCTGAGTAGAGCATCACTTCCAGTTATATAACCAAAATTCTGAGAAAGGAAAGGAAAGGAAAGGTAAAAAGGAATTGGTAGTGCGAAAGCCACAAATAGGAAATGGAGTTTAAGAATTGAATGTCATTTTTATTATCATACAACTTGAGCACTAACCACTATTTTCTCTGCAGCTTCACATATCTTATCAACTTTAGCTTCCGATAATCCTTTAATCCCTGTTAGGTTCTGGAAAAAAGTAGAGAAAGTAGCAGTCAGAAGGCGCCAAAACTTCCTGAATAAGAAGACCATAAATGAAATTAACTATACCTTCTTTGTGTGCATCATCAATCCATTGCAGGTGTAGATCCCTGCATCTTGAAGCTTCTTGACATCTCCAGCATTGATTCCTTGAGAGATCACTAAAAAAAAAGCAGACGTTATAAACAAACAAACAAACTGACAATAAAATATCTAAATAATATTCAATGTGTCGATAAATCGAAGTGAAATTGCTAAGGAGAAACCAATTCATCATGTGTGATATCGGATCAAGGGCTCAACAAACCAGTGAATATCGGATAATTAATCATAAACAAAACACATAAAAAAAAAAAAAAAAAAAAAAATTCATCATTGTGTGATATCGGATCAAGGCTCAACAAACCAGTGAATAAATCGTGATAATTATCAAAACAAAAACACAAAAAAAAAAAAAAAAAAAAAAAAAAAGGAAAGACAGAAATGAAAGACAATATACAACTTGAAATGTAAAACTCAATTACGCAAGACAAAAAAAAAAAAAAAAAAAAAAAAAAAGAAAGACAGAAATGAAGAGCAATATACAACTTGAAATGCTAAAACTCAATACGCAAGACAAAGATCACGCGTCATTTTCCAGGATTAAGAGAATTACTCAAAATTTTTCAGCAGAAATAATCTCCAGTTGATGTATTTTTCAAAAAAAGAACAAAAAGGAAAAATCACAACAATGGGGAATGGAAGATAATGATCGGTAATATTGTAGTCGAAGCTTTGCAAACTAGAACTGCCAAGACTCTATTGCAGTTTCGGCGTCGCAAACACATAGATAACTCAAATTTTCCAAACGAAACGAGCGAGTCGCTCAAAATTTTCCAAACAAAAACGAAATTAACTCGACGCGAGAAAATATTCCAAAAACAAGTGGAAAACAGTCGAGAATGGAAGTAGCTTACACTTATCAATGGCTTCAAACAAGTCCTCTTCGTCATCAATGTCTTCTCGCTCCACCAGCTGTAGCTGGCTTTGCTCTTCGGCTCTAAGCATCGGAAATGGGAGATTTTAAGAAACAATTAGGTTTCTTATTAATGCTACAATGCGATATTGACCGAATTAAAGATAAATTATAGTGGGAAAGGCTGTGTCAACTCACTTGAGAGCAGCTATCATCTTCGATTTCAAAGAAGAAAATCTCAGCTAGTCGTTTACACTTTCTAACAGAGGAAATTTAGAGGTGTTTGGCTTAAGAAAGGTAGGAAGTGAGATTTTGAATTTAAATGTCAAATGTCCCTTTCAGTTTAATGGCATGAAATTCTATTATAAGGCGGGAATCGGAATTGACGAAGTTTTTTAAAATAGAATTTACGTAATAGTCAGATCCGAGTTTGGCAAGTTTCTTCTCGTCTCTCCAATCTCCGTCCTCCTGTTAAAATTTGCGCAGCTAATGTATTTAACCATTCTGTTTCTGCCACGTCACCTACAGAGATGCCCAATGGACCAAGTATTTTTCCAATATTGTGATTGTCCATATAAAAACTTCTCTATTAAATGAAAATGTTCTTTTTATGAGTACATTTACCTTCTAAAAAAAAATGAAAATGTTCTTTCGAAAAAAAAAATGAAAAAATTTTTTTCAATGCTTTTCCTTTCAATACTACGAGTATAAAAGTAACTGTTGATATAGATTTAATACACTGAATATGCACCATCTGAATTTATTTACAAAAACAAATAAATAATTTTATAGTATTATTGATTAAATCATTAAATATTTTATTAAACACAAAGAAAACTAATAGAATTATTAATTTTTTGAGAATATAATAATTATTAATTAAGTTTATAAAAAATAGTTTGTAGTAACTATTTAAGCATAGGACAATCAACAAGTTTGAGTAGAAAATATATACTGTTAACAGTTTTGGGGAAAAAATGGATAGTAAATAGTGAATTTTAAATAATTTTGAGATGATTATAAATTTTTTTATTTCTAACCATTTCAATATTCCAAGCTTATTTAATCTGGATTCATATCTGATAGATCTATGAATTCAAAATAATTATAAATTAAAATTATTGATCTATTCAAATATAAAAATAAAATCATTTCTTACTCATATGGTTTTGCTATTTTCGTTTTCATTCTAATTATAAACTTTTTTTTTTTTATAGAAAGTATTAACGGAATATTGTCAAAGCGGTTTCACTTTATCTTAGATAATACGTGCAAATTTAGATCGCATAAAAATGTATTTGCTATTCACGAGTTGAATTCAACATTTTCAAACAAAAATCTATAGCTGAAATTAAATTTGACTTTTTTATTATCGAAATTTACAGAAAAAAAATTTGGAAACTAAGTTTACGAATATAACATTTTATTAATATAAAAATATATTTTATCAGGAAAATTAAGTTACAAAATATCTAGATCGAAAAGTACTTTCCTATAATGATAAATGATAGAAAATTTGGATATCTATAAGAATAGATATTATATATATTTATATATGGGTACTGTTTCGGGCTTAGATCAATGGTTTGAATTCTTAATGCAACGAATGGATGATGCAAAAACAGGGGAGGCTTGTGTTGTGGCTTGGGAGTTATGGAATGCTAGAAACAAGTTGATTTGGCACCAGCAAGTAGGTGATTCAGCAACTTTTGAGAGACATGTACAGTATTATCTTAATGCGTGGGGAATTGCGAACTCGATAGAGGAAGAGCAGTTGGTACCAAGGGAGAGTAATATGCAAAACAGATGGCATCCACCTTTGACAGGTTTCAAATGTAACGTGGATGCAAGTTTTGATCCCAATTGGCCATGCAGCAGCGGGTTGGATAGTGAGAGACTGTGCAGGTAGATGTATGGGAGGTCCAGCTATGAAGCTGGGAAGGGTAACGAGTGCAGCGATTGCTGAAGCCATAGGGGTGCGGGAAGCGTTGAGCTGGTTGAAACAGCGATATCAAGGACAGCGGTTGCTGCTGGAGAATGACAACTTATTGATGATCCAAGCTCTACTCTTGTTTTGGTTCCATAATTCAGGATCATAAAACTCTCTTTGTTGACTTTGAGTTATCATGTTTTATTTTTATTCAACAGTCAACGAATTAAATGGCTCATGTGCTTGCAAAAACTGCTAGTTGAATGCATACGCTTATTTTTGATTTCATGTTCTTTGATTTTATTAAAAATTAATTCACCATTTCAGTCAATATATATATATATATTTTACTAATTCCATAATTTTTAACAAAACAAAATACTCTTTAGAAAATTTTTGTTGTCACCGAAAAAAATTTCCACCATTTAACAACGAAGTCAGGGTTGGGTCTATTTGGTCACGTCACACAATGCCCAATGCCCAATGCCCATCCCTGCTTTCTGTGTCCCAGCAAATTCGTGTAGTCGCAGAATTGATGTACTCAGCGAGAACATGCAATCCAAGTGATTATTAATCTAGAAAAAAACCTTTACTCGCGTGCCGGGAGCGCGTTTATCAAATTTCTCCGCTCTTGAACAGTTTTACTTTTTGACCCGCCGTGAAGACTACACTATGCCTTTGTGAGCCAGAATGGGCCGTCTGGTAATAACGAAAACAACGAGTGCCCCTATTGAAACCGCTGGTCAAATTTTAATTTTGCCTCTTTTATAAATAATCCCTCTCTTCAAAATAGTAGCTACTGCGCTGTTTGCCTCTAGATTCTAGGGTTTTCTCTTCTTCGTAACTTTGTAGAAAGGGAGCGGTTCTGTTATATCTGTTCCTCTTTCTTTCCACCGCTCCTCTCTAACTTTCCCTCTAATTTCCCGTAATTCTCCTGTTCACGTCACTCAATTTTCATTCGCCACCCCATAGGACCTTCCTTGAAAGGTCACAAACTGACGCAGGAATTCTCTTCTTGATTATCCAATGAAACGCTCTAATTCCACCGAGGCCAATTCTACTCCTTTGGTAAACCTCGAAAACCCTGGATCTTCGGAATCCACTCTGACGGAAGTTAATTCCTCGGGGGCGGCCGCAGATGTGGTGGCGGCGAATGACGAGGACAGCAATAAAAGGGACAATAATGTGGATGACGAATTGGTTCTCGACATTACAGGTAAAAGCTTGGAATTTGATTTATTAGAGAAAGCTGACGATTCCCTGGAGGAATTATATTTGTACAAGAATGCGTTTAGTTTGGTTCCGAGATCTGTGGGAAGGCTGGGAAGATTGAGAACGTTGAAGTTCTTTGGAAATGAGTTGAATTTGTTTCCGCTTGAATTCGGGAATTTAGTGGGTTTGGAGCGCTTGCAAGTGAAAGTATCATCTTTGGGGCTGAATAGCTTGGGTTTGAATAAATTGAAAGGATTGACGGAGCTTGAGCTGTCGAAAGTTCCGCCAAAGCCTTCGGTTTTCACGATTCTAAGTGAGATTGCTGGGTTGAAGTGCTTGAACAAACTTTCTGTCTGCCATTTCTCCATAAGGTAAGCATGCAAGTGTTTTACGTTTTGTGGTTAGGAACTTGGGAAACCTTACATTTCATTTATTTTTGAGCTTGAATGGGCAGTGTTTTGGTGGCATTGCCAAAGAAGTAAAAATACTTCCTTTATGTTGATTAAAGTGACGCTTCTTATTTATGTTAGACGTGTCAACTTTTGTTGATGTTAATTAATATGCCCTTTGAAGAATGACAGTGACAATGGCTGGTTGTATTTGATCAACGTAGAATTACTCTTTGTATCAGATATTTTGATTCTTTTCTTCATTGGCTGATCTTATAGTCACTCCTTCTATGATACAAATAACTAATTTATATCAATCATACGAGGTGAAATTTCATAAATATTGCAAAATTCAGATGTTGACTGTATATCAGTGTGTAGTAGCTGAAAGATTTTTTTATTTTATTTTATTTTTTTTATGGTGGCGGTGGCAGTGTTGCACCTATGGTAGTTTAAAATGGGTCTTTTTAGTTGTGGATCTAAATTTAAATGTTTAATGCTTCTTTGTAACATATTTATGTGATTACTTTGTTGAAGGGAAAGACTAGGTAGTTTAGGAAATCTTAAGGGCCTTGTGAAATTTTTCCTATTCACATAGTTAAGCTGATCAATGAGTTAAATGGGGAACTTCTAAAATATGCAGAAAATAATAAGAAGTTAGTAAAAGATAAATCAGAATGGAAAACATGGATAGTTTAGTAGTGCTGAAGCAAAGTGATAAAATTAATGAGAGAAGTTGATATGCATCACATGGTTTGGAGAGGTATATGAACACTGCGTTTATCATATTTGAATGTCTGTAGTTTTCTATTTGAATGGTGCTTAGAAAACTGTGATCACTTATAAAATATGCCTTTTTATTACAGCTTCTGCAAAACAACTGTTTTTAGATTGTTAAGCCTTAATAACTATGCGGTAGTTTTTTCTCCTCTGTACCTCGGCAAATTCAAGTCAATCTTGTACCCGTTTATTGTCCTTCTATCAAGATTCTGTTTTGTTTAGGCTTGTAGCTTCTTGAGTAATTGTCAGTGTTAGCAGTCAAAATTGTAATGTGATCTACGCAACTCAACTTCACAGTTTTAAGTGGCTGCATATGGATGTGCCAGTGTTTTGAACAAAAATTTTGATGTTGTGTGTTCTACTGTTCTCTTTCCTGCAGATATCTTCCTCCAGAAATTGGCTGCTTAGAAAATTTGGAGTACTTGGACCTTTCATTCAACAAGATAAAAATTTTGCCTGCTGAAATCACTCATTTAACGGCCTTGATAACACTAAAAGTTGCTAATAATAAATTGGTAGAACTTCCCTCAGAGTTGTCCATGTTGCAAAGATTAGAGAACCTGGACCTGTCAAACAATAGGTTGACTTCATTGGGTTCTCTTCAACTTGGGTTAATGCATAACCTCCAGTATTTAAATCTTCAGGTACTTTTCTGTGACAAACAATGGGTCATCTGTTTTCATAATCTTTAGGGGAGGATAGTAATGTACTTCCATTTGTTCAACTTTGTTGTCATCTGTTTTAATTTTATTATTGTTTGTGTGGCAATTTTATATTGAGGCTTTAACTATGCCATTTGCTATTTCAATTTGTTACCCAAACATCTTATGTTAAGCCACTTCAGACTTTTGGCGATTCTAAGTTTAGGTCCTATGTCTCTAGTCAAATTGTAAGAAATTCAATATCTTTTCATATTATTCCTGATTCTTTCTGAATCATGCTTAGTCTGTTTCTATCCTAGAACAACTACCACCTATTTGAGCCAACCTTCGTCACTCTTGTAAATTCTTGTTTTGATGGTGTCATCTGTCTCACTTTTTTATCATTTTATTATTTCTGTAACTTCTAATTCTCTGGGGATTCTTAATTGCAGTAGCTGTCTTATGGTTTTGTTTACAAATGAAAGATGATGTCAGCTCACTTGGCTATTTTTCAAGATGGGTCATTTTTATGTTTGCTCTGCGTGCTTTAAATGTTCGTGTCATGCATTTTGTCCAACTTTTTCGTTGGAAATGGATGATTCTGGTTTATCATTTGCAATTGTGTTTCCTTTTCTAAATCTAACTCATTTATTTATCTTCTTGATATATATTGTTCTAGTACAACAAGCTTATCAGTTGTTCTCAAATACCTTCATGGATATGTTGCAATTTGGAAGGAAATGGCAAGGACTTGTCAAATGATGATTTCATCAGTTCTTTGGTTGAAATGGATGTATATGAAAATTCCATTCAATCTGAAGACAGAAGTTTGTCTTGTAATGGTTAGTGCTGTTAGGTCATTTTATGTAAATGCCTCTGATGTTTTGACTTTTTCTTTGAAATCTTTTGTTTTATATTGTGGTTATGTCAAACCAGCCTTTTTGATTATCATGAATGAATGCAGGCTCTCATAATGCTACATCAAGCCTAGTAAGTGGATCTTCATCAAATAACAGATGCTATGCAGCACGGAGGTCAAGTAAGCGATGGAAGCGGCAGCGTTATTTGCAACGAAAAGCTCGCCAAGAACATTTAAACAACAGTAGGAAGTGGAAGGGAGAAGGGCGTGCTGAATTATTGAATTCTAAGGAGAGTGGAAATTGCAAGCTGGACGCCCTCAATGTGACGACCTCTGAAACTTTTCAAGAAGGTACTTCTGCCATCATAGGTCTGGATGATGATAATGAAGATAAAGTAGTAGGTTCAGGTGAAACTGAATCTGCAGATTTGCTGGTTAATGGTGAGGGTAAAAGAACCAGTTCTAAAAAAGAGCCTCACTTAGAGAATTGCTCATGTGACCTTGAATCTATAAGTAAAGATGGGGAACATGAATGTTCTTCGCAAGATGAAGGTTCATCTTCTGAAAAAACCAAAGCCATTTTTAAGTCAAAGAGGCATTCTGATAGAGATCTTGATAATCCAAAACCATGCAAATATCGAAGACCAACAGAAGATAGCTACATTTTATCCCGCAAATATAGTGATCTTTCATTTTGTAGCATTGAGGACCACATTCCAGATGGCTTTTATGATGCAGGACGTGACCGTCCTTTCATGCCACTAAGAAGATATGAACAAATTCTGCATCTGGACTCACGTGAAGTCATTCTTTTGGACAGGTCATTTTATTCAAACCTATGTGGACAGCAGCTTCATCATCAGTGCTGCAACTATTCTTATATATCTCAATACAAAAGACTGATTGCTTGTTGTTTTCTTTAGGGAGAAGGATGAAAAGTTAGATGCTACAGTTTTGTCTGCCCAGGCTTTGGTCTCCCGCTTGAAGAGATTAACTGGTTTTGTCAAGGAGAGGAATAAGGTTGCTGTTGATAACTTGCAGATTGTGTCACTGCTTGCTCTTTTTGTATCTGATCATTTTGGAGGCAGTGACAGAAGTTCTACTGTTGAAAGGACACGAAAAGCTGTATCTGGTTCAAACTATATGAGGCCATTTGTTTGCACATGTTCAACAGGAAATGATGACAATATTAATACATCCACAAAACATATTCTGGGCAATGCAGACGAGATCATTTTCTCTGATCTCTGTGAAAAATCTTTACGTTCTGTGAAAGCGAGAAGAAATTCCATTGTAGTTCCTCTAGGTTATTTGCAGTTTGGCGTGTGTAGGCACAGAGCGTTGCTGATGAAGGTAATTATTTCTTGTAATTATACTATATGTTAGTTGAATTCTATGTTGCTTGCATTACTGTTCGGTTATAATAATCTAATAAAAGTTTGGTTTGATTCAGTATCTATGTGATCGTATGAAGCCACCAATACCCTGCGAACTTGTCAGGGGTTACCTTGACTTTGTGCCACATGCCTGGAATACTATTATCATCCAGAGGGGTGATTCATTGGTTCGTATGTTGGTTGATGCATGCCGTCCACATGATATAAGAGAAGAGACTGATCCAGAATATTTTTGCAGGTCAGTTATAATAAATGTTAATTAGTTCATGGTAATTTTTACTGCATTGTTAGGTATGGTCTGAATATGGATGGTTATGAAGTCTTATGTTTTATCATCTAAGCATCATACAACATTGATTTTGGTTTAATTCCTTCTACTCAATGAAGAAAATCGAAGCTTTTGGTGTTTGACTAGAAGACTTTTGTGGATAAACCATTTAGATTCAGTTCCATGTAAAGTTTAGTCAGTTCTGATGTATTGTGCTCATTAATTTGGTTTTGTCTCAACCAATTCTGTTCCTGGTCTGGAAAGTAAGCATAGTATAGCCAAGCCACACTATTTTAGTATGCTCTTCAGCTTCTAAATTATTTTCTTTGATAATGAAAACTTGAGTGGATTTGGATTGTAGTAAAAGGAGTTGAAAAAGCAATGCATAAAATATTTGACAATTCAGATGTTTTAGTATGTGGAACTATGAGAATATGTTAAAGCAATTTTGTTTGCTTACAAACAACATAAAAGATAATTTGATTGTTGTAATCTGTTCTCTTTGTCTATTTTATATCTGATTTTAGACCATGTTTCTGATGGGTTTGTTTGTTGCTTTAGGTATATTCCACTCAGTCGGACTAGAGTTCCTCTTTCAACAGAGAGCACACCTGGTCCTGGTTGTTCCATGACTTCCTTCTCAACTTGTGATGAGTTAGAAAAGACAGTTTCTAGTACTGTCATTCAGTGCAAGCTTGGATCAGTTGAGGCTGCAGCAAAGGCATGTTTCCCTAAAATTCTTTTCAGGCTTGTATCGTCACTAAGCAGAAAAATTACTCTGATATTTTTGTTGAATTTTACTTGATGCTCATTGATTTTTTTAAAGAAAATAGTATGAAAATATTCTTTTGCTATTTCATTATCATTTTTATCCAATCAGAATTTCCCAGCAAACAATTGATATGTTGTCTTATTGGATGTTGCAGGTGCATACCTTAGAGATTTGTGGGACTTCAGTGGATGAGATTAGGGATTTCGAGTACAGATGCATTGGGGAAGTAAGAATTTTAGGTACTTTGCATCATTCCTGCATAGTTGAAATGTATGGACATCAGATATGTTCGAAGTGGGTTCGTTCAGAAGATGGAAAACCAGAGCGTCAGATATTGCAGTCTGCAATTCTGATGGAGCATATTAAGGGGGGATCTTTAAAGGTGTTTATCATTCTAATCTCTTTTAGCTGGTGAATGTTATCATGTCTTTGCTCAATATCCTGCTGTACCTGCATTGCTGATTATTTGCTTCATGCAACAGAGTTACATAGAGAATATGTCAAAAGCTGGTGAGAAGCATGTGCAAATGGAGTTGGCCCTGTGTATTGCTCGAGATGTTGCATGTGCATTGGCAGAGCTGCACTCAAAACACATCATACATCGTGACGTGAAAAGTGAAAACATATTGATTGATTTAGACAATAAGAGAGCTGATGGAATGCCTGTTGTTAAGCTCTGTGATTTTGACAGAGCTGTGCCTCTTAGGTCATTCTTGCATACATGTTGTATTGCTCATAGAGGAATACCTCCACCTAATGTTTGTGTTGGAACACCACGTTGGATGGCTCCGGAGGTTCTGCAGGCAATGCATAAATCTAACCAGTATGGTCTGGTATGATGCTTCTTTTGACTTAAGATTTCTTAATTGGTGGCTCATAATGCCTGGCTTATAGGTTTTCTCAATTTGGTCATTCATTTTTCTATTACATTCATGTGATAACTGCGTGAGGTTCCTCACAAGTTGTATGCTAAGTAGAAGAATGAATTCATGAACATAGAATTCTTAGTTACGTTCTTATAAGTTTCTGCTGTAAATTATACTTTTTATGACCTTGATTTGAGAAAAGAGATGCTGGGAGGAAAACTAGGATTCTCATCGTTGTAGTAAAATAATGTGAGGAGCTGCCATGCAGAACTCTAATCACCATGTTTATCATGGCATTTTTTTTTTTTTGGTTTGTTTATACTGTAAAACTTAATTGATTTGTCATCCAGTTTCATTTGGAAAAATAGAAAGTGGTGCAGACCACTTGCTGCACAACCTCAATGATGGTTTTGTTTGGAAAGATCATATGCTGTTTTATATATTTGCAAGAATCTTTGATGCATTTGATTATGCAATATTTTTTTTGGATATTATATAATGTGACTTCTATCTGGTTGTAGGAGGTGGATATTTGGTCATATGGATGCCTACTTTTGGAATTATTGACCTTGCAAGTTCCTTATTCTGGTTTATCTGAATTCCACATTAATGAACTACTTCAGGTTTGTCTCATGGATAATTGCAGATACCACAAAATTGTAGATGTAGATACAGTTCTTAATTCTCTCTCTCTCTCTCTCTCTCTTTCTTTCTTGATCCTCTTGCCTTTGTTTAAACAGTTTCTTTTACTCTTGAACAAAACAGGCGGGCAAACGACCACCATTGACGGATGAATTGGAAACGTTGGCATCAATGCATGAGCCAGCAGCGACAGGGTCTGGCTCAGAGTTGGCAGGACCTGAGGCTGAATCAGAAACTCTTAGATTCCTTATTGATTTGTTCCGGCAATGCACAGAGGGAAGTCCAGCTAATCGCCCTACAGCAGCAGAAATCTATGAATTGTTGCGTGTGCATACAGGTGCTTTCACTAGTTCACAGAGCTAGGTATATGTTTAGATTAACCTTTAGGTAATAACTTGCTTCGGCTCTGAAATTTTTGTAGCCCTAGGATGTTGTTTTACAATATTTAATATTTATTCGAGGATCCAATTGTCCGCATTTCTCCTTGAGTTATACCATCATTGTAGTTTTAGGCTTAGGTAGCTTTCAGCTTTATCTTTCCGAGTAATGTCCAGGATTAGATACAAAATTGGTAATTGCTGCCTTTGTAATCTAATTAAGATCTGTAAATTTTGTAGGTAGGTATATTTTCGATTGTGCAATGCTTAGGCGTCACCATACTTGTCCATTGTAAGTTGAACTGTTTAATTTATTAGAGCTCTCCAATTTTGACTTATTAGCAGCTTTGGATTAACTTAACCCAGCTTGGAATATTGAGGACTTATTATGCTGGCGAAAACACGATGTACTTATACACGTTATGGTAGTTGTTTGAATTAATTTTTATTTATATATTGATTGTATTGTGTTTAGGGCAGGGGCTAACAGGAGTTGCCCCTTCTTCTTGAGGTAAAGTTATTGGCAACTGATGGAGTACTCTGTTGAGTTCATCTCCCCGGTTTTAGTGCAAGACAGATAATTTATGCTGGTATTATGGGAAAGTGTGTTTTTTTGTGGTTCTAGGGTTCAGGTTTATAAGGTTAGTTGCAAATTCTCTTGTCCAGCTCGGGTTTATGTTGATTATTTCATAGGGTGAATTACTATTAGTCCTTTGATTATATTCAAATACAGAGTCAGATCCCTATTAATTTTGTAGTTACACGGTTTCATATTTGTCATGACTTTATTATTTTGTTAATTGCTAGTGAAATATTGTTACCTTCTTTGATGAATGCACATATGGCGTAAAAGCAAATAAGAGAGAATTACTATTTAATTTATTGGCTGTATTTAAATATCTTATTTTTAAATTTTATAAAAAAGTCTTTCGATTATTCAATTCTTTTGACAAAGTAGTGAATTTAATGGAAAAACGAAGTAGATGTAACGGATTGAGAGATTAAATAATTAAATTTTGAAAACAGTAGTACCGACCGATGTACTTGCGTATGACTAGAAAAGTTTGGCTCTATTTCATATGAAAGGCAAAGGTAAGCACCAAAATCATTTGAGAAAAATAATTTTTGTTAACCAATTGACAAACCGCGAAAAGAAGTGGAAGCCACATTGTTGATTATAACTGCACTTAGACGGATAATCTTAATCTGCGATCCAACCTGTCCATTGACTTGTTCCGTTCAGGTGTTTGTAATCATTTAACCTTCTTTCTGCTAAAAGAAAAAGGTATTCAATTTTTAATTTTTTTTTTTTTCATTCGCAATCGTTAATAATGATAACAATGTCTGTATATAAGATGGAGAAGTGCTCTAAAACATTTTAATAGTAAAGGAAAAGATCCCCACTCCCACTTCCAAATCTTGTCATGTTTTTGTTTTACATTGGCATGTGATAGACATTGCCAAACTCACAGCTGTTTGTTACCTTTTATGTGACCCCTAAAATGTAACCTGCACTGCATGTATTCTGTAAGTTTGCTACCCAGAGACAGCAAGTAAATGCTTCCTCCAGGTTACACAATTACTTACAGTATTACTGTGTAAGGGGACCAGTCTACCCCTTCAATTAACTCAGTTTTTTATTAATAATTTATTGTCTTATAGGTTTTTGGGGAACAGGGCACACCCATCAAAAACTCTGAAATATTAGAAATAAATAAATATGTTGTAAGTAGGAGGATAAGCATGGGGACCTCGGGCTCAGGCACATTTGGTTGGTTTTACGCGTGTTTGACGTATCTCGCTCGCGGCATCATATGCTACATTTGTGTGCCATTTGTTATCATAATTCCAGTATCATGCAAAATCAAATCCTTTTTATTTTTATTTTTTCTTTGGGTATCTTGTATAAGTTCCCCCTATCACTTTAATCATCTATCTTTAATAGAAAAATCCCATAAAGACCTCTAAATCAATATATTTATATTTATATATATATTCTCTATTTATGTTGACCAAAATATTTCTATCTGTTTTTCAAAATCTCCTTACTTTATCCGTACAATAAGGGTCATTGCATACTCATAGCACAAGATTTGCTGTCACTATCTCCTACTATATCCATTATCAAAATAGAGATATAAATGTGCCGCTAGCGGCTTCAATTAAATTATTTCCAATTATTTTATATTTATTCATCAAAACTTTTAAAGGAGAAACACCATCGTTTTTTTTTTTTTTTGGTTAATTTTTCACTACTATCTCTATACCCTTTTGTACATAAGGCTATTAGAGTTTATGACTGTCCCTCTCCATAACTGTTTTTTCCCACGAATTGAACCCTTAACTTTGCAAAGTTGTTCGCTTAGCTTGCCACATGAGTTTATAATCCAGTGATCTTAATATGTTTGGTGGTAGGAATGAACTGACAGTATGTTGGGAACTTGAGTTCATAACTCAATTGAAATTGGTGCATGATAGAAGATTATAGACTGAGGAGGCCAAGGAATGTATCGATCCCTATTGGATACTTTGAAAGAAATATTACTTTGATGCCTCGTTCGTCTTACTATAATGGTTTGAAATTACAAGTTGCGTAGGCTATACACACTATATATGCAAAAGCTGTTACTCTGATAAGGACCAAATGAAAGTCACTTATTCTCTGGCAGGAAAAGAAAACAAAAAGAAAAAGTAAATAATTTACCACAGTTGTAAAAAGATTATAAATACTTGCACATTGGCAGCAATCCGAACAGAACAGACATTTATTAATTGACGGATTCTAAGGTAACCAAAATCACAAAATGGGAATCTTGGAAATTTTTCAAGAAATTTATATAATATCAGATTAATGCAAAAAGAAAAAAAAAAAAAACCTGTTGGATTCATGCTTGATGTCGTATTTTTGGCTACGTGTGCGTGGAAACCATTTACTTTGGAATAGATGCTGCTTTAATTTTATACTGATGTAATGCAATTCCCAATTAAACAACGGATTAGTGGTAGCATTCTGCGGCAAAAAATTTTCTAGTTTCAGATTAATCAAGGATTGGCACCTAGCAAAGTTGCTTAAACTAAGTTGGAGAGTGACTGGATAGAACAAAGCAAGTGGAAGATAGTAATCATGTTGAACCATTTATATTGTTTTTGACTGTTAATTCCGTTTCTTTTTAGGAATTTCTTGCAGCAAGATTTAAGCAAGAACGATGAACATATTTTAAAATCATGAGTTCTGACCTAATCCTTTTTTCTGTTTAACATTTAAAAGCTTAATTAATCTCCGCAACTTGTAGATTATTCTATAACAATAAAACGATATGAGATAATATAAGTAGATTTATATGCTGAGAATAATATTTTAGCTATAAACCCTAGCTGAAGCTAGAATAACCTAGCTCTGCATAAGGTATAAGGTTTATTATAAATTTATAATTGAAGTGTTAAGTTTTTATTGGCACACTGCATTACTGATAATTGAAGTGTTAGGTGTCTATTGGCCCACTTTCATTGCAGATGCAAAGAACTTTCTAATGATAGTAAAGATGGATATCATGCGAGGAATATTACAACGGACGGCATATGTTCCAATGGCAAAAAAAAAATAAAAATAAAACAATCACATAATAAAAAAGAGAGCAAAAAATGTATTCTCTTGGGATTTTGAGATCAAGAAATGAAATCTCAAAAGGGTTAGGCAAATCTAAATTAGGGTTTTAGTTTGAGAGATTAAAAAAAAAAAAGATTAACTGTATATGTTGGTTCCATCATCACACCTACCAAGTGCAAGGGAACAAATTAATTAATTAATTAACTAAACTTAATTAAAAGGGACATGCGGTTAAGAAAAAGAAAACAAAGTAATTCTTGTAAGTTATTAGAAGAAGCTTTAGTCATTTTCTTGATTGTCAATATCAATTGTTACTAATAACTACTGATGCGCAGCTGGCACCAATCAAATGTAGAATTGTCAAGTAATCAAGATATGGTAAGTTTGCAAAGAAAAGGCTAGCATCAGTCACCAAAGCAAAGATGCTTATATAGAATTGGATTAAATGCACATCACAAAATCAAAAAGAGAGGAAAAAAAAATCTTTTTCTTCTTTTTTTTTTTTTTTTTTTTTTTTGAGATGTCATATTTAGACCGGAGATAATATTCAAACAAAAATTATTTTCAAAGTGGCAATTCTAAATTTCAAATCAAAGAAATTGTAACTAAAATTCGAAAATAGAATTTATATCCGAAAACCTTATAAATAAAGATGTACTCCACATCCATAATCCAATAGTCTATTGATTGTTATTCAATTTAATATGTGAACCTTATGCAAAAACCTATAAAACCATGCAAAAAATGGTCCCCTCATGAGCTAGTAGAGTTTTTAAACTCTTTGGCCTCATGGGTATTGGTTACTTGATGCTTTTACTTCTCTTCTCTCTCACAGTCACAAAAAAGAAAGAGAGGTTAAGGGTCCCCTACTTTCTTGGGGCCCAACCTAAAAGTTATTAATGCTCTTTACAGTATATATAGAAACCCTCACTAACCTGTCTGCAAAACTGCATGGTGCCACCAAAGTCTTGGCGTGACAATATTCAATTTGCATCTCTACAGGGACCACTTTCTTACACATCTTCCATTAATTTTTTATTAATTACTTTTTCACACTCCTCTTCCTATATTCCATCACCAACAAAAAAAATAAATTAAAATTTTTGACAAATAAAATTAATCTTCTCCCTCCTTCTTCTTTCTCTATTTATACTCCTTCATCCCCACTTCTCTATATCCCATAACAAGCAAGAAAAGAACTACTAGTGAAATTTATAGCTATACATGTAGCTAGCTTGGGCTCTCTCAATAATAATCTACGACGAGACTGCCCATCTTCTTATCGTGTAACACTATCAGTTGAAGCTGCCAGCATGATCTTAACCTTCCTCCATAGTTGAGGAAAGATCAGATCATGTGGCAGCTTCACCCGTTGTGGTAGCACGAGAAACCCTAGTTTCACTCGAAACCCTTTTCTTTAAATGCTTAAATGGGCTGTTAGGGTTTTCTTTGTTCAATCCCTAGAAAAGGAGGTATGTAATCTTCTTTTATAGGCTTATCTAGGTTTCTTGGGTTTGCCTTTTCGTGTCTGTTTGTCCAATTATTTGTTTCTGTTGTGCTTCTGATGCATTGATTTTGGTGTGTTTCCATTTATTTTAACTTCCTGTGCTCCTTAGGGTTTTCAGTGACAGGGTTTTTGCGTCTCGGTGCAGTTCAACGATTTCTAGATCTTCCCTGACATTTTTGGTGATTGAGCCTTGACATTCCTTAATCTGCCGTACTGCTTTTGTTAATAACTTGGGTATGCATTTTCAACTTCTTTTCTATGATATAATATAACTAACAATTCATATATGTTTAGGGTTTTTATAAAACTGCTTTTTGGTTAGGGCTAATCCGTTCGGCTTCAATTTTCTATATATTTTATGGGAAAATTATGCATCTATAACCTCTTACCTACTTTACTTGACATCTTATAGAGCTAATTTATAACAATGGATAAGGTAGAGAATGAATTTTGACTCAATGTTATACTGGAGTCTCCAGAACTAAAAGGTTGCTAATTCAAATCTCAGCCAAATTAACTAAGAAAGAGTCCAAGAAAATATCGTGCACCCTTTTATGTGGTTCATAATTTTGTGGACCATTTCTTGATAAGTTTTTGAGATTTGCATTTCCTCTCAGAATTATCTGAGTTTGTGGGAATAATGTTAATGTTCACATATTGTGGTTGAATCCAGCTAATTCAACTCACAAATTCACCAATCATAAGGTAACTTGTGGTTCTTCTCTTAAATTTTAAGTCTTGCATTTCTTTTTTCTCTTTCAAGACTTAATAGGGTTAATTAGTTCAGGCTTTACATGTAGTAAGTCGATCGAATCTTACGAATAATGCAACTGAGATCATAGCCATTGATCAGCTAATAGCCCAACAAGTCAATTGCTCAAGAAAATTCAGGAAAGAAAACCTCTTTCTCCATGTTTTAAAGCAAAAATGTGACATTGAAGTTAAAATAACAAGGTGAAGAAACTGCACTAGAATACATACTACAATGATAGAACAATAAGATTGTCCTATTTGAAAAGTTTTACTAACTGGAGAATCTACCTGCAGATAACCCTCTTGGACCGGGTATTTATTTTCTTCTGTCCTTGATGTTAAAAGAGTGATAAAAGCATGAGTATGCATTTATCAGTCTTTTTATGTCAACTTTTATATATTAAGGACTTCAGATTTAGTTCACTTTCTTGTATTTCTTCCAGGCTTGAAGAAGTTGTTGATGAAAGCACTTACTAGGATTGTGTAAAACAAAAAAGGAAAATTCTTTTAATGTTTATATCGGCCCAATTGTTATTTTATGATAAGATATTTGAAGAAGGTTTTGTAGCCAACTAGAAGTTATAAACTTCGGGAGAAGGAGATGGACTAATCATAAGAACTATAATTTCATAACATCTAACTAAATGTGAAAAGTAAAGTTGATTTCAAAGTAAAATATGAGATTAATACAAAGAAGTGGATGGTCTATCGGTAATTGAACTGTGTCTGTGTTAGCTAATTAAGAGAAGAATATTTTACTTGATGAACTTAACTCCTGTTTATCCATTTTATTTATTGGAAGCTCGTGAAAGGAAGATTATTTGCTCAATTAATAGAAGTGTAGTGAATAGACATTGATGTTGTTTCAATTAACAATAGCATGTGAACCCATTAAATTAGCTTGTTCAAGTTCCTTAGTTTGAATCTTTCTTTTATGATATATATATATATATAATGAAGAGTAGTGATTTGGCTATCTACCTTGGTTGTTGGAGTTTGGCCCCTCTCTTTTGGTAGGAAGCTGTATGTGGGGAAGATTCCATATAGCTTTCTTTATCAGTAGGTACCCAAAATATGCAAAAACGTTATATTGGTTTAATTGATTCTTTCAATATAACTTGTGATCAGTGAAAGACATCAGGTAGCTAGAGAATCCATTGACAAGGCCTTGCTTGCTACTTGCCATTTAAGGATTGCTCTTTTGCCAATGCGAGAGCCATAAATTTGTTTTCTATAAAGGACCCGGATTTGGCTCGCGTTCTATCGTTGAAAGTGAGATTTCAATCAAAAAGCTTATGGATATATATACCTCTGTTAGAGAAAGACAGAGAAGAAGAAGGGACTTACGATTTGTCACTATCTCTCTCTCTCTGTTCACAAGATACTTGCCTAACTCTACATCACTGCATGTGAAATATTTCTTTAGTGTATTTCCTTTTTTTCTTGCATTTATATATTAAGTCTAATGATTGAATTTTGTGTTCCTCTACTCACCAAAAAATATTTTTCTTCTAAATTGTAATAGAGTAGTCAGTGAGCATGATTGTGTCCAATGAAATGGGATGTATATATATGTTTATGAGATGTCAAATTAATAGCATTATTGTTCTTCTAAATTTATTTGTATGAAAGCCATAATATCATAATAAAGAAAGTTAAGGATGGATGTGGGTTGAATCATTTATGAATATACGTTGCTTCTATAAAAAATGTTTAAATATATTTTTTCTTCTTTGCCAAAACTTATATATATTTAGTAAAAGATGATAATTTTATAATTTATACTCTACTAGATAATACATGACACTTTAATTTTAAAAAAATGAAATAGGTTTTGACTGAGAATTTGTGTTCTACTTATATTTCAATTTTTTTTAATATAAGAAATGACGATTACTATTTTCTGGTACGGTCAAATGCATAATTTATCCATGTACTCTTTATGAAACTTTTTGGCACAACTTACTGTGCCCTTGCGCACCTCTCAATAATAGTAATAATACAGTACTTAAGGTTATATTGATTTGACGAGTTTTGAAATAACAATTTTCATATTTTTCGGTTATCCAATAACTATTTAATTGATTTAATTTTAAGTTGAAATATTTAATAAAATAATATTTTTTTTATAAAAAGAAGTATTTTAGTGCAATTGTATAAGCTGAAGTATCCAACAACTCAAAATCAAAGTTGAGAATAACGATAAAAATTTTCCACAAAAACATATAAGTTGTTTGGCATCTGTAGATTGGTTATAAATATATATTTTTCTCTAAGTTTTGGGATTTCAATATTTTTAGCTTGGTTAATTAGTTTCTTGATTGTCAATGTATTTCATATATATTCCTAAATCATAATTTTTTTTCTTATGTTGAAAAATTAATTATATAATTCACTTTGGAATATGTTGAAGCTCATAACAATGGTCTTCCAATTTCATACCCAAACAAAAACCATGATAGTTTACATACATAACTAGTTCGTTCACTATCAGATCGTATAAAACCCATAACCAAAAACTAACATGCATTTTTTTATTGAACACTTAACAAATTTTAAATCAGGTTTATTACCTTAATTCTCGTCTTTGGAGGCATATGGGCTAACCCAAGAGAGTTTGAATTGCGGAAAATCGAACACATACCTTAAACAATGGTGATCAACTCCACAAATATTATTTGCCACTGAACTATCCTATTCAGGTTATAACCATTACTATCTTAGTTTTATATTTATTCATTTCTAAAAATAGAGTCCTTTAACTGGTGTATTCAATTATCATTGAACAACTAAATATCAATTCTTCTCAAAGAAAAAAAAAAAAATACTAAATAGAAATTCACTTTATAATAAATGCAATAATTCAAGATTTGAAAATAATATTATATTTACACATGTATGCATTGCGTAGTAATAAAAGTATGTACTATATGTAATAGATAAAACTAGAACTCCTTCATGAGAGGCTGGGTAGCACGAAAATTTAAAATTATCTTTTTTTAATAAATTATAATTGGGGAGTTTTACCCTAATCCGACTTCCCCTTTGAAGAGAAACCACAGACGTGAACGGAACTTGTCAATCTAGGCAGAGGTTGGTTATTAGTTATTAGTTTGATACTTTCATCTCTGGAAACAGACTTTTATAATTAAAACAAACACGCAGGCAAGTTAACATAAATATGTCAAAACGACATTCATTTATTCCCCGATACATTTTGTTTGGGCCTTTTAAAAGTTTCCTAAACTGCACGAAAAGTCGTTTATCTCGTTCGAGAAATGGGATAAAAAAGCCCACAGAAAGCTAAGCCCAATAAATAGAGGCCCATTAAATGAAGCGCACAGAACAATGGAAATAGGTCGTTTATGTTTTTGCTTTTTTATTTCTGCGTTAAGCTCTTGATTAGATTTGCAATTGGAATGTAAGACTTATTAGATAGTAGAAGTTCAGGAGGATTATTTGAAAATAAATGCGAAGCTGTGGCTGTGGCTGTGGCTGTGGTTGTGGATTTTATAGGAAAAAGAGTAATAGCTCATATAGAGGCAATTGACATAATTTGATTTGGCATTAAGAATAATTGCTCTGAGCTCCCAAAAATAAACATGAAAATGGAGATGTTTGGATGAGGCAAAATTTCCTACATATATTATAAGATTGATCAGAAATAAACATTTCTTTACAAAGGCCTACTTTCACATTCTTCCGAGATGAATGGTTACTGAGAGGACTACAACTATCAGTCTATCACCTATATTTGGATGTTTCTCCCATGATTTTTGGAGGGCTCCTAATAACTGACCTAAAATGGAAGGAAGATCTGGCAATCCTGCTCCTATCATCTTACATATACAAGGGAAATTTTTCTTTTCTTTTTTTCTGCTTTTGCTACTACCACCACCCTCCCCTCCATTGTCTTTAACAATAAAACATTACTCTCTTCACATTTTCTTTCAAAGCTGGCAATGGCCGGACTCCAGATTCTCGTGTTCCCTTGCTACCATGACCTGTAGAGCCATTTTCCTGCATTTCTGGTTCCATGTAAAATCGGGCTCGAAAAGCAGCTAAATGTGCATAATACGCCGGAGGAACTGCAAGGAAACCCCCAATTAGCCATCATTTTTCATATAGTTCTAAGAGCTCCAACAGTGAACCTCATTAAACTATTAAGTTCATTACTATTTTTTTCTTTTTCATACTCCAAAAAATAGAAGATTCCATAAAAATACCACAGTTGATCAGTTATGCTTTTGAAGCATTAATGTTTTTTAATTAAACTAAAGCTCAAATAAACACTGAAAATAATACTTACCAACAGAAACAGAGCGAGTGCACCTTGCATATGTGTAACAGAGATTGTTTGTCAGAGACTGTATTCCATCAGCAGTGAAGTTGTTCTCGTCCCATAGGACATGGTAGTGAGCAGGCCGACTTGTCCCCTTTAACATTAAAGGAAGGAAAACATCATTTATTTGAAAGAAGCAAGACTACAAGAATTTTGTACAACTTAAATATTGTAAGAAGTAACATATGCAAGATAAATCATCCTCAGCTTATTCTGAATAATTCATTAACTAAGACCTAGCAAAAAAGGGCAGCAGCATGTCAAAGCAACAAACCAAGTGTTACAGAACTGCAGGCTTACTGAAATCTCAAATTATTTAGCCTTTCCTATGCCAAATAAAATCATGCGAATGTTAATGGAGTACACACAATTTATGATATTAGATTTATGTTGGCCAAGAGTACTGTTCATTAGTATAATTTGTTCACAAGGACAAGCCAATTTTGCCCAACACCTCCATCAAAACATGTGAAAATTGAACTAGGAAGCATGTAAGGAAGAATGTAGATGGACTTTTACATTTATATGCCTTACAAGTTAAAACAGAATCTATAATATCATATTACTTGATACAATATGCATAAACTAGAGAGAACTCGTGAGAGAGAGGATAGGAGTTCTACCTGAATACCAGCATGGCTACAGAGATAAAAATCAAATTCTGTTGGATGACAAATTTTAGAATCAACCACAGTGCCTGCGAAACAAAAACAATATCGTTAGATAAATAATACACCATTTTCAACATATACAAAAGAAAAGAAAAAGAATAGGATACATTTCTGCATAGTTATGAAACTATAAACTTTACCAGGTAATATATTTCCACTCTTGTCTGTGCTACTCCTATCCCTATGGTTGTTAGCAAATAATCGAGTATGGTGTCGTTTTTGTACAACAATGAAAGTCACGGGTGGTTGATAATTTGGTTCTAGAGAAGCACAAGCCTGCAAGAAAAATTATTTATTAGCAACACTTTGTCTTCTATCTTGTTCCACAAAATTTACAGGGTTTACGAATATAAAAGGTTCCATTCTCACCTTCCGGATTGCATCTAATTCATAAAGCAGAACTTGATAAAATTGCCCTTCACTAACACCATCCCTGATCAAATTAAGTGGCATAAGCATTATCATAAGGACTAGAAATACAAATTACTCTTGAGATACACGTATTTTATATGTGAAATAGAAATGACATATATTTGCACGCACAACTGCATCTGCACAATTAAGTGCATCTACAATTATGTGTAGAAATGCAGTATGGTGTTTGCAATTCTCTACATAAATCTGAAATATCGACCTGTAAAATATAATCCTTAATGGCTTTTGTCCTGTTGCTTTCCTAAAAGAAACCAGAAGATCCCTGCAAAGAAGAAAATAAGTTATTGATAAAACTGTAACAATAGAGAGAATAACACAGAAGAAAAAATAAGAATTCAGATGACAACTCCACCAGAAACCAAAATTCATTTACCTGATCATGCCACCGCTTACTGTTCCACGAACAGGATCCTGCCATGTTTTATACAAGTCTTGTATGAGTTCTTGTCTGTGAGCTTGAGCACAAACTAGTCCAGCATATTTTGTCACTTCAGGCCAGTCCTGAGAAGCAACTACCTACAGTAGGAACATCATTATCAACAACCAATTCTCCACACTTGTTGAGGGGAAAAATTACAACATAATGTCAACTAGGTGAGAAATCATACAGCAGCAATTGAGGGGCTCGAGTCCTCCCCATTCTCTGGGTGAGTCACATCTGCACCAAATATAATGGTCGGTATGTCACTGACTAATGGAATTCTGCAGCTGATGGCATCTAGAAGGACAGTGTTTCTACCACCCATCTGCATCAAGTACAACAGGAAATTTTTGATATATTAATAATCTAGGATATGATTCAGATAAAAAAATTATTCAGGCGTCATTTTAGAGAAAGAGAAAAGAAGCTTTAAGACTATGGCATTTATTCCAGGAAAATCAAATGATTGTCAAGAAAGTTGGTCTAACCTTAACATTAATCTTTAGGGAAACATTTGCCAAATACTGCTTGCTTATCTTGAAGACATGTTTTGTAAGACAGCACTGTGATATTAAACCAAGATCAGTTTCACATATTCGCTTGAGATCACCTGAAAAAAAAGAATTGTAAGAACATAAAAATGTCGGTTCAAGATCGTACATAGAGTTTTTTACACTCGAATCAAGTAACACAAGCACACACTAAAAGTTACAAATTAAAAAAGTAGTACAAGCATTATTTGTGAACTAAAGCTACCAAATCATGAGAACAAAACGTCATACCATATAGGGAACCATTGTTGTCAGGTAGAATAGCTAATAGAAGCTCCAGCTCTTTTCCTTTGGTTTTGTTCATGGAAGCATGATAAACATGTTTCAGAGCTTTCTCCACTTGCTCAGGCCTCGCATTATAGATGGGAATAACAGGCTCTGGATTGAACTCCTACATAACAGAACAAATCAGCAAACTAACTAAAAAAAGGTGGCTGGGGAGAAAAAAAAGAGCACTTTGATAGTGTGAAGTATGAAAATTTGCAGCTTATAGAAACTACCATGCCAGAGACTTGGCACATCTGAGCAAGTTCATTGCAAAACCCACGGGCAACACTCTCTTGAACACTCCTTGAAAAGTTAATGCATGCCCATCGGTTTACAGTCATTCCATTGATCATTTTCTGCACATACAAAAAGCAAGTGATCTAAGATGTCAGCATTACAATCTATATGATAAATAGGGTAAATAAAAATGAAACTACGAAATAAATTATTGGCTCCATTAAATTGGGCCAAAACATAATAGGCAATACCAGAATGCCAAGTTCTACAATTAAAAGTCATAAAACTTCCTGAGGCATGCTATGGCCAGCTTGTGCAAATGGAGGAATAATACAAAGTTGTTTCTACTTTCTGAATACACAGTTGCTAGGGTACAGAATTTGTTTAAGCTGCTTGATATGAAGTCATTCAAGTGAATGGCAAACATTTGGAATCCCCATCAGCTTAGAAAGATTGGAATTTTCTGGTATAATACCTTATTCATCATGTTCCACTGGCCAACCTGTGGCAAACAGTCCTTCTCCTTGCCAGTTTCATGATACTTCAGCTGCAGAGAGAGCATAATCAGAGAATGAAAGACGGATAATGCTAATTATCTTTCTCAGAATAAACATAGGGATTAGGAATAGAAGAGATGGTGTACTACCCAAGGAGCAGGAAGAATTCGAGCCTCAACGGAAGCTAGCTTTTCACTGATTTTGATCCCGAACTCCTTTGCATAAGGGTCTTGATCATAAGCATTATGCTGAACTGTCTGCTTGTATTTAAAACGGCATGGAAAATAAAAGATCAGAACTATCATTTTGAGAGAAATACATACTTACCCAATTTGAGAAAGAGAGAAGATCATAAATTACAAGTACCTGCAAAATGTCATTTTCCCTATCCCTAGGTCTTTGGCATGTAACTTTCAAAAGGGCAGTAATTTGCCTCTCATTCAACCTTTTTGTATATCTCTGCCCCTCGACAATTTTGCAAGCCTAGCAAAGGAAGCAGATTTCAATATAGGATTTATGTAAGGAAACTGAAAAGTGAAAGTAAGTTAACAGGTACAATTGAAAAAAAAATTTCAGTGGCCTTAACTTACCTCCATTGGTAGATAGTTCGCCTTCTTCTGGTTTCCTACTTGAAGGCAAGGTAGATGCGTATGTTGAATGGTGAAGCCATACATTTCTTGGAAGTACTCTACCACCGACTTCATAGTCGAGTTATCATCAACTGGAAATCTAAAGAAGAAAAATTTTTGATAATTAGAACACCATAAAGAATTACCAAGGTTCAAAAATCCTTAAAGAAGGGAAAAAAAAATTAATTGCACACTGAATAGCTACTAATTACTTGGCTTTTCTTTCTTCCTCACCAAGAAGAGAATCTACCGACATCCAGTGACAGAAATCTGATAGAGCACATTTATAGGAGATAAGTAAAACTTACACGAGTTCTCTTGTAGGCTGAGATGTCAATCCTGAGACGCGATACTTCCTCCGTAAATTTCCTCTGTGAGTCACTTCAACTTTGACACCTCTAAGGGCCTTTTTAATCTGTTAATGTTTACAATAACATCCCAAGTTATCAGAATTACCAAGAAATGATAATAGCGTATATCACTATGGTAAATTAAATGTACCTTGATTCTATCAGCATCAGACAGTGGCCTTGACAATGCATCTTTGCCCAGAAGCTGGGCAACAAACTCAATTACAGGGAGAGGTTCAATGAATGCAGCCGAAGCCATATCTATATTCAAAAAAAAAAAAAAAAAAAAAAAAGTTCATTGCAGCAGCCGAACCATATACAAGCAAAAAACAAAAAAAAAAAAAAAAAAAGAAAGAGAAATCATAAGTACTCCTCGAAAACTCCATCAATCACCTAAGTCTGGCAACAGATTACCAAGTCAAGACCAGGCCCATGTGACCTTAATACTGCTGTAACAACCCACACCAGGACTCCAAGCATCACCAAGCACGCAAGGCGCTGCTCAATAATAACCAGGTGAAAAAAGGATCTTCCAACAAAAAAAAAAAAAAAATGAAAAGTAAGTTATGCTTTGCTTATTGAGAACCAATTATAAATTTCTCATAGACTTCGCGAGAAATTATACCTCTTTGATGAGAGCTCCCTCAGTACAATGTCAAGAATTTGTAAAGCTTCCTGTGGAGCATCAGCACGTTTACCAGCCAAAAATTGACCCAAATGATACATGTTAGCCCTTGCAACAAACTTGATCACCACTTTGTACTCTCTTTCTCTCCTGAAAATTTGCATGTGGGCCCATTAAAATTATCTACTCTGTGCACATATTTTACTAAGGCAAAAATTAACACGCTTTAGAAGGATAATAATGAGAAAATTTATCCTTTTCATCAGATTTCAACTACGCTCATCCTCGATTTTTGGAAGTTCTTAAAAAAGTTGAAAAGAAAAAATGCTCAAAATTTTCAATAGAGCAAAATAATAAAGGGAAACTAATTATAAATACTAACTTGGGACCATTGATTCCGTCATCTTCATCAATAAGCTTGATCGTGAACTCCTTCCAAGCAAAGGGAAGCTCACCAGCTGTATACAGACTCTTTCTGCCATCATAAGCAGGTAATCTCATTCCTAAATCAGATTCTTTGTAAAGTCTCACGAGCTCTGCCATGATATCTCTGTTTGTAGTTCTTGATGCCACTTCAGGAGTTATTGTAACCTGCAAGAATCAGAAGTAAGAGATGATGGAAAAAGCTAACAAACAATAAGAACAAAATTAATGGTCTGGATCAGGACTTATTCATGCCATTAGAAGAAAAAGTAAAAAAGAAAAAACAGAAATCTTCAATTCCTTCTGCAATGTACAGCATAAAAAAAAAAAAAAAAGTTAACGGCATGAACATGTCCATTGTCAGATTCAAGGGCCACAAGTTTTGAAGGACATTAAAAAAAAGAAAAAAGAAAGAAAGAAAGCCATATAATAAAACAAATAAAAACCCAGCATTAATAATCTGCTTCAGCATATTAACAACCATGTTTTAAATCAAGAACAAATGAGAAGGAGAGAGAAAGAAAACAATAACGATTATCACACGTTCAATGTCAGATTAAGGGCCCCCATTGGTATACCAGAATCCAAATAATAGAAAAACTAAGAAAAACCAAGGTTTTCCTCTCCAGTACAATTACAGCAATGTTTAATGTAAAAACTAAAACCCCATAAAACAAAGAAACTTACATCATACTGGTTCAAGTCCTTGTCTGGTAACTCTGCAAAGAAGTGATTGGCCTTAACAATACATCTTGTCCCAAGTTGACCGTAACCAGGCCTAGGAGCAAAATTAATTGACTTGCTAGAACTGGGGAACCCCAAACCCATCTCCATTCCACAAGAATTTCCATTTGACCCACTCGGAGAACCTGCCAAGAGCTCACCAGCTGGATTCACAGGCTTGTGTACCACAGTACAAGGCCTTGAACTGGGTCTCATACAGACATCTCCTTGATCAGACTTTCTACCACCCCTTCCTCTTCTTCTTCCTCGGTTTTTTATTGGAGGTGAAGTCAGGTTTTGGGGTTTACTGTTGTGGGTTTCCTGAGATGGAGGTCCCTTACCATTTTGAGCAGTTTTGTGGTGTTTTTGAGGTTGGTTCATAGTATTCTGCAAGTGGGTTTTTATCACTAAGTGCTGCTCTGAGCTCTCTTTCATTTGCCTTATAGGCATTGCTGACTTTTATTTTTTCCCCTTTTCTCCTTCTCCTTTTTGCTCCTTGATCTCTGAAACTTACAACTCAAAGCACAGACGCTTGTTTTCAAAACAGTGAAGGTTCAACAAATGGCAGAAATATACTTTCTTTCTCTTCTAGTCTTCCCACATTTGCCTCACAGACTGGGGGTTAAGACCCATTTATCCTCTGGAAAAAAAAAACATAAAAACAGATAAGGCAAATGCATGTAAGACAAGTGACTAAAATTTGAAAAACTACAAAGAAACAGGAATAATAATGATGATGGTAGTGCATCATTGCTGTTGAAGCAAACTAAAAGAGTATGGCTTTGTTGCATATTGCAAGCATTACTATTCCTTTGAAAATTTTGGAACCCAAACTATTCACCTCTGCTCAGCAGACAAACCCACAAAAACAAATTGAAAAAGAAAACTAAAACCCGAAAGCAGGAGCCACAGTTTCTATCTGACAAGGTGATATTGCAGAACGATTGAGTGAAGAAGGCTTGAAACGTAAAGATGCAAGGAATGTGGAAATAATGTAGACTAGTATTTGTATGGTATATATTTTATTTTTTTGAAAACTTGGAATTGGATAATTCCATTTTTCCTCGAATCTGTACCCAAACTCTAAAGAACCAAGCCAAAAAAAATCCCGAATAAGAGACCATTAAATGTGCAACTCAAGAAATGATAAATGCAGACAACACAAAGAATCACCAACCAAAAAAACCCAAAATCTTCTTCAGATGGTTCTATTAGTAAACCACTCGCTAAATTACGGAGACAAAAACAAACAAACAAAGTAAACAATAGAAACTAAAAAATAAAAATACGAGTAGAAGCCAAAGAAGTAGAATACTCAGGTGACAAAATGACATTCTTAAAACCTGTCCCTACGCAAAACTGAAAATCTGCGAGGGAAAAAATCGAATAGAAATGAATACACCCAAGCAGATAAAAACACAGGAAAAGCATTAAAAAATTATATTTTTCTAGAGTTTTCTGAAAGCACAACACTACACATAGAAGAAAACAAAAGGCAACAAGAAGGTATATGCAAAGAGAAGGAATAAACCTTGAAAAGGGTAGTAAAATCACTATCTGAAGGATATCCAAAAATTTATTGCCTGTATGGAAATGACCAAACCAAACAATAAATACAAAGTCCACAACTTGAAACACTCTCAACCAAACTCCGAAACTCACTCAATAACAATGAAATGAAGCGCCTAACAGCCTAGCAAGAGAGAGAGAAACAAACACAAACGTTTTAGAGATGGAAGGCAAAGAAACGTGATTGGATTAAAAGAGAAGCAAAAGTGGAGACAAAGTCGGTTTTTAAAAAAAAAAGAATACTCAAAGAATGCAGTTTTCACAGATTAGAAAAGAAAAGAGAACCTAGGAGAGAGAGATGATGATGATGATGAATCTTTATACACGCATGCAAGTGCTTTTGGTGTTTCCTTTATCACGTGTAAAAGACAATGTAAGGCCTCTGCCCTGCCCCCTCCCCTCCTCTTCACACCTCCTCTGCTTTTATAAATTAGCCTCTCTCTGTCTCTCTCTAGTTTGGTTTCTTGACTGATCGCGCAGCCTCGGGCACGTACGAAGACCAAAGCATAATAATATAACGTAATTTAAGGTGTGTGTATATATAGTTAGAGAAAGAAAGGAAAATGTACAGATATAGAGAGAGAAAGGGGAAGTGATGGTGGGGAAGAGTAGCATGCTATAGTCCAAAACAACTCAAACTCACTCAGTATTGTAAAAGTAATCATATACACAGAAGAAGAATAATTCGAACTTGCAGTCCTTTCTCTTGCAGAGTTCTCCATATGTAATTTTTCTTTTTTATTTACAGGAAGTGGATATAGACCCAAAAGAATGTTATTAGTTACATAATAACATTTATCAAATCGTTACGTAAAATACCTTAACACGAGATTTATCCCTCCTTGCGTTTTTCTCAAAAGACACGAGAAGAATTTAGCTAACTAAAAATGTAATTTTATTTTCTCTCTCCTTTGTATGGTTATTTTATTTTTAGATTTTTTATTTTTTGTTTTTTCTTCCTAGTCCCCATGTAATGTTCCTCCCTAATGTATGCTTTTGATGTACTATTATTATTATTATTATTATTTATTAGATAATTTGCCACCGCTACCATCAATGCCACTTTAGGCAATTCTTCAACGGTCCATTCCATGGGTCCTTTTGAATTCTGGGTCCACTTCTTTTGATCTCTTTGTGGACCCATTCGGCTTTTTGTATTAATGGTTTGATGATGAATCTTGTGGATTTAATACTTTATTTTATGATCCCCACCATCACCAATTTCATTTTAAGGGTTTTGATAGTTTAAATTATAGTTCTAAATACTTTTATAAATATTTATACTTTTATACTTTATTTTATAAATACTTGTTTCTTCCGGTGGCAAAATATAATTCACTTCGATACATTTTATAATTTTTTTATTTTTATAAAAAAGAGACCTAAAATATAACTAAACCTAATCACAGTCTGATTTTAATTTATATGAAAAATATAAAGGTAAAAATTTAAAATTTTTATAGTTTTATAAATGACTTAATTCCTTCAAAAATCAAAATTGAACCAAAACTTAAAGCTTGGTCATACTTGAAATCGCGGATATCGTTCATGTTTTTTTTCTCTAATTGGTAAATATTTAATAAATGATGCAATTTGGGATAGGGAAAGAAGAGGAGTGTACGGAGATGATATGCGTGATCATAGTCATAGGGTGGTTAAAGTGGGTGGAGAGGTACTTGATTATAGCCTTGGATTTTTAGGAGGGTGATGAGTGTTAAGTGAGGTAAGGACAAGAAAAAGGAGGGACTATGGTGTGAGTTTGAGCAGAGTAGTGATTGAGTTTGAAATGTAGATATGATGACATAACAGACTTGAGAGGTGAAATTTGGGTCCCACTTTCTTGGTGGGAAATCAAACTTCGTTTGATGAAAGCTCTCTTATTATAATCCTTTGGGTAGACTGTGATTGGCATTTGGTAGGTCTTGAGCAAGATCATTGCTTTATTGACCATTCTTTGAAGAGTTTCAACTTTATGTGAGTATTGTCCTTGATTTAAAGCAACCGTGCATTCATAATCAATCACCGTTCAATTAATTCGGGTTGATTATCCTAAATAAGGTTTTTATAATTCTAAATATTTTCATAGTTTTATAAATTACAATTTTTAGTGACTCTTAATTATTTTTAATATTATAACCAAATAATAGAAAATGAGTTGTTTAGAAAATATTTTTTGAAAAATAATTTTTTAGGAAATAATTCTCAAGGATAAGTTATTTTTGGATGCAAATATAGTCTAATTCATTTATTCTTTAATTTTTTTTTTAAATTGATTTGCATAAATTGTTAATTACCCTCTTAATGGCAGAGAGAACTAATATTGCCAAGTTGTTATTGTTTAAATTAAGGAAAGTACTTTATTATTTTTGGTGAATGGATTTATTCATATATCAAATTTAAATAAAAATCCAAACAATTTTTGGATGAAATTACCAAAATAATCTCTTTAAGGAAATTTGGTCAAATTCAAAACAATAAAATAAAACAAAAATCCTTCTCTTTCAAAAATTTCAAACATAGTAATCAAGTGCTTACAGCAATGATATTGCATAAATCGTGCATGATGTGAGGAGTGAGAAATGTATAATGTATAAATTTTAATTAACCACGTTATGAATTATAATCATTGTCTCCATCATTATTATTAATTAATAACTGGGAAATGAAAAATACCAACTTTTCTTTTTGTTTTAGTCTCAAAAATTCAAAGACATCTTGATGATTTATAGACAAAAGAAGCTCATTTACACCACCCTCAACACAACTCCACTTCACATCCTTTACAACATGCTTGATTGAGTTAATAGGTAACTTTAATGTCACGAGTAAGAATACAAATTTGATTTCAATTTTTTGCGGGGCCAAAAATTTTTACTAAAAAAAATATAAATATACCCGAATGCAAAAGCAAGCAAAAGCCCTATGCACGAGGTCAATAATGAAACTTGAAACTTATATAATAGGAAGAGTTGGACCATACGATATAGGGTTCAATAGAAAGTCTATGGATTGAAGGGCCAAAAATGGACTAGAAGTATTATAACAACAATATCTTTTTAATTAGAGTAGCGTGTGTATATCTCTATATATATATACGGTAACTACAACAAACATAAATGAAAATGAACCTTTTCTTTGGATGGTTGTTGATGCCAAGAACAAGTAAGTCCACAACACCATAAATGCACCAAATCATGACATGGGGTTTTGTTTTTTTATTTTGTTTTTTCAATACTAAAAAGAGTTAGTGACTTTGGAAAGGGTATGGGCCTGTTTTGTTTTGACATGAAAAGAGTTTTGGTAGCATCCTATTTTCATCAAACTCAAATTATAGATTAGGGACAATTGATGCATACTGAGATAGATGGGCAGCGTTTGTTTTGTTTTGAGCAAATTGGGATTTGTTTTGTCTCCCCACATAAAAATAGAGTATGTAAGAGTATAAATGTTCACTATGTTTAGCGGTTGTGGACAAATTAGAGGCATATTTGAGACTTTGGGGAGTGGAGATGGCAGTGGGGTTGGGGCAAGTTGGGGTTTCCTAAGCAAATGTCTTCCCCCCAATTGAGATGGATGAGAGAGTGCCTGTGATGGGCCCATCTTCCACACTTATATATTAATTTATTCAAGTATTTATTATTTATAATTAAAATATTTAATTTTAAATATAAAATTAATAATTTACAAAACATATTTTCGACAAAAAAAAAATTTAGTTCACAGTATTAAACAAGTCCTAATTTATAGAATATAAGGTGAAAGTAATGGACGGGCCAAACGCATCCTAGAAGTGCGTTTAGAGCACGACCAATGATTGATTAATAGGACTTGGTCTTATCGTGTCACGTGAGGCCCATGTACAGTAATAAGTGGAAAGTGGAAACCTATTTGAGATCTATGCATATCATCATCATCATCATCTCCACAATCCTTTCTTCTCCTCTTCGTATTTTCCTTTTTGTCTTATGGAATATTCATATGTAGGTTCTATAACACCATAACTTCTGCTAATTTCGGTCCCTAATTGCAAAATTTATTATAATGATGGTTGATCTCTATAATTTATTAATCTATTATACTAATTTTTAAGTTTTTGAAAATAATTTGCATTGTCTTGAGAAGTGCAGTCAGAAGAAGAGGGAGTGATTGTAGGATATGATATGGTTAAACGAATAGAAAAAGGAAATGATGTATAGAAATAATTCTCCCCATCATGAAACAAGAAACATATGCCAAGCATTCATAGTTTTTCGATCCTGTTAAGATTTTTTTTCCCTTTTATATTTCTCTATCTTAACGTAAATTATCTCCTCGTTTTTTTTTTTTTTTTTTTTTTTTTTTTGTTTTAATTATTAATTCTTCTGGGTTCATGCATTTTCGAATATTCTACTAAAAGAAGTAAAATGTACAAGACTCGTATTATGGCAAAAATTTAACGTTTGTCTTTTTTTATTTAGTTAAAATATGTATGAGCACAGTCACCAATACCATGACCATATATATAATTATTTAGCTTAGTAAATATATGCTAAAATTTTTTTTGCACATGGATCACACGAACATAATTATTAACTTTTTACGAGAAAAGAATTATATGTATGTATTTTTTTTATTTACAATAAATATTCTTCCACTGTTCTTGAACATATATGAAATTAATCTCATTTCAAAATTAAAAAATATATTTAACGAAGAAAATTATTATTAATATTATTGGTGAAATTTGTTAGTATAATTTATTTTTAAATAGTCTCAAATATATGTGAATGAGATGGTTCAATTAAAAAAAATTGTGTAATATATATATATGGAGGGGATATGATGATAAATAAAAATCTTAACGTACATTAGTTTCTTTATATTGACCTAACAGAGAAAGATGCCAAAGAGATAAGTGGTTTGTAAGTTTGTTTAGATTGTACTATTTGGTATTGACAAATTTAACTTGTCTTTGACAACAGTATTTATTCCGAAGCAAATAAAGGGCATACGTGAATTGGACGCCACAATCTAATGTTTCCCATAAATGTGGAAACCGACCATACATAATTACATCAAAGTGGCATTAAAACAATCAATCCTTACAAACGGAATGTACGCATTTTTGAATGTAAAAAATCCTCTAATTCCCAGCATTTTTGGGAAAACCATCTCCTACCAAATTACACCAATGTTGCACTAAACAAGATGTCCTTACAAAACATATTTTATATGAATATAAACTATCCTCCAATTTCTTGACATTCTCTAATTATCAAATTTATGCTGAATCCAAAACT